GTAGCAATTGAACACATTCCGGTAGACGGGCCGGCACTCAAGTCCACCTATCACGGGCGTGCCTTATCCGATGACAATAACGGGAAACGCATGTTAGACTTTCGTAGCGCCCAATCAAGCGGGTGAAGCGAAGTCTCGGTCAAATCTCGGTGAACCGTTTTGTCCGCTGCAATCTGGGGAAGCAAATCACTTTACGAGATTGGATTCTAAGCTAATTTGGATCTTATATGTAAGTACCTAAGCATGTAAGGGATCTGCTGTCGCCATCTGGTTGAGCGAAAGTGGGGAGGGGGGATAGGAACGGCTTTCGGATCTGAAAAAAGTATCGGCTGTTGCAAGGACCAGTTTCTCCGACTTCCACCGATGACCGGGTGTTACTTAAATCGATACCCCAACGTTTACCACACGATTAGGTTATATGTATAAATTATCCCCGGGGCGAGATTTCAGTTTGTCACGGTATTAGTGAAGGGAAAGAAATCACGCTAGATAAGATGGAACTGCCACTAAGAGAAACAGTAGCGCGATTAGCTTCGCGATCGGACTGAATATATCCAGGCCACCGCCTGTATTGGGTTCCCGGTATATCGTGACGGAAGGGAGCTCGTCTTGGGTCCCACACCATGGCCATGCCATGCAGCTTAGCGTCCCTTCAAACACAGTGAGCTCTTCTCGCCAAACCGATAACCACCTGCGTGAATATGTGTAGATGTCAGAGTGGGGTTGCATTATCCGAGGAGGTGAGAGCCAACATTTTGGCTTCCCTTCTCTGTTCGATTTCCTCTTCCCCGGTTGGCGTGCTTAAGCGCATATTCTCATTGTGGATTTTATTCGACAGGACCCTTTTATCCTTGACTTCCCCCCGCAATTTTATATACGAGAAACGAATGGGATATGCCCCTCGGAACCCTGTTGGTTGTTTTTGACGTGCTGGCCCTACATGTACCTTATCAATTTATATGCATAGAGTGACTATTATAGCAACTGTTTTCAACAGAAATTACACGTATGTACGTGAAAGACCTCTCGACGGTTAGTACCTCCACAGTTTTAGGTTCATGGTAACGTATTCTGTGCCGTGTTCCAAGGCTCCAAGGCTCAAAGCCTCAAAATCGAGGGGTTTTGTAGCCGGCGATACAGGTCCATTGAGGTTGGAGCTTAACCCACTTTTGCTCTCTTGTACCCATGGTGTGATGGATCGATTTTTAGATCTACTTTACTCGCCAAAAACGGTAAACGAAAATGCAGGTGGTTGATTTCGCATCTGTCCATGTGGTCAACTTCTTCTTGTATTGCGGGGGGAAAAACTGATAGTTATTATCCAGAGAAAGAAAAAAGTGTTCGAGCTGAGGGTGTTCTTATTTCCATTAGCCTTCGAGCTAACAAAATCTTGGAAAATGGGTGCATGTGAAGGAGAAACCTTAGCCAATCGATTGCTGATTTCTCGACATGAGGGGCTTTTTTTTACCTTAGGAGAAATAAGATGGAGATAGCAATGTTCCATATGACTTTTTTTTCTTCAAAATGCATTGAATCATCCTTTTTTTCCAAGAGCGTCTGCTGAGGGTTGAAGCATTGATTGGACATTTTCTTTTGATATCATCAGGTCCTTTGCCACACCTTGCAGGTGGTACCGTTGCGAGCAACCTATTTCGTGCATGTCGTTAGGCCCTTGTAAGAGCTAGAAGCATGAACGAAGTGTAGTGTTTGGTCCAGGTAGCGCCATCCATTCGCAATAAAGACAATTTGGTTACCTGCCATTCACCAATATTCCAGAATGGATCTGTTTTCTTGGCCTGGCTTGGCCGGTAGGCACGCAATCGAAACTGACATGATGGATGGTGGTACTTGAAGATCGTTCAGAGTTTTCTAAGATCCAAGAGATTCCTAATCTCTGAGAACAAATGCAGAAAGAAAAAACCTTTTTTTTTTTTTTTTTTTTTTTTTTTTTTTTTTTTGCAAGATGGAACTATTGCATTTTGCCTTCACACCCTACCATCCGTAGATCTTATTTGATAACGTAGTAGGTAACTATTACCTACCCTCCACTGGTGTGAGAAGGGAATTTTGAGACCGGGAGAAAAAATAAAATAAAATAAAAATGGGAAGAAGGTTCAAGATTCTGAATTGTTCCATAGCCTGCGTTTGACATGCGCCCCGGCTCGGGTTGGTATCTAATCTGTGCAGAAAGGAAAAAAGCAGCAGAGCCGAGGCGACCAGTCGGCGACTCTTTGGCTTGAACGCAGGCGAAAACCGGAGCAATTTATGACAGGAATCTGTCGCCAAATCCAGACCACACTTGCATCACTCGGAGAAGAGATCTGGTGTTACTGGAAGTTATTCAATTCAATCTTGTAAAAATACCTCGAATACAAATGGGTTCAACTGGAGCGCTTTCTGACCATGGCGTATTTACTGCATTAAGAAGTCCCCGAGGTTGGCGCCGGCTGTTAGTACCCTGTATATTCAGAACCGAGCCGTTCTGGGGATATTTTCTTCGTGTTCTTCGTGTGAATGTGAGCGAAAAGCCTCAACTGTTTCTCTTTTGTGTTACCGAAATGCTAGGAACCTAGAAGCTAATTCTCAACCTGGAAAGGGTATTTACCCCAAGTTTAAGTTCTGCCTGGAGCAGTAGACTAAGAGTTTACACCGGCATGGCCTGCTAGAGCTTCATTCGGCAGCAAATTAAACAATGCTATGCTTTCGTTAGAAATTGCTCAAACGCTCTTCGCTTTGAGAAGGTGCAAATCCCTAGAACCCAGGCCAATATAGATGCGACGGCGGATTCCTTCTGGAGAAAGTATGGTACGGTATCTTCCCTTGCTTGTGGAATACCAAGACACCAAGGCGTTCAGATGACAGGCGTTCTCGCTTTCGGATGGAGGCAAATGTAAAATGTTGATAGACGAACGTGGTACCATGTTCTCGAGACTGGTAGCCTTTTTCTAGAAGCTGTTTTTAGCAGGCAAAAAGGAACCACAAGAACAGCTTGCATGTATAACTGTGCGATTTGAGATGAAGCGAAGCGCCGTTTGAGGATCGTTCCTGTTGGCTTTCAGTCATCGTGGGCGCTTTGTCACTGACCACTGCTTATGTTTCACATACTTCGGGTTGTGTATCTGGAGATGGATAATTTGCGATTGCGAACTGAATTGCTATATTTGTCAAGCGAAGGATGCCGCCTATCATGACTGATATAATATTCCTTCTGGAAAGCGGGAATATCGAAAGGGCTGAAGGGCTGATGACTTCTCAGCATCAAATCCCGAAACGAAGATCCGAAGACGCAGCCTCCCACAAGAGATATTAAAAAAAAATTAAAAAGAAAAGGTTCCAGATATTGAACCAACAGTTTCCCTTGGGCAGCCGATGAAATCATAGGGCCTCAGTGTGTTATGTTCCTGTCTCACTAACAAAGTTCTGGAGCTCTCGGACGAGGTCGTTTCGGGTACGGCACTTGAGCACACAATGTTGGTAAGGCGAGACTCCGTCTCGAAGGGCATGACCTAGGGTTAATCAAACGGTTGACCTTGGGCGTTTAAGCTTTACGAGCCGGTATTTTTTCGTTATTGATGATAAAAACTGACGAAGGAATGTCCTTTTTGTTTTTTATTTTTATTTCTCGCGGCGAGGAAGCTTCATGATGACTACATATTAGTAACTTGCGTCGTCGACGATGATATAATTTTGTTGAAAAGGAGGTCCCAGAATGACGCCGACGATCATCCTACAGGTTCAAGATCTTGGAAAAGTCCAACAAAGTTATTGATAGACAGGCCCAAAGTGAGAATTTCTTTTCTCGGGGAAACTTGGAAACGGAGAGATTGGTCTTTTAGTTGAGGGCATTTTTTGCCTGTGGTAATTGCGGAGGGGCAGTTGTATTCCGCTTGTAGCTCCGATCTGGAACCCGTACCTGAACGTAGTTGGATACGCTGGAGGAATTCGCTGGTTTTCGTGGTTGGCCATGTCAATATGGAGTAGGTAGAAACAGGCGCCAGCGACTTGGCTCAATTTCAATCGGTAGGAATCGCGACAATACACAAAGTCCGCTTCTTAGGACAACGGAGCCACGTATCGAGCTCGGGATATCCTAAGGGCCTAAGGGCCTAAGGACCCGCTTGGACAAGTTGGCAGGATGATGATAGTCGGTTTTGGAAGTTCATGATGCCTTTGTCGGAATAGAGAACCAGCGCATAGCATAATACCCCGTGACTCTCGATTAATGGATTTCAATGCTGTAGGCATTGTTGGCCATAACCCTGTCCTTAACAGAAATTGATTGCCATTTCGTGTCTGTACAGACGCATATGCAAAGCACAGGACCGGCCGGCCTCTTCGTATGTATCTATGCACATATTTCTCCAGGGAAATCCATCGAAAAGCCGGGGCAGACGAGGGCTTTTTTTGGCAATCGAAGAGGCCAGTGCCCCTCCGACAAGATGCCCCCCACTCTCGTTTATTCTCGAGGCATTAGGTATTGTCTACGCGAGGGTTTTCTCGATTCCTGCTTGGACATATGCCTTTGGGTGTAACACATGTAAGCTATATCTGCGTGCACATGTGCTCAAGGTTTGTCGCCCTCTGCGCCTCAAACGAAGTGACATATTTAACGATACGCATTTCGGATTTGAATCTTGCGGAGAAAATTAAGATGTAGATCTACAAAAAGCGGTGCACTGTGGTCCTTGCACAGCAGATACTGCGGTGAAGCTACAATATATATAGTAACTGCTCTTTCTGGCACGCCCCGTTGGGAGAAATCGGTCAAAGTCGTGAATCGAGAAGGCTGGCTAGCTGGCTGCGCTGAAAGTCATATTAGTAGACTTTTTGTCATTTGCGTGTTAGACGCCACGGCCAGGAGGAGGGAACCCCGGCGCCTCTCATCCATTGACATACAAGGACTTTGAAGTTACAAGCTCGAGACATGCTGTAACGGCTGTAACTTGGAAATGGATGATCAAGGTCATGTTGTGATTGTTTTCCTCGGGGCTCCTGTCAAATTATGGTGTCTTCGACCCACCCATCCTTCTTTTCATTGACGTCGTTGGAACCCGACGAGAAAGGGAAGTGAAACCTGTCGGGCTGCCTGGTGCCAATGGATCTGGGAGCTGCCCGGCGTCTGGCACCGAGCGGTTGAAAGGTGAAGGAGGGGCAGCTAGGGGGCCAGGCTGAGAAGGCAAATGCTTTGAGCACCATCGGGTACCCAGAGGTACCTTTCGTCCCTGCTGCCTTTCTTGTTCGCACGAGTCGCCGCCGCCCATTTGGAATATCCGTCCGACACCCTTCGCTTTGCCTAGTGGTTGCCCCCAAACGAGGGCACCCCAAATTGTCATCGAAGGGGGGGAGAACTTTTGTTTTTTCAGCTGCGCTCTTTGGGGTTATGGGTTATGGCAGGGTGATGCTCTGAAGCTAGCGAGCATGTCAACTTTGGTATTATGCTTCCTCCCATTAATAATGATTGTCAGCCTGCCCTCAGCTGGTGGATGGATGGATGGATGGATAGAAGCGTGGTGAAGCCATCGAGAAACAATCGCCAAATCTCTGCATTCCTTTTTTTTTTTTTTTTTTTTTTTTTTTTCCTTCCTATCTCCCTGGAAGTCCCTCGGATAATGCCAATATATTAGTGCACTTGCTTCCCAGTGCTTGTTATAGACAGACGGACAGACCGACCGACTGACTGACACTAAATCAACTGGGGAAACTTTTTCTTCTATTCTATCATAGAAGAAATAATTAATCTCAAGTCAAACCGTCCACCTTCCCTTTGCTTTGTCTCTCAAGTCTTTCTCTTCGAAGAGAAGGGAACTCTCTCATCACGAATTCGAAACAGAAACAGATCCAGGTCGATTGTTTCAACTACGACATCCCACGGAACAACAATAAAAGTAAAATCATAATTAACAAAAAAAACGAGCCCTGCCTGCCTGCTGCCCATCTGCTTCCTTACTTACTTACTTACTGTCTATTTTTGTTCCCTGCCGGTTGCTTGCTTGCCTGGTTGCTTGTTAGGTGCAGCAGCTGCTTCGCCTTGCTTTTGTGCTGCTCAGGGTCATTCTGTCATACTTAATACAGGCAGAACTCCCTCCCTCCCACCCCCACAAACAGGACCCATTCTAGCGGAAATATCGCAGCCGGTACTTATAATCGAACCTGGCCCCTTCCCTGGACGCCTTTTCGTCACGTACAGCACTTCCTAGCTCTCTTTTTTCTGCCTCTCTGCCCTTTTGACTCGCCTGGCCTGGTTTTTTTTTCCTTTTCACTTTGTAGCCGACCTGGTTTATTATAAAGTCGCCCTCGACCCAGCCGACTTCACAACAACACACTTTGGGGTTCCCCTCTGGCAGCACAATAGAACAATCGACCCTTATCAACCTCAACCTCAACATCATCATCACCATCATCAACATCAACAACATCATCATCAATCAATCAATCAAACCAATCAATCATATTACTACTATTACTACTACTATTCTCTTATTCGATTGTTCCGACCCGGCACTGCTACTATCTCGACTAGAGTTGTTGCCGTTCTCAGCGAAATCCAATTGTTCGAACCCAAACATTTGACTTCGTCGACAAAAGTGTATATGGAAAATTGCCAGCTACGACGACAAGAAAGCTTTCTTGCTATCCTTTTCTTACCTATATCCCGTCCTCCTCCTTCATAGCCTTTGGCCATCCTTTCTTCTTTTTTCTTTTTTTTCTCTCTCCCTCGACTCCTACTTGGAAACCTTTTTCTTCGTTATTCACTTGACGTAACCAGTGTCTTGTGAACCTGATTCTATCGATTCTCCTTTACTTTATCTTATTTTACCTTTTTCTTTCTTCTCGGTCCATCACGGGAAGTAATTAATTGTGGTTGTTGTCGAGTATAACAGCAGCCACTGTTTGCCTTCTGGTATGTATACCTGTTTCCTCGAATCAAATTGATTGCCGCCCACTTCTCTTCCCTTCCCTTCCCCCCAAAAAACTCAATCTTCAACCCTCATTACTTCCTTTTCTTCTTTTTCTTCTTCCTGTCTCAAGAACAAAAGAAATGAAATAAACCAAGAACCAAGAATCAATTCCTTCCTCTCTTCCCTCCCCTTCTACCAAGAAAAATCTCAACCTTTAAAAATCAATCTTCGGCGTTCCACCAACTTTGTCCCTCCTCCATTCCACTTCTACCTCGTTTCATCTCCCCGCCCCCCTCGCCAAGTCCCCATCTCGACCGCCCTGCAGGTGCTGTAGTGCCTGATCAATGTCGCTTTAATTCGCTGTACATTTCTCAGGGCCTTGGCTCTGGTTGGCAGCTGTGTTGCCTAGTTAATCGCCAGACGCTTACTTTGCTTCTTAAATCAGATCCGATTCATTAAGTTTATATAAACTACGGCTTCGGGTTCGCTTTTCAGAAATTATTATTTTTGCAACCAGATCAACAATGTCAATCGTCCAGTCATCCCGCCCAGTTGGATCCCTTCCTTCGACTTGCTCAAGCTCTTTCTCGTCGATATCTGACGCCATGGTTCCACCCACTCCAGAGATCAAGATCTTGAACTCTCACGTGAGGATACATGGTTCTGATCACGACGATTTCTCGCCTTTAGGCGGTTCATTAGACGACTACCATACACAGGGTCGCTCTTCTCCCAAGTTTATCCTTGGTTCGTCTGACGAAGGTCACGAATGCAACACAGTCCTCGAAGAGGAAGAAGATATTGAAACATCCAGCGAAACCCAGGAACCATTGACTCCAACATCCTTTGACGGTCATGCCGTTTTTACATTAGAACAGCACGAGCCAACTCAGCCCATCACCCAAAAACAGACTGTCAGGTCCATGCTTGACATGTCGGATGTCAAAGTCCGTCCTCGCAGTGTCTCCAAGCCGCCTTCTCCACCACTTTTGACACTCCAATCTCCATCGCCTCAAATCGAAGCGCCAACACCCGTCAAGAGGTCAAATACTTTTTCTCGCATCTTTCACAGGAGTGGAAGTGGAAACGATTTGATGAATCGACTTGGAGGTCATCGTGACGACGACTTGACACCTCGCCATTCGCCTCAGCCAAAGGCTCGAGCTGGTTTGTTCTCTCTCAAGAGCAGCCCTTCTCCATCGAAGGCCAGCTCTCCATCCAAGTCCTTGTCTCCGACCAATAGTTTGTCCGAAACCAGAAAGAATGCCGGCTCCCCACCTAAGTCGTTGTCAGCCGGCGTTGGACGTCTGAGTAGAAACCGAAGGTCTAGCAGCATGAATGGCATCGCCGATATGCAAACCGAATGTGCTATCACTCATCCGGCGGAGTCTGGTGTCGGTCTCAAGGCTAGGAAGTTGAGCACCGTCGCCGTTCCTGTCGCTCCCGCTTTCAAGATCCACAATCTTAGCGAGAAGTATTCCAACAAGAGCCATATCCCAATGAAGACGAAACAGATCGGTGAGGGCGCAAGTGCCATTGTGAAGCTGATGAGTAAGGTTCACGGTAACCCCAGTGAGCTCTTCGCCGTTAAGGAGTTCCGAAAAAAGTCAAATAACGAGAGTGAGGAAGAGTACACCCAGAAGTTGAACTCTGAATGGTGCCTTTCCAAGTCGCTTATTCATCCGAACGTCGTCTTGACTGAGGATCTCTGCCGTAACAATGGCCGATGGTGCCATGTTATGGAGTACTGCAGTGGGGGAGATTTATTCTCTCTCATTAAGAAGAATTTCATGGGGGCTGATGAGAAGCTTTGCATTTTTAAGCAACTTTTGCGTGGTGTTGCATATCTTCACAGTCATGGTGTTGCTCACCGTGACATCAAGCCTGAGAATCTTTTACTCTGCGCTGATGGACGCTTGAAGATCTCCGATTTTGGAATTTCGGAGGTTGTTAGCGGTGATCACCCTGCCTTCAGCGAGAAGATGGAGTGCGGTGCCAACATGAACGAACTCCGCCTTAGTCGTCCAGGAATCTGTGGCAGCAAGCCTTACCTCTCTCCTGAGGTTATTGCTCAAAAGGGTATGTGTTGCAATCCGATAATGGCCTTTCATGATTTCACAGTATGCTAACTTTACTTCAACAGATGCCTACGATGCTCGTAAACTTGATGTCTGGTCCTGCGCAATCGTCTATGTGACACTCCATTATGGTGGATTCCCATGGGCTGAAGCCAGCTCCAATGACAGAATGTACGCTGCATATAAGTGTACTTTCGACAAATGGCTTGTTGCCAACCCATCTGGACTTATCACCACTGATTCGACGATGCCAACAGCCCGCATCTTCTCCGACATGAAACCACCACTGAAGCGTCTCCTCTACAAGATGGCTCACCCTGATCCTGAAAAACGCATCACTATTGAGGAGGCCCTCAACGACCGATGGATGAATAATGTCGACTGCTGTATTCCAGACAAGGATTACGACAAGGCACCAGCTCTCGTTGACTGCAGCGAACTCAAGGGCTGTAAGTTGGCAGGCAAAATGGGGGTCAAGAAGTTGCATCAGCATCTCCCTCCAAAGACTCCCAAGAAGACATTGCATCATGAAGTCTAGGCTGCTTTTGTGCAATTGTTCCGCTTAAAGAATCTGTTCTGCCGCCATCGACGCCATCCAAGACTTTAACATTCGTTTCACGTCTTTTTTATTCTTTCTTTCTACTTTCTTTTCTTTTCTTTTCCTTTCTTTTTAAACCACCCTTCCCTTTCCTTCTTCGACTTGATGCACCCGGGGTCTGTTGAAACGATATAGGAGAGTTTGTATATGACTTCACTTCACTTCCTTCGTTTTTTACACTGTAACAACAGCTTTGAATTCAGTGACCTGGTAATGTTTTAATGACTCTTTCCCTTGGTCCCTTTTCTTTTTATTACTACAGCATTGCCTTTCTTTCTACGTTTATATATGGGATGGATTCAACTGGGGATTTTTGTTTTTTATTTTATATTCTTGCTTTTGTACTGTTTTATGTTTGCTTGCGGGCGTTATGGAGCTGTCATTTGCTCTACACTATCGTGATTTCGTTTAAACAAGCTTCTAGTGGAGAAGACAGGAGATTTCCTAAGCTCCGTATAATGTTTCTTTTTTCTTCTTCTTCACCTTTCTTCCTTTTACCTGGTATTCTTTCTGAATTACTTGCAAAAGCCCATGGATCGCAGAGCTCGCGTTTCCTTGTATTATCACATTATTCTTCTTTTTTTCTTTCTGAGTTCCTTGCGCCAGGGGTCCTTTGTTCTAGGGATGGCATGCTCCATTAGCAGAGTATCTTCATCCTCCTCCTGTCCGCTCGTCTTGTCCTACATAGACTCAAAACAAGAAATGGAACCATTCAATCAACCTAATATGACCATAACAATCTCTTCAATAATTCGTAATATTTTATGTGTGAAAAATACTGAAAACCACTCTTGTCATTGACGTGGTTCAATCGCCGTCGTGTTCCGTATGTACATGGGGCCGTTCATTTCATCCGTCTCCTAAAGGCCATGGTCACTTAGGACAATAATGAGGAAATAAGTGAGCATATTCAGAGAGCCCGTTCATGCAACACAAATCTCTCTGAACGAAAGGAGCAACCGGACTAGGTCCACCCTTGACCTGTCATGCATGCTATTGCAAGCTTCTTCTTTCCTCCCTTGAATTCCCCGCATTTCCCAAACATTGAACAACCCATCAACTTGGGAAACAATAACCCAATGATTCGTCGTCATTTTCCAGGTTTTTGCTTTTCATTGACTTTTTGGGCGTGGGGGCCACCACCTTTCAAATGACTTCCCTCGCTATTGAGAGACCCGACCATAGGTGAGCGAAAATGCCTCAAAACCCCAATACGTCGGTGGGCCGGCGCTGAACCTTCTGGCCCCATGATATAGGTCCTAGAACCTGTTCCAGGTCATCCAATCCATCGTCATCAAAGGCATTGCCGGATCACACTCTAAATGAGGTTTCATCGATCCAGGACCGAGTCCTTTCTGACTCTAGCTTGCCGGCTTCTTCGTCCGAAGCTGTTTGCACCTTCGTTTTTAGGATGTCAGCCTCATCATCGACATCCGAAGCATCTGCTGCTGCAGAATGTCATCATGATAAATGTGATCCCTGGTTTTCTCATGGAATTTGGGAGACAGAAAAAAAAATACTTATTTGCAGTCATCAGCTGGGCTGAATCACGAACGCCTCAATGAAGAACACTACATATATGCAAACTTATGCCTGGCAGATCGTATCAAACATTATTGGGATACCTAACGCCGAGGTTTCTTAGCCGGATCGATCGACTCTTTCATCATTGACCTGTGCTCCCGCCGGGTCTTGGTAAACCAGTCATTTTAAGATTTTTGGCAAAGGATTATCAGGAGCTAGTGAAACCTACAAAAAAAAAGTCAGGCCGCGGAGAGATCCTCGTCGCGAATTTCCCCGATGCGTGCTATTTGCTAGGAATATTTCGCTCCTGCTTCACGGAGCTATTTAACAGACAAATTTCGCGAGATCCGTTGCTCCGTGAAGGCAAAAGGATCAAGAGCCGGGCCTTCAGATGTTCCTTTTTGACTTTTTGAAGTCTAAAAATACTATCCTTGGCTGGCACCCATGGTCATGATTGCATCGATGGCGGCGAAATAAGGATGATCTTATGGTCCACAGGGTACATTACATTTTGCATATCTGAAGGGCGTATTTGTTTCTCTGACTAAACACAGTTAATATTAACCCCACGCATAACCTTTGAAGCTCCCTTGCTGTCTTTTTACCTTCTGAGATTTCTATCACGAAAAAGAAACTCAAGTGAATGTCTCTTTTCTGCAATTTCTCTTGTGAGGTTTCTCCCTCTTGAGAATATATGTCTCGCTCGTTTTCGGATACCCGCATTGAAGCGACAAGGCCTCGATCGCGATCGTGGAACCCCGTATTTTACAGTTTGTGATGAGACATCTCAATTTAACGACCCAAGCTTCAAGCTCCAGCTCCTCAATAACTGTTTCGAATATCGAGTAACGGAGCACGGAAGGGAAGTAACGAAGCTGTCCAGCCAGCTACCGGCACGTCAACCCCTAAAAAACCTTGCTAGACGGCATGTCTCGCCTGCCACGGATCACAGCAAGCTTGCCGTCTCGGTATGTTATGCTGTGCATCTCCGTGCAACTGCGGCCCTTGATTTCGAAAGGGAAAAGAAGCTTCGCTGGAAAAGCTTCAGCTTTAAACCGAACCAAGGAAAGTCCATCGCTCCCCAACGAAGTTTGTACCTGATATTCCCCTGCAATGCACTAGCTCTCCTGGATCTCTGATTCAATTGGGAACCACGTAGCACAGAAGAAAGCTTGGATCAAAAGCGCATTAAGACAGCCAAACTGTCCTTCTCCTTAACAATTATATGCACTCAAGGGCTTTCTCTATCACATACCCGATCTAGCCATCGCGCTGGCCAGCGGTCCAAGCAGCTGCGACAAAGGCATTTCACGCGCAAGAGCCACACTCCTAAAGAGATGAGAAGGGAGACGGGAAGAGGCTGGAATCATCCTGCACCGGCGTTCGTGTCTGTCCGTACGAAACGGGGTCACAGGACGACTCCTCATTCCTTCGCTTAAGGACGCTCAAATCCGATATCTCTGGAGCACAAACCGGCCCTAAATTCGAAGGGATATCCCCTCGCTCAATTGGAGCTGATGGAAATATCCGTTAGCCCAAAGACATGGTCCCTGATATTAGGGACGACACGAAGTGAGCTCCAACAACCAAAATCCCGCTCGACGTACTCTGTACATACGTACATGCCCCTTCGCTCGGGTGCAGATGCTGGGCCGGCATCTCTAGTTCCCGTTTTCGTGGGGGATTAAGAATACGACAACTTAAGTCTCCTTTTGCAAGGCATTAATTGACGTTCTAAATACGACTCGTATCGAGAGATATAGCTGCCCGGTCGGTTGAGGCGGCATGCGCGCATGAGCGTGGATCTCTCGAGGAGCCTGTGCAGAACCACCTGACCTCATCTGTTTTCGTGTTCAAGCATCTTCAATAATTAAACATCCTATATAATCTCTCCACGGAGGATTACATATATTTGCAGCTACATAAACGGGGGGCAAGCTTAAGAAGTCGAGCTGTGGTATGCGGTGCACTGTGCGATCTCTGGTCTTCTTGAAGCGAAGCTCCCCTTGTTTCCTACTGTTTTATATCGCGAACCGTTAACCGGCTTTTGATCTTATTATGCAGGCCAATTGATTACACGTCCATTGCCCCCGTACGATACGTGCAGGCGAGAAAAGCCTCATGATAATATGTATTCCAAACCCTTGTGCCGACAGCATCATATTTTGATATTGCGAAATATAAACATATGAGTGTTTTGAAGTAATGCTTGAGGGTTGCAAGAGCTTCCATGTCCACAATTAGATACAAATCACAAGCTACAAGTTTGGCAGCTGCTCATTGTGCTTCTTCCCTAATAAAACTTCCCCACATTTTCGACATTTCGGGGTTTCCAATTGAAATGTCAGAAAACAGCCGGGACCCATCCATCCATCCATTTTCGTATTCTCTTTACCCCAGAATTCCTATCCCTTCTGATGGGGGACGAATAATACGAAACGGTTTTTCTTTAACAGCATTCTTTTTTGTGATCGATGATCCCGAAAGCATGGGCCCCAAGCAAAGAGGGAAATCGTCAGCTTATTTTCTCAGGTTCTGTCGGGCCATGTCACAAGGCACACGGTTCTCTTTTTTGGGAACTTTGTCGCCTCACATTTTTATATGAGGGATATTCGAGCCCTCACGTTTTCACTTTCCCCCCTCATAATGCAAACAAGAACGGAAATAGACAAGGATTCTGGGGAGGAAAAAGCAGCCACTCACGCGTGGTTTTCGTTTCTCCACATTCTCGCAATCGGGTTTAGTCGAGACATCTGCATGCTGGCAGATGGGCACAATCGTGGGGGGTTCTCTTTTGCCAATCATAGCTCTTCTCTTTGCAAGCGCCCAGATTAAGGGCCGTTTTTCCCTCGACATGTGGGAATATGTGTTGGTACCGTGTGGGCTTGTTAGTCAGCAACGCAGTTTTGCTTGTTGGGAGAATGAATCGGCTTGTCGTCGACAACGCTCTTTTGATTTCGGTTCACGTTCCCACCTCAGGATTGTATGTCAATTGACTATTTGCATAGCTATCGCGGGTAACATTGCTACGGAAAGACGTGTACAAAGCGGACTTTATCTATAGCATAGATGGCAGATTATCCCGGTCTGTACCTTTGCTATCCCAGGGGGTTTTTTTTTTCAAGGGGCCTCCCAAGTCAACGGCTATCGGTGGCACGTTGGACAACAGTGTCTTTGTACTGCCATAAATCGCTCGTAGAATTATAGCTATATGTGAGTGAGGCCACATGAGGTATGTACCATGTTTACTCTTTTAATTCTTTCCTTTGGGCCGTGAGGACGTGTCTAGAGAATCATATGCATGGGGTTTTGAAGAAAACCCTCAACATCCAAAGAGCAAGTGTGTTACAAATCAACAGGTGCCAGAATCGTAACGGATATGCTTTTAGTCTCACTACTTGATTGAACAGGATGAAGGATCCGAATATCACAGGGTCGTGGTCCAAAGATTCCTTGTGATATAACCCACGGAATGTCTAGCCAGGTTATTCGGTGATTGACTTCCCAAAGATATCTCGTCCACGTTTCAAAAATGCATCGAGTATATTGAAAGCGAAGATCTTAATATGGGCAGTCTGTCTAAAACCAAGTATTTGAGGTCACGAGATGGTGAGTGTAACGGAAGCTTCCATTCAACCTTTTGAGGAATCGCCGTTTAAACAACAGCACACAGGATCGAACAGATATCACCCAATACTCGGTCTCGGTTGCATTCGATGTCACAGAGCTCGATCACTATCCAGTTCATGCAACTGAAGTTTAGTATCTACCTAGTAGCGATCACGACGCAAGGGCACGTAGTGACAACGAATGCTACCTTTCAAGAGCTGGTCATGAGGGGTTTTTTGTCTAACTTTTTGATATCATATTCAGAATAGTCGAAAAACTAAACTTCAACAATCTGCGTATACGAGCGGAGCTGCGTGATATACCTTCTTCTTCTTCTTCTTCTTCCTATTTTGCCCCTAACTCTCCAAAAGGCTTACGAATAGGAATTCAGTTTTCCACCGTGGGGTGAGACCGTGACCGATTGAAGCTATTTGATACGTCCATATTTCAGGGCCGAAAAAAAGAAAGAAAGAAGGAAAGAGCTAGATCCGGTGAACATTAACCGCATACGCATGATGCATAATATATACTATGCCCTCCGCATTCACCAACCCGTTTCCAAACTTGCATTTTGGTAATATGTGAGTAAAAAGAACCCGCGATCCATCCCGCGCCAAGTGGCATCTTTGGGTCGATCAGTTGGATATTCAAGGTTTTTTTTCTGGGGTTGCCTTCATGCGGTCTGAACTCGAATATAGAAAAAAACGAATTCGTGATGAATCAATATGAGTGTGTACCCCGAGTCTTGGGATTGATGCAGTGCAATGATCAAGCTTTACCAATTGTTCCAGAGGGTTAGAGTCGGCATACGGAATGGAGCTTTGTAAAAATCCCCAAAAATACATGTACACATGTAAGTGGATTCCTTTTGTCGCGCGACCATCGAGCTAGCTCGTCCCGTATATACCGTATCATAGGTCAAAGCTATCTTCATTACCTAAAAACTTCCCATCCCCACGAACAAACATAAACAGAGATCATCGTTGCAGAATTAAACTAATCAATAAGTCATCAAATCTAGCATATGTGGGGTTTTCTCCGGTTTGTCTTTGAATTCCTGAAAACAAGTTCCCGTGGTAAAACATACATGTAACTTTCCTCCTTTTTTTTTGATCCGTATGGATCATCTTAAGTTCCGCATCTGCGGGTTCGGGATGTGTATGTAAGTACTCACATACTTACATCTGTACAGAGGCTCTGCGGTCTCACCAGCCGGAACAATCTTCTGATCATAACGGCTTGAAAGCACGAACGGGAACGGGATTAATTATGGTATACCGGCAAGCCGCTATAGGCCGTTTGTGTATGTTATCTCGGAGTGGCCATATGGACGAAAGGAAAAACCTTCCCCAAATAAATTAAACGGGCCTTTCCTACGATGGATTGCATCGGCTTCTTAAGCTCATTGGGGATTCGGAACGGTGGAAAGCGACGAAAGGTGCATGCACACGAGCAGTTGCAGGTAGTAGGCACCGATATGTTTTTCTTTTCTTTCCATGTGTGGCGAATTCCATATTAGTTGGCCTAATTAACTTATTATTATACTCCCCCACCTTTTCGGCTGGGGTTTTTACTCTTTTTATTCTTTTTTTTTATTCTTTTAATTTTCTTTTATCATTTTTCGGGCTTTTCAGCTGCAGTTCGAAAAATTTTCTATGCAGGTTTGTTCGGTTCGGCCTGGGTGGCTGTACTGGCAGATGTAAGTACGGTTGTATTCTTCTTCTGGCTGTGCAAAGCTGCGCTGGCTGGCTGGCCAGGTCTTGGGCTTCGGGCCCTTTTTTCTTGGGCAAGGAAATGCAAGCAAACGTGCATTCAGACGCAGTCAAATTCCTCGAAATTTCACTCCGAGTTCGACCGAATGGCATGGTCTGGAACCCCAATTGGTCGCATTGCCTGATGCATCGATGTCTTCTAGCTGTATGTATAGCAGCAGTCAACTTTAACCCCGTGGTGCTCTATAACTCTATAGTTGTACGGTATACGGTAGGAGTTTTTGGAAATTTCGAGCTCCTACGGCCAGTTGCTTCTGCTCCCTCAGCTATTGCGTACCACCCGGCCGAATGAGGCAGTCCATTGCAGTCTGTACGGTGACGGCACCCCGAAAGAAATTTTTTGCATCCCGTGCATGAGCATGAATACCGAACCGACTTTTTGTTTTTTTGTGATCTACTTTACAGAGGAGTATTATTATGCAGGCAGGCAGCACGAGAACGAGGTTCTAGTAATATTAATCAAATTAAATTCAGTTTATGGATATAATCCAAAGTGCACTATAACTAAATATGGAAGCTTCGTGGGATGAGATGAGATTTAAACTTCTAAGACCTAAGAAGCGAGGAACGGCTGGAGTAAAACCCAACTAATAGATTAGCTAAACCAACTAAAAAAAATCCAAAGGAGCGCAGCTTTCGAACTTCAGCTAGCCCTGGGGATCGATGGGGGGGAGCTGACATCGCGAGTTCACCTTTTTAGGGAAACCGGGTTTCCCAGCTGTCCCAGCTGTCCCAGGGGGAGGACCCGAGTGGTACTTTTGGGTACTTCACTCATACCTTCCCATGGATTTGGGGGGGGTTTGTCATGTCAGTTTTGGTTTTTTTTTGCAGATGCCGTATGTATGTATGAATCGAACCACGGGATTAACTTCACCTAAAGCATGAAAATGAATCATGAATCAGGTTGAGGGTTTTAATTATTTTCCTCGGTTTTTGTTAGGACGACGAAATGTGGCTTTCTAGATCAGGTCTAAATCTCCGCATATCATGTCATACCCGTTGGCCTTGCCATGGAGTCGAATCGGTATCTAAAACACTCGAAAAACTAACAAACCATCTTTCATTCTCTTATCTTCGGGGAACTCGAGCTCGTCTGTGAGAGAATTAATTCCAATCTTTCGGACACGGGCTTTTTTTTTTTTTCGGGGGGAAAGGTTAATATGGCGTAGACGTTAGCTTCACGTTACAGTGGTATGCTTGAAGGAAATATACGGGTGAGATTCGGCCCGATTGAACCCTTTGATTTCCTGGGCATTAGTTAACAGCAAACAAAAAAAACGACCGATTCAGGATGTATTTTTTGATAAGAAGGAGAAGAGAATCGTTAGAGATTCCATCTCGGGTTCCGACGAGCTCTCTCCCGTATCCTCCCTCCCCTTCTGCCTCGTTTTGCTCGTCGATCCGGGTGCATGTCCTATAGGTCAGTTTTCCTGGAACAGCTGGCGCCAAACAAGGCCTACCGATTAATATTCCCAATCCGATAAAACCTCTCGTCGGGATTACGGCAGGTTGATCAGACGAGGGAGACGAGACGAGAAAGCAAGAGCAAAAGGGAACACTGCTTTAGCGCCTTCAGCCTCCTGCTCCTGCTAGCTCCTGCTACAGTGCTCCTGCTTCTCAACATTTCACCATGTAAGCCCAGACCTTGGTTATTCTCTGGTTTGGAGCTCGACCGACACATTTCGGGAAGTTCGAAGTGTTCGAGTTCTTGGAAAAACCTGTCTATGACATGAGGATTCAAGGGTTTTTGATGGGAGACGAAGAAAACCAAGAGACTCGGCCAAAGCTTAGCTTCCTGGAGAAGCTGGAGGCTGACAAGGGAATTATGGTCCACGTATGCCGTGTTTATAGACGCTATGCCGCATCTGATAGCTGTGAACCGTGCACGGATGGTGGTTAAAAAAAACATGGTTGGGGGATTGCATTGCCCATGGATCCGATTCTCGGACTCGTATCGGGATATCGGGATCATCAGTAATTTGCGAGAGCGCTAGAGCTCACTGTCGAGCCCCATGGCCAGATACAGATCTATAGATATGTATCTACTAGTCCATATCTATCTAGCTCTGCATCGACTCGTCTATTTCGAATTTAATTTAAAAATTCGTATTCGGGGTTTATGCAATTATGGATGCACATGTCCACACGTGAGAGTGAGGGGTGATTATCACTGTGATGTAATGAAATCGACGGTTCTGGAAGAAGACTGAGGGGTAGGAGGGGTATCAGCTGAACCCCGTCGACACTAGTCTGTAGATGGATATCAGATGAAAAATACAAGTACAAGAAAGGTTGGGACGAATTTGGCGTCTATCGCGGATATAGACGACCGCTTATCGAAGGAACTCCTCGACGTCGAACATTTGCAACATACAACACGGGGAAACCACTTCATGACATTCATCTTCTGAATATAGTATTTCGAAGTGGCATTTTGCCCTGGGGATGCCCGTCAGAAGGGTCACGGATATCTTTGGAAAAGCTTCCTCGGGTTTCATGATACATTCTCATGCTTTCATGATCTTTCTCTGCTCATAGACAAACGATTACAAATCCCGCCTAGATCCTGACCCGACAAGAGATCGTGGCTCGCCACAGAAGGTATCAGGTTATATCAAAGGTTCTAACCTCCATAAAATAGAAGAATTCGATTTTTCTTCTTCTTCTTCTTCTTCTCTGCATATGCATCTTCCCCGCAAAGGAACTCCGACTTAGCTTCTGCATAATTGATCCCAAAAGTTCCCGCTCCAGAGCTCTGAAAAGCCTAGGCGCCTACGAGCCCGGCCCGGTTATCTCCCGGATCATCCCCAAGTCACCATACATCCTAAAATCATACCACCCTGCAACGCCGGGGAGCTCGGTAGCATCCGAGATAAGCCCAAATATCCCACCACATATAATTACCTCGAACACCCCATGGCTATCGCGGCTTACGAAGAAGAAGAAAAAGAAGTAACTCTAAGTCCCCCACTTCTTCCCCCGGCCGAGCACGAGCTGGATCAAAATGATGAACCAGACTTCAAGCGTCTCAGGTTATCGCCGACGCCTCCGAACCCTGAGAATGCCACTCGGAATCGGCGGCTGATATATCTTCAGAATCATGACGAGTATTTTACAAAAACGGAGCACGCGTTTTCGCTGCCCACGTTGTATAATCAATTGGTTAGTCGGTTTATGAGTGGGAGGGATATGAGGGAGCATGCGGCGGATCCGGCGAGTCAGACGAAGTTTAGTGAGATATTGGCTAGGGATCTAGAACGTGGGGAGGATCGGATGGAGAATATACGACGGCACCAGAAAATGGAAGAAGAGGAGGATGAAGATGAGATGGAGGAAGTTGAAGATGAAGAAGGGAATATTGTCATGAAATCAAAACGAGAAACATTGGATACCGACCTTGACGGAGAGGCAGCAGAAGATGGACTTATCGATGCCGAAAATCTCGATGCCGACATTCTAATACGAGCGGATTCTAATGGGGAGTTTATGAATGTAGAGGATAGAGAAGAGGCATGGGAGATATGGAAGGACATTCTTTCAAGAAGGTTCTTACGGGGCGATGATGAAGATTTTGAGTACGACAGCGTAGATAGGCCTGGTGGGGCCGGAGACCCAAACCACTTAATCGAAGTCGAGATTGAAAGAGATGGATGGGAAGAGTATTTTGACGGAGAGGAAGCCGATGTTTATACTGAAAGAGATGGGAGGATGTATTTGGGTGGTAAAGTAGTGGAAGGAGAGACCGGGATTCAAGACTTCTGAATCTCTTTGTATATTCGCGATCAATACGGTTGAAATCCGTGTATCATAAATACAAGATATTATGTGAATGAGCAGTTATTCCCCCCAAACCCGCCACCTTTAAATACATTTTGAGTTCGAAATCCGCAGAGAGTCGGCATACTTTTACAATACAGAGTAGTACAGTACATCTATCATGGCAACTGTAGGTTAACACTTGCCTACGTACTCAGCGCTGGTGTAGTAAACATCAATGAAACAAGGCGAACGAGTGAACAAAGGGAGTGGATATCGTGACAATCTAAAACGGCTGAAACAAGCTCGCTAAGTATCAATAAAATGGATTGTAAAACGCCGCATATCTGTGAAGGGTATCTTGAACTCAAAGAGAAATGAGGGAAAAGAAAGAAAAGATATATGGAGGTGTTTTGGAAATGTGCAAGTCTTGCGCTGATGATGAATATGAATTTGCGGTGTGGAATAAGATTCAAGTAGGTTTGGAAATACCCTAACGGCTGAAGGGAATATCAACCCCCTCCACGAAGTTTCGCCATGCTTCCCTCTCGCAAGCCTTTCCAGACTCTGTATTTGGTGCATTTAAAATAACGAATTTTTCCCACTTGCAGTCCTCAGTACTCGTAACGATGATTGTATCTTCATCTGTCCATCCAAGAGAGTTTTTTCCAATTCCTTCGACCTTTGCCTGAGTAAAACTCCATTCAGAATTAAAGTACTTCGGCAACAAAGGTAGCTTTCCAAGTAATGAAAATCGCTTGTTGGCTTCCGTAGGACCCATGCCAGCCGTTTCTGCACTCCTGGAGGATGGTCTTTGTTGTTCTGTTGTTGGATTAGAGGCAGAGGCGGCGGCGGCAGCAGGAGGTTGTGAAAATACATCGAAAATGTGAAGGGTTCCTTTATCAGAAGTAACTGCTATTCGATTAGACGATGGCGAAAAGGCCATCGAATATACCATAGCCTTGTCAATTCCACGTCGCAGTTCCGTTACTATTGCAGAACTAGAGGTCGAAAATATCCTGATCAAGGTCCCATTCTCAGAAGCTGTTGCCAGAAGGTCACCATTGGGGCTCAATGCCAACGCCATGATAGCGGATGTATGTGCAGGGACGATGGTGTTATTCCCTGTTTGTAGATCGAAAAGATTGACTTGTCCAATCGTCCGACCTGGGAAAGCGACATGCTTGCTTCCGAGACAAGCGATGCCAAAATCATTGTGTACAGTCTCGAAAGCTTGAAGTCGCTGGGGTGGTGATGAGAAAGTGTAAATTGAAATATGGTTCCTGAGCACGACTACAATCCTTGATCGTGATAAACGGACCCCTAGGACATCTGATTTGAATTCCAAGGTAATCACCACCCTTTGTTTGGCATCATCCCAAATGACGACTTTGTTGGGAGGAAACTTGGGGTCTCTACCTCCCCCTACAAGGGCGAGAAAGTTGGATCTCCCAAGCATGATTGCAATAGCGACACCGCCATCAAACCCTAATATACGACAACAAAAATTAGCACTTTAGTTATGTGGACTACAAAGGGAATATTTCTAGCCATTTTTTATACATACTTCTGTGAATGCGGAGTTCGCAGGGATCGGAATTCATGACTTTTACACAACATCGAAGTTAAATTAGCTCCTTGATATCAACACACAATTAGGTCTAGGGATTTTAACAGCTTACCTGCGAATCCATCTTCCAGGCCGACTGCAAAACAGGACTGATCCTGGTTATAGTTAGCTGAGAGGGCGGTAATGCGCCCGGGGATGGTGAGAGCCTTCCTGGTATTCATTTTGGCCACCGAGTTTCCTGATAGAGAGACTTCGAGTTCCGGTCACTGATGTTGAATGAGTTGGTAGTTGTTGTCGAATACAGTGCATGCAGACGACGTACGACAGCCGAACGTCGGGTTCCAGGCGATAGAGAACGAACTTAGCCGGGGTAAACGAGATGCTGATGCTGGAGAGGTGTTACAAGCGACGAAGATGATGAAGAGTCTGAGATGAAAACTCGAGAGCCGGAAATTTGAATGTGATATCTCAAGGATGGATCCTCAACGCCGCACCCTGATATTCCATTGGTCGAGAACCACTTTACGAGAGGTTATGCAATACTATGCTGCTGCTACTGCTGCTAGGTCAAGGCCGAGCAAACGCCACCTACGTTTGGGCCCGGTTTGATTCGAACGGATTCGATGGTTTAAAGAATTTGACAGAAAGGAGCTTCTAGAAGCCACAAGTAGGACTGGTGTTCAAGGCAAAGATGCTTTGTTATCACAAAACTAGCATCTTATATTCGTTTCAAAAAGTTTGATTCGACGAGGAGACTAAGAAGAAGAAGAAGAATCGTACCCTCTGAGGTATCCCGATGATGTATCGTGGTTTCAAAGGTCTGTAGTCATGCAATTTGGCCGCGCTAGCCACCCAAATCGCAGAGTGACATGCATCCGAACCACGGCTTCGGATTGGTAGATTTCCACTAAGCTTGACCGCTTACTGACCCATAACGTTCGGTGAATGGGCAAAATTGAGTTGCATGTATTTATATTTGTACAGGTGATCATCCAATGTCGTAGGCTGATTATATTATATGAGATCGGAGGAATCTTACCGGGCCTCGTGATAAGTTTATAAAGTAGGCTTTAAGCTTTTCACACTGGGCTGGTACTTAAGCACTTAAGTACTTGTCAACGAGAGAGAGTATGTATACTGTAGTATCACGGATCCGGAACATATGATATGGATATTAATATGATATTCAATATGCGTGTCTGAAGCATGAAGTCGAGAATGGATGCGAATGGAAGTTCAATGTTCTGAAATGTGCGCACATGCGGTATTATTCAGTCCGTCCGCATCTGCGCCACATTCTCTCTCTGAGGGTCAACGTGGCTGGTGAAGGTACCAAGCTTCAGCCACAAAACACCACAATCAAGCTCTCCAGCAGCTGTCCCTGAGTGTGAGTGCTGCTGGGAGCGGGCTAACTTGCAGGACCTGTATCCGGAACAGCGACCGCTACAGGCCAGACCATCGAGCCTGCAATTGCATCCTAGAACATCGAATCCCATCGTCGTCATCGTCATCATCTTCATCATTTCCTTCAATGTCATAGGTAAACATATACATATCTACCTAATCCCCGGGGTGTCTGTGCCGATATCAATAGCCCTAACCACTTTGGCCTCAATTCGATTCCCTAGCTTAGGTACTCACTTCACTTATCTCCACAAACCCTCAAAAAGGCGCGTCGATAGCCCTTCCCCGGATATCTAGCCTGATACCAACCGAAACTCCACACCGGCCTTTTGCGTGAACACTCCGTTATTGGAATCGGTGGTGGATCCTTCTTCTCCCTTCGATCTGCTCTTTTTTAAAACCCTTTAAAAAGAAGAATTCAAGGGCACAGTTATCCTACATAGTTCCTATCAAATAGTGAACAAATGGCAGCAACGTCACCGACAGCGGCAGAGGAAGACCTCTGGTCTTCCATGCTTTCGAATGTCGCTTCCTCGAAACGATTACCTCAGAAATCAATTCTCGTACTCGGTACATATCACCTTCTTTTCGTCCGCGGGGAAATAAATGAAAAAAAAAACCTTTAAAAAAAACCAAATCTGTCTATCGGAACTAGACTAGGAGATGGGAATATAATTCGCTAACTTAGGAGGGATACTGTCGTACAGGAGGTGGTGCGGATGAGCAAAAGGAATTCGTGGATGCCTTGGGTGGCTATACATCGGACAATCGCAAGCAAGGTCGAAGGCCGCCGGTTGCCAATGAATTCGCTCTTGGTTATACATATCTAGATGTTCTCGATGCTGAACAAGAAGGTTGTGTTCAACATATATCATCAGATTACATATCCAATGGTACTAATAAGATATCATGATAGATGTCCTCGCCCGCCTCGGTCTATACCTTGTTTCATCCCCGACACCGGCTTTCTCACCGCTTCTAAAACCGCTATTCACACCTGAATTACTCCCCGATACCCTAGTCATTCTACTCCTCGACTGGCGGACACCTTGGACATGGCTCAGACAAACGAGGCGCTGGATACGGTTACTCCGAAACATATTCTCGCAGTTGGACAATGACGCCAAGGAGGCATTGGAGGAGGTCATGAAGGCTTGTAGGTTCCTTTCCTCATCTTCTACCCAAACTTTTATTTCTTGAAAGTTTTTCCTTTTCTGTGGGGAATAAACCATCCTGAACGGAGGATCTTACGAAGGTTAGGGGAGGCAAGACCGAGGAATTTTGGTGAGACTGGAGCGATTCAAGTCCCTGGGGCGGCTCCTGAGGTACAGATTCCACTGGGACCTGGGGAGTTTGATGAACCGTTAGGATTACCGTTCCTGGTGGTCTGTCAGAATGTAAGTACATCTATTCTAGCTGGTAGGTTTTAGAGGGGTTACTAAACTAAACTATGGGGTGTAGGCCGACAAGATCGAAACTTTAGAGCGGGAAAGAGGGTGGAAAGAAGAAGAGTTTGATTTTGTTCTGCAGTTCATGAGAACAATACTGCTAAAACGTATGATTCAAATATCTCTTAGTCCGGCTTATATGTTACTGACACTACCCCACAGACGGAGCATCACTCATCTATACAAGCCCCTCAATACCCTCCTCCCTTCAATCACTAGTCTACACTTCCCTCTCCCTCCCCGTCTCATCAAAGGTACAATTTCCCCCCTGCACCCTACGTTTACTCTCAAAAGGAACTAACCAAAGACCCCAAGCAAACCCTCCGCCACAATGTAATCGAGCGAGAAAGAGTTCTCGTCCCGCCGTCCTGGGACTCCTGGGGCAAAATCCGTGTTCTCCGCGACTTCGACGTCGAAGGCGTTGGTTCCGGCTGGTCCGTCGACATTGACTTTTCGCCCACATCAGCAGCCTCAATCACAGAATTAGATCTAGACGCCCCAGTCGAAGGTGGCGCGGTGGAGTTATTCGAGGAAGTCATCCGCGACAGTAGGAGTGATGATTCACTTGCTGCATTAAGACCCAAGGGAGCGATAGAGATGCCACCTGTGGATCTACAGGAGTTTTTAGGGACGCAACTTGAGCTTTTGGAAAATAAGAGAGATGATGAAAAGGGTTCTGGGGGAAGTGGAAGCGGGATTGGAGTTGGAGGGAATAGGAACGCTATGGGCACTATAGGGGAGACAGATAGTAGGGTTAGAGATCATGTTGGCCCGGTACAGTTTAATGTCGGAGGGATACAAGTTGATGCGGATGATATGTTACGGAGGATAAAGGTAAGGCCTTTTTTCCTTTTCCTTTTTGCTATTATTGAGGTTGAATAAGTATGCTAATGTGGTTTTATTACAGGACCGAGATGCAGCTGCAAGTCTTGATCCGACAGGCGCAAACGCTGCAGGCGGTGGACCAACATCACCCGGTGGTGATGGCAAGAGTCAGAACGAAGTACTCGCTCAATTTTTCAGCAGCTTGATGAACAAAAAAGGTGGTGGAGGAAAAGGCGGACCAGGCGGTGGAAGTACTGTAAAATAACGACACATACTCACACACACCTACCTCTACCTCTCTTTCCCTCTCTTTCCCTCTTCTCCCCAACCCCCACCACACATAAGATGTATATTTCATATTTTCATCTTACCGATTATTTCCGTCTGAGCGTTATGTCTAAGCCATATTTTTTTTATATTTTATTTCTTGTTTTTCTCTCTCCTAGGATCCTCCCTTTCGTGATGTCTGGGAACGAGGTCCCCCGCCCCCCCTTTCTCCTTTCTCCTTATAAGAAATCAGATGGAACCTGTAATAATCCCTCCTTCTAAAAAAACCTTTCGTATCTTTTTTTATATTTTATTATTTCCCTGGACATTTTCTTTCCTAGTACTTATTACACGGCAGTCGATTGTATATAGCGGGGGGGTATAAACAGAACGGGAAGAAAAGAAGAAAGAGTATATGAATTTCGTGATTTTATCTCGTAATTTAAAGCCTGAATGCGTAGCGCCTAGATTCGAGGCTACCCGAATGCTACGTATTATACTAGTCTGTATTATACATACACATACCTAGGTAAGTATATACCTACCTTGCATGTATATACTATGCTAAGCAGTCCAGCTAGTAGATCTTCGGTCAATTAAGTAATCATAATAGATAAAATGCGTGGGTGCATTTTTTAGTTTTTTTCTAAGTTAATGGGTGGTTATGATACAATGGATGAACCTGACATATCTCAGTCTTCTGATGGGAGCAAAGACATATCTTCTGATACCAACATCATCCACGGTATAAACCATATGAGGAACTCGTTCGTACAAGTCTTGAAGGCGATAGAACAAATGAAATGCTCAGAAGAAAAAAAAAAAAAAAAAAGAAAACACCATTATCCACCGATCAAAAAGATAATTAAAACAGAATTTCGAGAGGGAGGAAAAAGAAGAATATAAACACTTTCAATGACTGAGCTGATACATCCTTCCTCCTACCTATGTGCTCCAGCAAACGCCAAAAGCTTGAAAACAAAAAGAAAAAAACTGCAGAGAGAAAACAGAACGAATAGGCTTGTCAGAGAACTAAATCCCCAAAAAATCAAAAGGAGAAGGGAACAGCCGGTAGTGGGAGCAGAAAAAAGACATCAAACAACTCTGAAAGATGCTATGGCGTTATTTGTCCATCTCAAATTCGACTCTTGTCGGCATTGGAGTTGTAGGAGTCCGTAGTTCTTCCCCAACATGTGTGGTCGCCAAAGAAGATGTCGGGCTACCTAGCAGTGTTCCCGAGGCTCCGTCGTCGTCTGGAATTCCAGTTTTGATCGCTAGCTTCGCAGCCTCATCCACCACGCTGGCTTCCGCACCCTTTAGTAGTTCTCTGTCTCCTTCCATAATACTCTTTGCATCGCCTTCTTCCTCCTCGTCCTCCTTGTACTTCCCGGGTACTGCGTTTCTCTCCATTTCTTTCTGTGCTTCGTCCATCCTTCGTCTGACCTCCTGTGCGACCCGCATGCCATCGTTGACGATGTTGTCGAGAACACCTCTCAGTCCCTTGGCGCCGGCGATGCCTCCACCACCGAGATTTCCGAAGGCGCTGGCACCCGCAGACACATTCCTGCCGCTAGGAGTCTTAGATCCATCTGTTGAAAGCACAATTGAATCCGCAAAACCGGTCTCGAAGAAGTACTCTAGAACTTCGTCTGCGAGCACTATCATTCTGAATGTCGGTAATGTAATATGCAGTGGGTTCGCCGGGTCTAACGCAATATTTGCGGACATTGCCGAAGGTCTAGTGTTTGCATCGATATCTAACGAAGTCTTCTCTCCAGATTCTTCGTCTTTCTCCTTGTCTTTGCCCTTGAGTTCCTTCTCCTTAACCGGGCTCTTCACGCTGTCGCCATCTTCGTCGTCAGATGCCAAATCCAATAAGTCCACCAACTCATCCATTCCCTCAACTCCGGTGCTAACCTCCTCTTGCTTCCCTTGCTGGTCTGGGTCCGCATATTCAAAGCATCGTCTGATGAAACCACTGACACTTCCTAAGAAAGGATCCGTGCCTCCCTTTCCTTCGCTGTTTCTATTCTGATCTCCAATATTTGGCGGTGTCTCCCATCCTCTCCTTGTGATGAATAACAACGCCTCACTGATTCTCAAAATGCCCTCTCGGTCAACCCTCCCGTCACCATCGTCGTCATATAATTCGAAGAAGTAACTTATACTCTCCATGATATCTTTCTTGCCCTTGATCCCGGCTAGTCCTGCAACCACGTCTTGCAACGACAGTCCAGACCTGTAGTCTGTATCCCACCGTCTAAACAGCCTCTGCATGAATTCATGGTCGGCTGGTTCTGCGTTATCACCCCATGGGCTCAAGTTGATACTCTTCTTCCTTCCATTACTGCCCCACTGCGGGTCTAACGACCCGCCAAGGCCCGGGGAGAATAGTTGTGAGGGTGAATCCGCTATCGCCCATTTTGCTACACCAGCCAAGAATTCTCTGAAATAGTCATAGTCCATAAGTTGCGACGAAGGGCCAAGGCCTATGCGTCCCTTTTCATTGATGCTCTTTTCGCTGATGCTCCTAGCCGAGCTCATTACCTTCTTTTCGTTCAGTCGTTCCTTTTCCAGTTCGATCGCTGCAAGTCGTTCTTGGCGTTCATAAAGGACCTTGTAGAACCTATCGTAAATGTATCCGAGGTCATTGGTTGCTAGTCGCTTGCTTTCCGGCCCAAGGTTTCGGAGTGTTGTGCGTTTGGCAAAGGATTCAATGGACGAAAGAACGGAGTCTTTATGCCTGGTTCTTTGGTCGGTGATGGTTTGTTCTGTTATTCCGGAGAATTCGCGGAAGGCAACAACCATGAGCTCTTGGAAGCGTGTGACTGCCCGGAGCTTTTCATTGTCGCTTCTCGGATGGGCACTTTCGTCTAAGCGTAGGAAGTAGTTCTTCAAACAGCTGATGAACGCCCCGTCATCTGTAACATCGAGAAGCTCTTCGCCGTTAATTCGAAGGATGGCGAGACCAACTTGGAAGAGCACCTTGGGGCCTTCGAGGAAGAAGACATCGAGGACTCTGAAGGCGAAGACTAGCGGCATGGAATTGATGAAGAGGGAGAGGAACCATGGAAGCGAGACGACGGAGAGTTGGACGTCCGATTTGACGAGATGCTCCCAAAGGATCGGCATGGTCTTCTCGACAAGTGATTCGAAGACCCTTTGGTCGAGGAGGGTGCCGTACATGGTTTGGGAATAGTAGCCTGGGACTAAGCGGTCGCAGAGGGTGGATAGGAGGAAGAAGGCTTGGGTTTCGGACATGTAGCTATCTAATTGTTAGTTATCGGAGGACGTTTTCGTTAAAAAATGGATTGCGAATACTGACATCAGTAGGGCAGCCACGACTATATTCATTGCCTGGCAATAACCGACATCCGGGTTCTTCCAACTGTATGCGCTAAGTACTCGACGGAGTCTTCCTATTCCTTCTTCGCTTTGGAAACCTGGGTATTCGGGTAAACTACGGTTCAGGTCCTTTTCGATTTCGTCAATGGATAATGAATGTCGGCCCGAAAACTCGGTGAGGGTATCTGTGTATAGTGTCGGGTTGAAAAGACGTCCGTACAGCGACCCGGAGGTCAATTCCCAAACTTCCCCACGTAACCTCTGCAGGTTATTTGTTAGTTATGTTAATTCGAGTTGATATGGTGTTTGGGTGAGCCTACATTAGGTAACCCGACCCGGATAAGCTTGTGGAACGTTGGCTGTCGTATCAGAGTGATATTCCGGCCGTTTTCTACCAGATAGTCAGTAAGTCGAAATAATTCAGACGTCTCCGTGACTGTGGCCGTGACTGTGACCGGGACGATAGCCACCACGAACCTCGTAGATATTCCGCCCATAATCTCATCTTGCTCCTGTCCCGTAGCTTCTTTGCGTCGCCGGGATATTTCCAAACCATACCCAACCCCGCATCGGGTTCCTCCTTTGCACCGTCTTTCGATTTACCGCCAGTAACTAGCCATTCGCTGTAACAGCTGCCGACAAGCATCCTTAGATTCTTCATTTCGCTCATTTGACTCCTCAAGTTCTTCTTCAAGGCCTCGCAAAACTTCTCGCATGTTGACCGTAGTGAATTGAATTGTAATGTGAGTTTTTGATCGTTGTGCCATGTTGTAACAGCTAGGGCAAATAGGTAACTTCGGGAATGAAGTCTTTCCACCCGTCGGATTGCCACCAGTGGTAATGTGAAGCCGCAGCTTGGAGGTCCAGCTGTACTGGATGATGATGAACTAGCTCCCGAAACGGAAGATGGTGCAGATGAGGAGAAGCAGAGGAACGATTCGGAAAGATGGAGACGGCCAAAGTAGTGTTCCCCGGTGGGTAGACTTAACTCGCAGGGTATGACTGCGAGTGGACTTTCAGAGTCCGGGAGACGGAAGTTGGAGCGGAAAAGGACGGCAGGAGTTTGACCATCGTTGGTAGAGCCGTTGACCTGATTGAGTAGGGAAGGTGGGAGGATGTTCGGATCTATCAAGGACGAAGCCTTGGAGATCAGGGAGGATAGAGAGAGCATGACCCGATGAGATTGTGTACCGATGCAGCAATTTGAAGTTTTGTAACTAGTGACAAGCTTGTGACTCAGAACCTACAAATGTGCAAACACAGTATCAATCTGGGTAGAGGAGAAAAATCGGAGATGATATGATGATATCAGGTGCGGTATTGGATGGAATGGATGGATGGAGTGCAGTGTGGTGTAGTGTAGTGGTGTGTGTGGTAAGTGTGAGGTGAGTGAGTTGGATGTGTGTTAGTAATTGTGGTTGGTTGGTTGTGGCAGCTTCCCGCAAGCAGCAGTACAGGATCCCCCGCCAAACGCCAAACGGAACAGATTGATGGATTCGAGGGGCACTAAGTCTGCAATATCATAAGACAAGACAAGATAAGACCAAAAAAAAAGCCACTCGGGTGACGGAAGAAGGTATTGATTGTAGATAAAAATGATTATTTAGATACTTAAGTAGATATGTAGACAGTAAAATTGAAAAGGAAAAGGAGAGTTTATCTCAGGTTGGAGTCGAGTCGGGTCGAGCAGGGGCACAGACAGCAATCCAACTGTAACCAGCATAGCCAAACTATCTCCATTTGAGCCCCGTCAGCGTCGCAATCACATTGTATATTAGCTGGTGCTAACCGCCTTTGGATTTGGAATATATCCATAAGCTAAATACTATATAATATACTATACACACTTTCTCACAGTATATTTCATAATTAATAAGTAGTACCTAAGTATTTATCTATAGTACTTAGTATGTGGCATGATGAAGATTATAAGTATAATTATAATACGGTTGACAGGTAACAGCTTCCAGATTGCAGCTGTCGGTCGGCTGCATGGCGTCCAATAGCTTAGCTAGCTTGATCGGAGCTAAGAGCTTGTCACATAGAATCCACAAGCTACTATGTACAATCCACAATCTACAATTTAAAACCTACAATCTCGTGTTATTTTTATACTAAAAAAGGTCGTGTTTCTATCAAATGAGTACCTAAAGTAAGTACTTAATTTGTATAGGCTGTATTCGATATTAATTATAACCGTAACCATCGACGCGTGTGCCACTATAAATGCGACTGGGATGGCCGTGGTTAAGGTTACTGCGTCTATGGTCAACTGTTACGAGAACTGGGTCAACCGGGGAGATGCGTTGCTTCGGTCAAACAACAACAACAAACAACACCAACAACCGACAACGTCACAACAACAACGCCAAAAAAAAAGTGACTGGCGATGCCCTTGTCCTGTCCTGTTCTGCGCTCGATCGGTCGAAATTCATGATTTTGATTGATTGAACCTCTCACCTTGCCCACATGACTGCTCATCTCCACACACCATCTCCTCCCCTCTCCCCTCTCCCCAGTCCCATCCTACCTACCTAACTAACTACTTACTCTTCATCTTCATTCTCCTTCCATCGCGACTCTTTTTCCTTTCTTCGACATCTTTCCTTCTAGCTTCCATTACAGTCTCGAATACTCTCCCATCGGTTGCCAATTCCATCTTCGCTACACCTGCATTCCAACCCGCCCGTTAGTCTCATTTTCCCGTCACGTTTCCTCCAATCCTGCATTATCACCCACCCACCCACCACCATACCGAACTCCCCTGTCGCAAATAATCAGAAACCCCATACCGTGCACGTCAATCCTCCAATAATACAGCTGCACGACACAGCTGGCCAAATTGTTGTTGTCGTTCAAGATGGCCGACCCACTCGCCTTTTCCCATGACAATTCCATTGACAGCATCCTCTCTGAGGGTTCTTCAGTAGGCGGTACCCCTCGTCGCGCTCATCCTGCTCGTTTTCCTAAACCCACCACGGCTTCGGAGACCCAAGGCACTCTCAAAGCCTCCAGACTCGCGTCTCCACCGGGTCGCACGCCTACTCGCACAAACTCTGGCGGCAACGATTCTATTTTGTCGGAAGAATCGCCACTCGCAAACCGTTCAACCGCTTCGCGCAAAAATTCCGGTGAAAGCCAAGGTGGTCTTCCTCCCACGACGCCTTCTAACATAAACGTTGGGAAAAATACCAAAGGTAGAACTTCCACCGCGCGACGTTCAAAGATGAACCGTCGCAAGTCAGTCGCCGGTATGTCGGAAGACGAGTCTTCTGCCAGCGAGGCCGAGGGCCCTGCTGGATCCGAGAAAATATTCGAAAAGGCTTTCCAGAAATACGACAAAAATGATGATGGACAAGTAAGTCACTTCTTTCTTTTCATTAATTTTATCATTATTATCTATTTACTTCATATATTGTCTCTTATTATTATTATATGTGTCCTCGAGACTGTTATGCGCCCATTTATGTCAGCCTTACTAACAAAGATCCAATCCACAGATCCCAATGTCCGACTTCCTACACTTCTTTGATACCCTACAAACACAGCTACCGCCTCTCTCGGAGCCTCTTCTTCAACCCGGTGTCAGAGAGCAAATGATTAACATGATGTCTGATGTCATGGCACAATCTGGTAGTCCAATCTATATCAGTAAAACCGAAACGAAGGATTTCTATAGAACAGTTGCTGGGAAAGACATCACTCAAGAACTGAACGACCGAAGACACGGAACATTCCCGAAGGCAGGAGAGGTCTCAAGCTTCAGAGGAAGGCTGGAGGCGGCACGAATACCTGAAGATATCGACACAACTATGATGGACACACCACGCCGCGGCTCGGCCATAAGCCCCGAGAGACGGACACCATTTGGCGGTTCCTTCGCCCGGCCAACTGGCCCTAGGAGACAACAGTCCATTGGCATCAGTCCATTCGGTGAAATCCCCGATGATGAGCTTAGCGATCTCGGATCGGAAGCAAGTGCCGAACTTACTGGCAACTTTCTCGCCGCATCGACCCCAGCTCAGGTCTCCAAAAGGCCAGGGCATGGTTACTTCAGTCCCCCTATTGCAAGCCCGACTCATTCTACTTTATCATTTGGCGACATTTCCGCCGCTCCAGGGCTTAGAGCTACGATGGGATCCCCTGGGTTTAACGCATCCGCAATCCTCGAGCAGGACCTCGCAAATGTCCACAGGGAACTCAAACAAAAACAAGCCGATTTCGATGAAAAGGAACAAGAACTCAACGAACTTAGGCTTAGGGTCGATAGGAATAGAGAAGAGTTCGAAGACGAAATCATGGGTCTGAATGAGGAGATAGCCCGGAATCGAAAAGATCTATCAGAAAAACGATCAGAGATTGCTCAACTCAATCGGGACAAAGACGATCTGCGAGCCGAAGCAGCTGTCTACCTTGACCAAGTTTCCGACGCCAAGAAAGATATAGAACAGTTCCACCATCAACATACCGTAGATCGGGAAAACATCTATAATCTATCCCAGGATAATCAGAAATATGGCAAACAAGCCGCCGATGCCCTCCGTCGCGTTGAAGCCCTTACAGCGGACCTCCAAACAGTTATGGAACAGAAGGGAGAGATCGAAGCACAAAGAGCATCTCTCCAAAGAAAGGCGGACCTTATGACTGGACTACACAAACAGATCAAAGATTTACGGGAGGACCAGAAGGAGCGAGAGTTTGAGATCGATAGGCTCAGGTCCGAACTCCACAGTCGACAAATGGATATTGAAATGCTCATGACTGGTAACCCCACCACTACCGGCAGGTCGAGACTTAGTACTGGCCCAGGCACTTTGGGCTTGCTGAGTGATGAGTTGGGCGACAATGGACTCGAGGATGAAGATGAGGACGAAGAAGACGAGGAGGAAGAGGAGGTTGTCACCACTACGAAGACAATTAAACGAAAGAAGAAGGCAGCAATTCAAAAGAAAGGAGATACATCCCTTTCCGACATTGCCTCTCCAGAACCCTTCGAAATTGTTGAAAGAATTGCCGAAACCTCAGAACGTGGTATTCAGTGCGATCCATTCCCATGGACCGCCGAGTCAGGTACTAGTATGGAAGATGACTCGCCGATCCGGATGTTTACGACTGAAACCCAAACGGATGTCACCGTCCCCGCCGGTGTTTCCCTCCAAGAACACTACGAGGCGCTTGCGCCTCTTCCCCCCCTACCAATTCTTGAATTCTCGATGGACGAGGAAGGACTTCAAAAAATCAGCGATTATGAAGAGCTCGCAAAGGAGGCAGAACTCTCGCGCAAACAACTTCGTGAGCTCAGCCAAGCTATTGGTGTACAGGCAGATGTCATTGAGCGACTCAAGATGCTCGGTGAAGCCAATGCCACCCACAAAGTTCGCAAGGTTGTTACCGTCGTTGAGAAATTCATGCCAGGCGAAAACCCCATCGCCTATCTCAACTACGCTACCTTTTGGCTCCAGAACTGGCTTTACTATGCCTTCAAGCGGCAGTTTTATAAGTCAGAGAAAGGAGACGAATGGGAAAATTTCCTAGCCTCTCACCCCCAACCGAATATGAATGCCGTCGCCTCATTGCTAGTTTTTTTCATTCTGATTTTCGTTATGGCTTATCTTATTATCAGCCTTCAATTACAGAAGAGTAATCAAGATGCCATGTGGAAGCAGTTGAATACTTTGAAAGGTTATCCGAAAAACCCTGGGACGTCCGGGCCGCTCTTCGGGAGTAGAACTTGGAGAGTTTTCAAGTTCGATCTCCAGCGGATGTTGTACGGACAGGTCAGGTTCCCCGTTTGAGAGAAAAGGCTATCTGTCTCTCACGCCGGAAGCCCTCCCTATTCTCTTCAATTTTTTCTTAAACATTCGGTTTGTTCGCATATTCGAAAATGTTATAAACTTTCGTTTAGAGACGAATTACGTGGAATGATGTTTTATACAGACACTACTTGCAGCCTTTGCTCCTTTTTCACCTCTACTTCTGTAATAACCCCTTGTTTCTTTCTTTCTTTCTTCTTTTTTTTTAGGTCGATTATCATAGGAGTTATCAGGAGGGTTGGCCTTTTTGAAGCTGCTTATTTGTATCTTGCATGAGGGTCAAAGGCAGCTTTTTGGTGGCGTTCTATTTGCGAATCCTTTATCTGTTGCTTAGGGGGAGGTCCTCCCTTCATGTATCCGTTTCATTAGCGATTTTCCTGGTAGAGAATAATATGGTACCTTTGGTTATACAGAGTATTCGAATTCCTGATGGATTCAGTAACTATATATAGAGAACCTATGTGACGTTTAGCCTTATGCGGGGGTACGGGCCAGTATGGTATGAAGTGGATCTCATTCGTAAATTTATAAAATATCGTTGTGAAAAACGAAAGACTAATAGAAATTAACAATGATATCTACGAGTACTGTATACGCTAATTCCAGAGTTGACTCCGATTCCATCCAAACACCCTTCCCCTTTGAGCGCCGCAAGACAAAAAGGACATGTATGTCTGTATCTACTTAGCTACGTCTATCCAACAGTTCTACCTAAACCCTCCCCGTAACCCCCAACCACAACACCCCAGCTCCCAAAGCCATACATCCCAAAATTGTAAGCCCATTCGTCGTCGTAGCCATCAATATAGCATACCCCACAATCCACTCCCTAGTCTCAGCATTATACCTCTTCACCTTCCAATCTCTATCCAGCGGGAACGGAGGGTTCAGTCTAAGATCTCTATTATTGTTATCCCCTTCGCCACCGATTACCGTCTTTGGAGTTTTTATCCTAGGTAGGGAAATATGTAATCCTACGGGTTTGTGGTCTGAGAACCTGATCGCTGGGATGGAGGTATATCTGTGGACTTTGATATCGTTTCCTCCTCCTTCTTCTTTCGATAGTGATGGTGAGCTGGGGTTTGCGGGTAACCAGAGGATACGGTCACACCATGACGGCCAACGGTTTGGAGACCAGTCGAATATATCCTCTTGAGATTGTTTTCGTCGTTTATCACCTCGAGTACTACTACTACTGCTACCACCACCAAGTCCTTCTTCTGCGTCTTCTAGAAGGGATAGTACGTCTTCAAGGTACTTATACGTTGGAGGAAACGTAATAGGTGCCTCTACTAACCCGTGTAGAGTATTACCCGCGGTTAACTCACGGGTCAACTGATCCCTTTTGAAAAACTCATTAAAGTGATCTGTTCTCTTCGGGAAGGATTGGAAATCTTCCGGTGTGGGGGAAGTATGCGAGGTTCTGTAGTTCAGATCACCCATGACTAGGAGATGGCTGTTTGGGTGGTATATCCCCGATACTGGTGACGAAGAAGAATCCGTGGTTGTAGAAATGTTTTCAGAAAGTAAAGGAGTACTTTCCGAAGATGTAATGTTAATAACTGGTGCCGTTTGAGTCGTCGTTTCGAAGATTATACCCCGTGCAAGGGTTTCCCAATCCCTATTACGATCTGTACAACAATGTTCGTGCGCCGAGAGATGAGTAGATACGATGGTGACATTGATTTCTTCCTCTTCCTCTCCATCTTCACCACCACCACCACCAGTAGAATACCCAAACCTAGCCGCCACAGCCCCCTTATTCGCCATCCCCCAGACTCCAAACCCCACTGATCCAAACCGTAGATTCTTAACCCTTTCACTCCTTCTCGCATAGATAAATAACGCTGTCATACCAATCGTATACCGTCCTAATTCTACATACTCGAACGGGAAGTTCTGGTTCGTCGTGCCGGTGGAATGCAGGTATTGAGCCGCGAGGTGGGGCACGGAACTCCATTGGTCTAGGTAAGGAGAGAGGTAGTCGCCACGTAGGAAGCTATAGGATATCGGAGCGAATTCTTGGAGACCTATGGCGATTATTTCGGGAGGTGGTGAGGATGGGTCGAGGGCGGAGAAGAGGTGGGTTGCTAGGATGGAGGGGGTGATTAGGAGGCGGGCACAGTTGAAGGTGAAGAGGTAGATTGGAAGGGAAGGTGGGGATGACATGATTTTGGAGCGAGTGGTGTCGATGTAGGATGAAAAGGGAGAGAAAGGGAGGGGAAGGTGGAGATGTTTCTTTTTTCTTTGGAGGGGGCAGAGTAGTAGAGGAATCGATGACGTAGGAGGGAGGTTTGGGAAATGTCGCGAGATCTGGTGGCGTGTTGTGGGTGAATGTTGGAATGTGTTGATTTTGTGGTAAGGACGACTGTGCAACACAAATCCCTGACAGTAATGGCGGTAATGTGGTACGAAAACTTCAAAAGGGAAGTCGACTCAGCTCAGCCCTGCTCGTATGCACGCCAGATGCGAGTAAGAAGCAGAAGTAGGTGCAGATGCAGATGCAGAAGGGGAGAGGAGGGGGGGTTAATTCTCACATTTCTGAGTTCTAACCTCTTTCCAGACTTCTGGGATTTTATTTCTACGTTCCAAACCGGGCAATTTACCACTTAAAGCACTGGATTCACGTTACAAGATTTATGCTTTAGTACTATAGTGGCTATAGTGGCATATCAAAGTGTTCACCTTGAAACAACCCTGATGTTCTACTTTGTGCGATTGTTGAACAAGAAACAGGTACCGGATTACCCGAAAGCTCGAACGTTAAACTCGAATGACCAGCTGAAGGATTTGATCCTATCAGCCCTGGCCAGGGAAGTATTGGTATACTAGTATACCGTTTACTCTTACTCTGTGTGCATGTGGTTCTGAAATGTTTTGAAGGGGTTGAGTCATGTACGTACACTCTATCGTCGTGAGGCACAATAGGCTAATTCTTTTCTTAAGTCTAATTCTCATTTGTATCCATCCTTTTTTTAGTTAATCGATTGATTGTATAATTGATTAATCAATTACTTGAATATATAAAGACAGAGGTCGGGATCGGGATATTAATTTGTGCTACACCCCGTTCACAACCGCAAGCTAGCAAGGCTCTGGTTTCTAACTTGAAATTCTCAAATCTTATATATTAAGCAATCAGGTAATTCTTTACTCTTCGATCTGCGAGATTCATTTCTTTACAGTTCTTTCTTTGTTCATTTAACAAACAGGGTTCTTCTTCTTTTTTTCTCTCTTTTTTTCTTTTTTTATATCTTCGTCGAGGCGTATATATTTCGAATACTTCACCATATAAAACCCCCACACCAGCCTTGTGGATTCGAGGCTATCAAACTATCCTATCCTATAGTATACTCTTGATCGAGCATCTACCGTATAACTATACCATCCAAGTACCTACTTAGTACCCAAGTACCTACCTAAGTACTTATATACTTTATCCTCAACCTCTTGCAAGAAAAGAGGTGGAAAAAAGAAAGAAAAGAAGATGACCACCGCAACAATAACAATGACCCACCAACCTCCCTCCTCCCAAACCATGACCACCTCCAGCACCCCCACAAATTGCAGTAATCATAATAATAGCAGATATACAATAACCCGTTCAACCTCAGAACGTCAAACCCTCAACTCCCTAGTCCGCGCATCCGCTCTCTTCAAATCCGCGTTCGAAGACGGAATCCTCTTCGAAGATGCATCAATCTACAAAGAAGAAGCATACTTCATCGCTTACTTCGCCGATAGTTTTAGAAAAAGACCTAGAACTTTATCGGATCTTGATGTTGTCTTGTTGAGTTATCCTACCGCGAAAGTTGCCTGTGGGTCTCCTTATTCGTCGAATACTGGCATTGCCTCTGGTTCTGGGGGGGCTAGGCCTGGTTCAGCTTCGTCTGCTATCAGTAGTAGTAGTAGCAGCATTGGTGGTGGTAGTAGTGGCGGCCAGGCTAGGATTGCGAATACGCAGACAACTACACCATGGTATCATGCTAGAATTCTTAACGGACCAGCAGAATTCTCAGAAAGGGTAGTAGCAAACCACAAAGCCATTGTTGAAATCAGCGAACAGTTCATCAGTAAGATGAAATATCCAACTTTACTCGTCAACACCACTACTCAAGCCACCGCCGACGACGGGAACAAAGCAGAAAGGGAAAAAGAAGCTACGGATTTAAAACAGAAATATTTGGAAGAAGGAGCACCGGCATCAAATACTGAGAAACAAACTATAATCCGTGGGTTTTATAGATTATGGTTGATATCTTTGGTATACGGTGCGAATGCTGTCCCGGAATCTGGTGAGAGAAATGTAGATTCGGACTTTGGACGGATGATGGCGTGTTATAGATGTCTAGGCGGGCTAAAATACTGGGATGTAAAAGTGATACAGATATTAATGGCGTATCTGTCGAAAGAGTTGAAACCAGTATTTTGGTATTACAAGAGGATAGAAAAGGTGGTTAACGAAGGGATTCTGAACAGTAATTTTACTGAGGCAGCTGCAGAAGGTATGTTTTCTTCACCTTTTAACAGAGTTAAAAGTCAAATTCATCAAAAAATTTTCATATATAACAAAACTAACATAACATTCATAAATATTTAGAAATATATACCAGTCGATACTTCAATACCTTCATGACAACAGAATTCCCCCACAACGCCGCATCATGGCTCAAACACTCCAAAAAACCCCTCCTCCTGAGCGAAAGATTCTCCACCCTCTCCTCCGTCATCAAACTAACAACCCCCAAACACCCAAACGAAGAATCCCTCCGCTTCTTCCTCTCCAAAGACGTCCTCAAATGGCACGCCCGCGAACTTCAAAGTCCCTGGTCCGTAATCTCAGGCAAAGAATTCTCAGAAAACGTCCCCCTGAAGCCGCTATGTAAAGCCGTGGGCGACGGACTAGGCCACAAACTCCCAGATACGGCTATTCCAGCGGTTAAAAAGTCCGCTTGGTTGGTGGTTGAATTGGGGAGACAGGATTCTACAGACACGGACTTTTGGGGCGGGGTTTGGGATGATGAGAGGTTACGGGGATGGGGCTATTGTCTTCCGAAGTTTGAAGAAGAAAATCTGGGGAAGAAGGCTTGGAAGGGCCATTTGAGGAGACTGTCCAGCAGGTTGAAGTTGCATTGATGCAGTTGTGGTGCATGTATACCCTGGTTGTATGCATATACTTGTATAAGGAATACTATGCAAATCTTGGGTCAAGGAGTTTTATAGGTGGCATTTTTCAATATTTATCTAGGGTGTTTATTATTATTTCCGCGGATGTTCATATACTTTTTTGTTTCTTTCTCCATTTAAGCGTATACTATAGCCAAATATCAATATTTTCTAAACATGAAGGGATAGTGTTGTAGATGTTGTATATTTCCGTACAATAGACTTAAAGGTCTCCCACTGAAATCCAATCCTGGGGACACATTTTATCCGTTGGATCGATAACCACAATACCCTTTGAAGTTAATGCATGGATAAAAACGTTTAAACGGGAGGCTAAAATAAACCACAAGTTTACTGATCTTAGGGTTATCGCTAGATATCGTGAATTCTTCCTAGTAGATCAACACCGCCACAATCGTATAGCATATGTTGATAACGACTAATGGCGGGGAATTTAAACAACAGCGGCCCAAGCTTTTCCTTCGCGACGCATGCAACCTTATTGGCGGTGATGATCGGAGGGATTAAGACCCAGGAAGGACGGCTTAAGGGTGGTAACACAAGGTCCTTATAAGATCTTCTGCCCTTTGATATGGGTGGTGACTTCTGAACATGTACTGCGTAAGTTAATTTTCGCTCAGGCTCAGTGCTGGGAATGTGCATCATGAATTCTTGGTCGACGATCATAAAGCCTGCTAGTCCGGTTTCATCAGTCGTTCCCGCATCGAAAATCGTCTGCCAGAGTCGAGTGGCGAGAAAATGGCGCAAGCAAACGCCCTTCCCCTCAAAAATCTATCATTCCGTGCCGTCGCGATGGAGGAATAAAGCAGGGGATGTTAATTAAGTTGGAAGGTGTGAGTAAATTGGGCTATAAGTAAACCCATGGCATCGAGGGCATCGATTATGTTCAAAACCTTGAGGGTTTTGCGGGAGAGTCATCGCCTAGCTGGGTACCCTCGAGCGCAAAATAGTTACTTTAAGGGAATGTTTATTTTATTTTATTTTTTTTAGAATGAATGTGCACACATCAAGTTGATACTTTGTAGGCGGTCTCGCTTCTCGGAATAATTCAGCTGTGCAAGTATTGAATGATATGCATTGAACCTGGCTCGATTTGATCTTTCTGGAGTGCGTTGCATGTTGGTTGGATACAGCGCCATAACATGTATATGTATAGCTCTCAACAGGGTGTCGAGAGCAGGAACAACGGGATTTTTGAAAGAACAAGCGATTGCAGGCTGCCAAATATTTCTTTAGCGGTAAGTAAAATTTTGATAATGTCAATATTGGATGATTTATAATTCACGCAGCAGCAAATGGAGCCGTGCAATCGGATTTCGAAGTCGTCGCCGCCATCGCTTGACGGCGATATGGTACCTTCGACGCCTCCCACGCAAACGCGAGTGAAGTACCCTGCTAGCTTCTGCTGCACTGCTGCAGCTAGTATCCCCACAGATGTGACGATTGTCGAAGAGCTCAGGATAATTAAGCCCACGCCTTTGGGTTTAAGCAGGTTCCCCCTTGTTTGCTTCTGGTGGATGTCTGTAGTAGTAGTTGTGTCTTCTTTTTTTTCCTGTTGCCATTTCTCTTCGGACATCGGGATGTCATTGTCGTCGCAGAGTGCAGTCAGTCAGCCATCGCATTTGCAGGTTTTGATAGTTTCACTTGCACTTTGCAGCGTTGTCCTCTGCTGGACAATTCGCCAACACTCAGTCACGATGATCGCTGGTGAGAAAGTCAAGCCATCCCAGCGACTTGTGTGAGAACACCCAGGGCCAAGGCGATGGGATATGCCTCTCCTTCTGTTCCGAATACCAGTTTGAGCATCTTTGTGCCGATGGTAACCCAAAATTACTCGTACGGGTTATCCGTCAGAGTAGGGTTTTCAAGTTCGAATGCCCTCTGGTGGAGTAGGAAGTGTCTTTGGGATAACTTTTGGTGCCTTAGCTTATCACATCGAGACCAGCCGGGTCCACTTGTCAGTTTCGCGAGTCTCCACAGTGCATGAGACAGTTCATCAAGTCAAGTTTTGGAGGACTATTTTATAGAAATCCCGCCAGTCCCTGAAAAACAAAAGGACTACAAGAAAGCGACGATCCCTGGTCTTGTTTTGCGACCCGTTTCCCCACGCCTGTCCACGCAGTTTTTATGCATGCAGGCATGTTTTTCTGCATAAGAGTCCCATGTTTGGATGGATGAACCTGATCAGAACGAGAAGTAGCGGAGGTACTTCCGTAAGTACCACTGGGGAAGGGGTACCTGGTAGTTAACTTGGGTACTTCACGTGCCTTAGATGTATTTCAGTTGATAATTTGAAAGAAGGCTGGTGGGGACTTTCGTCATACGCAAGGCATGAGGAATGCTTACAGGTGGCATTTCAACGTCAACTTTTGTGTAAATAATTGTATCACAAAAATTTTGATACTGCGAGGAAATGTAACAATGCTGTTGGAATCGACATACCTGGGTCGAGTCCTTCCTGCAGGTATCAAACAGCTTGAAATACTTGTAGTTGGACGCTTGTTAGTGTAAGCTGATTAGGACGCATCTCGTTACCCCAATCCATCTTTGCTCATGCAGGCAATGCATCTCCCCCCATACTTTTGGGTCCAACCATTCGATCAGCTGGAGTTTTTTACGGCTCCGCTGCTTTTAGTGCCAGCCGGCATAAAACATTAGTATGGTGGTTTAGCTGTGTTTAGAAGCTGAAAGTGATGGTGCAGTGGGGTGTTCGAAGCTTGATTAAAGCTGACATGTGGATATCTTGAAAGCTGACACACCCGCGGTACCCGTAGACACTCGAGACTTGCTGACTCGAGGGTATCGTTATGGCGTCCAAATCTGGTAGCCTAGAATCTGAACCACAGAACCGGCGAGCTTCCAGAACAAAAGAACGTGGGAATGTTGAGTGGAAGGTGTAATGTAATGTATGTAATGTACTTAAGTATGCACATACATGCCAGTAAGTAAGGAAGTATGTAATAGATTCGAAGGGTGGTGTTGTACGAAGTAGGATCGATCAAAGTCTGCACCCGCTTATCGGGAAACGTTTGCCATCCCTGCATGCATGTTCCTTGATGAAGCTCTCCATCCCACATCGGCTGGAATAATTGTCGTCATTCTTGACTAATGCATATCTAAATTTCCTTTCACCCCTCACTGTTTTCCCTTTACTCGACGCAAGTACCCTTGTTGGCGAGCTAGTTTGCCTGTGTCGGACGCTGCCTCGGTTGTTGATGACCAAGTCGCGCCAGCACTTAGTCCTCATTATATCCGGAACCACTATAGCAGCCCACGCGCTGAGGCCGTTGGCGTAGATAAGACACATATTGGCATTTGTCGAGTTTTTTTTTGTATGCCGGAAGACTGGATCCGACACGAAAGCAAACATAGGTTAGGGGGGGAATATCTGTCCCCTAGTACTGCACTCCGATGCGTCCCCAGGCTGACTAACCTGTTCTCACTGATTCCCAGAAATTTCAGAGTTTGGATCCCGAACGTTTCGATATGTCAAAAGTTCGGAAGCGCCAAAATGCGAAGATCTCCAAAGCCGAGGAGCCTATTGGTGCTTCCGAAAATAACAATGTTGGCTCCACCGAACCGGTGAGCCCCGAAGCTGACCAACCAGAACAGCCGTCGGGCACACCGAACGGCAATGATGAGGAACACGAAGTTGCAGACTTGAGCGACGTCGTCAAGTATGGCAAAGACAAAGTCAAGGCTTCAATCGTCAAGCATCGCAAACGCAGTCATCACACGATCGTCTTTATTATAGGCGGTCTCGTGGGAGTATTGGTTGCGATATTTTTCCTCAAACAACAAGATATCGTCCAGCTACCGGATTTTAATCTTGAAACTTTCACGGATGTCTTGCCGTTATCCATTCTAAATGAAGCTAGAGATATATCAAACCGTCAAAAGGATGCCGTCAACTATGATTCCTTCGCCATTGGACTCCGGATGAGGGAAGAAGGTCTCGAGTCGCACTTCCCAGTGGTTATGGTCCCGGGTGTCATCTCCACGGGCCTTGAAAGCTGGGGAACAAGCGCCAAGTCGCTCCCGTATTTTCGGAAGCGCCTCTGGGGATCCTTCACCATGATGAGGACCCTCATGCTTGATAAGGCATTGTGGAAGGAGCATATTATGCTGAATAAAACGACAGGCCTGGACCCTGATGGTATCAAATTACGTGCCGCTCAAGGGTTCGATGCAACAGACTTCTTTGTCACCGGATATTGGATCTGGAGTAAAATCCTCGAGAATCTAGCAACTCTAGGCTATGATCCGACGACTTCGTATACTGCATCATACGATTGGAGGTTATCGTACATCAACCTAGAAAAGCGGGACCAATATTTCACTAGGCTAAAGGCACATATAGAAATGGCGAAAAAGGCGCACGGGCGTAAGTGCATATTGATATCGCATTCTATGGGCTCCCAGGTCGTCTTTTTCTTCCTAAAATGGGTTGAAGCAATGGGTGAAGGCCATGGAAACGGCGGCAAAAGCTGGGTTGAGGACCATATAGATTCCTTTATCAACATCTCAGGCAGCATGCTCGGCGCTGTCAAGGGGATCACGGCAGTGCTCTCCGGGGAAATGAGAGACACAGTTCAGCTCAACCAGTTTGCCGTGTACGGACTGGAGAAATTCTTTTCCAAGGAAGAAAGAGCAGAAATCTTAAGGTCGATGCCTGGAATATCCAGCATGATACCCAAGGGAGGGGATGCAATCTGGGGAAATCTGACTTGGGCACCGGATGATCAAGAAAATCAAACGACAAGCTATGGAAACTTTCTTAAGTTTAAACCTGTCAATGAGACGTCTAAGTTTACCAAAAATATGACAGTCACAGGAGCAATAAACCACCTACTTGAAACATCGGAACCATGGTTTCGAGAGCAAATTTTGGGCAGCTATTCCCACGGAGTCGCTTCGTCTATTCCTGAAGCAAAAGAAAACGAAGCAGATCCTAGGAAATGGATCAATCCCCTCGAAGTTCCTCTACCATACGCACCCAGCATGAAGATATACTGTTTTTACGGCGTTGGCAAGGGTACCGAAAGAAGCTACTACTATGCACAAAATCCTGTAAACGAAAGCTTCATACAAACTGTCATAGACCACACGGTAAATATAGCGGAGGAAGAAACCGATCATGGTGTGATGACGGGCGAAGGAGATGGGACTGTGCCCTTGCTAAGCATGGGATTCATGTGCTCGAAGGGATGGAAGATGAAACGATTTAACCCAGCAAGAATCCCCATCAAGACGTTCGAGATGCTTCATGAGCCCCAGACCTTCGACATGCGGGGTGGTCCCAATACGGCGGATCACGTCGACATTTTAGGACGACAGCAGTTGAACGAATTGATATTACGGGTCGCCGCGGGGAAAGGCGACTCAATACCCGAAAAGAAAATATCGAAGATTGATTTGTATACCTCTCGAGTCGATCTTGGAGGGATGGAAGAGTAGAAATTGTATTTTGTTGAATTTTCCTTGTTTTCTTCCCTTGGAGTATATGCGCTATTTGTTAGAAACACCTGCTCTACTGAGCATGGTAAGATCGAATCAAGGATAGAATTTTCTTTTCTTCGAAAACCAAAAAACTCGGAATTTAAACTCGGACAGCGGAAACTTTGTCTATGTATATACGACCTGCTTTTTCCTGAATTGGTTGAGATTAGCTTTTTTTTTTTCTAGAATGGAACATTAGCATCGAAGGCACATGGTTGAATCGAACTGAATTGTGGTATTTGTCGGGTTTATTTTATTTTATCTTAGTCTTTTTTATCTCGGGCAGACGAAGGCTGCAGGAAAACAGTCGAGATCATACTTGCATGTGCCTGTCCGCTACGTCTGTCGGTGCCGGCCTACGGAAAATAGCACGAAAAGTCCGATGAGATGTTGGAAGGCTAAGAAATTTAAATTTCTTTTTGGTACCGTATCATTGTTCTATTATTCTATTCTGCCAGTCAGTCGCCGTAGATTCGAAGGAAAATACGGGAGTAAATATATAATTTAAAAAAGAATACGTAAGGGGAATGTTCGACTTGAATCAATTTAAATAAGCTTAAGGGGGAGCTCTATAGATAAATATTTTAGCTTCAAACCGTCGAGCTAGCCAGCCGGGACATACCCCCGCTGCATGTACGTACATACATTACATGTGTAAAGAAGCCAGTGCGGTGCAGTGTCATGATCAAGTGAGTTCTCGAGCTCGAGTGTTATAATTGTGTTATCGATCGTATACTTCCTTCTTTCGACCGGGACGGTATAGTAGAGTATACTTAAGTAAGTAAGTACATACTCGAGCAGCATTGCATCTGCATTGGATATAATAAATACACAATCGTATCAGCTGATCGGACGCGGACTGGCTATATATGGCTACGGTACGTATACGGCCCTGGCCATGGTGCATTTATGCTGGACCGAATCAGATATATCTCTGGCTTTGCCCACTCGACGGCGAGAACACAGCTAACTACTCCTTCCCACGCTTCCTATTGGCATTTTATAGAGAACGTTAACATCAGATTTAACTTTCGGATTCCCCACTTGGCCTTGTTATCGGGGGCTGCGGCATTATTGATATCACTCCGGCCAGGGCCACCCACCGCACTGTCAAAGGAGGTATCATTCTTTCTTCTTTTCTGATCCAAAAAAGGATCGGACGAATTCTCTTTTTTTTATTTTTATTTTTTATTTTTATTTTTATTCTTTTTTCTCCAAAGGGCTTTTTACCAGGCCTTAAACGTCGTCATCTGAGGGTCTATTTTCTTTTTTTTCTTTTTCTGATTTCACCTTTCTGCCTCAAACTTGCAACTACAACTTGCAACTTGCAACTGTAGCTTTAGTTAGGAATTGATTGCGATTTATCATACTTTTTTATTTTTTACTTTTATTTTTATTTTTTATTTTTTTATTTTTTATTTCTCCGGTCTGTCTTAGAAAGGCTTTCCTGCAAGTGATTCCGGAAACCAGCGTGGTTCCAACGATCCAGCTCGTTTTCGACTAACGGCTGACCAGCACATGGTATCGGAAACGGAGTAGTCAGCCTTCGAAAGACAATCCAAGTTGAAGCTATCCTATCGTATCCTATACTATACTCCAACACATATTTTTTTTTAAAATTCAGTCTTGGACCGACAGCTGGGAAAGTGTAAAGTAGACTAACTAGCAGAGGAGCGGATCGAGGGTACTTGCATGGTACTTTGGGTACTTTTGGTACTTTTGGTACTTTGGATATACTATCCATTCACCCTTCGAAGGGACCGAGACCACCGTCACAGACACTCAACTTCTACATTACATGACATTACATTGCATTATCACCTTACTCGACGCTGATAAAAATTAACGAAAAGAAAGAGAAAGAGAAAGAGAGAGGTCGATCGAATCGGGAAATCGGAAGGAACCTTTGGAACGACGCCGCCAACCTATTAGCTTTGTTTTCTCATCGCCTTTGACGGCCTTCTTCTAATTTCAACTCGACGACGTTGTATCACACCCGGCCGCCTGTCGTTTCGATTCGATTCCCCTCATTGTGCCCAGCTAGCAAAACAAACCAATAGCATAGCACTTAGCACTTGCCCATTTCTATCGCAAGATCCCGTGCACCCCATCATTGCTCTGATCCAACTTCCTAGCCTGAGCGAAGAAATCAAAAGGCAGCTGCATACTACATACTACATACTACTACATACTATACTATACTATACTGCACAGGAGTAAAGAGGAGGATCAAGCAGGAGTCACATACCGAGCAAACATCACCACCACCACCACCATCATCATCATCATCACCATCATCATCACCAAAATCATCAACATCATCATTTAGCAGCTTGCAGCCCAAACCGATCAGATCCAGATCCAGCCCAGTCGCTGCCTTGCACCGTACTGCACTATATTGCACTATACTGCACCATTACTACGTGTGTGTGTGTGTGCGTGTGTGTCTCTCTCTCTCTCTGTGTGTGTCTGTTTGTGTGAGAGTAAGAGTGTGAGAGTGTGTGCCCATTGCTTGCTTGCTTGGTCCATCCATCCATCCATCCATCCATTGACGAAGACAGACCATATTGTCCCGTACAATACAAACCAAAAAAAAAAAAACCAGCATCAGCACCGAGCGAGTACCTCTCACTTTGCCTGACTAGGTCCGCTTGTCTCGTTGGAGTTTGTGCTAGCAGCAACCACACACCTTTCCTGTTCGTCTGTTTGGTGCAAATCAAAAGCAGGGCCAGCTGTCTTGCCGCCGTCAATTTTTTCCCCCAAGCGTCACTGCACTTTCCATTTGCCTTCAATAAATTGTTCGCTGGGCTCCGACATTCTTCTCTCTCTCACCCCTCCTCCAACCTCCGTCTCCGTTGGACGTGACATTTCTTTCTTTTCTCCTTCACAAAATAAAAATTAAGAGCCTCCAAATCTGGTCGGTTGGTTGACCCCAGCTCCACTTTCCACTGGACCCGAAACATATCTGGGTGGACGCTTTGAAGGGCAGATGAGATATCCAAAACGACTGGCTCTCTTTAGTTACTGGACTGGAAGGTTTTGCCGCTTTTCGCCACTCTCCTTTGAGGACCCTCTCGCCTGGACCGCTTGATATATTCCAACCATTCTTTCACTCTTAACCAAACAACCCTTTGGGCTCTTCTGGACTCGGACTCGGAACTTGGACTTGGACTTGGACTTGGGCTTGGACTTGACTTGCAGCTTTCTGGATCTCTGACAGCAACACACAGCCGCACTTCCTTCAATTGGAACATCTTCTCTCCTGGGACTCGACGACTCTTTTTTTTTTTTTTTTTTCCTGGACCTGGGTTTTGCTGGATCTCAACCTCGACTTACCCTTCTAGTGCGTCTAGATATAACGAATCTATATAGCTTGCTGTATTTTTGTGTGACTGGCCAAATACCACAACATTTTCCTTTCTATCCAGGGGCAGTAGTATCCTATAGCTTGGTACTCTAAATAGCCGTCGTCATCAGCAGGTGAGACTACTGAGCAGGATGGGCGACCCGTATCGTTCGTACCGCCCCAGTCGCGGTGAACCACGATATGAATATCCTGAAGATTACGAATATCCACCTTATCCTGGACGAGGTGGTGCTCCAGAGCCAGCTTATGATCGATCATATGGAGATCCGTACACTCGAGAAGCCGGTTACGACCCTATGCCACCAGCTCCTAGATCTGGTGCTCCTCGTGGCGACTACCGTGCTCCTCGTGGTGACTACAGAGCACCTCCCCCAATAAGAGCCGAACCGGATTATACTCGACGGAGTGGTCGAGATTACGTCCCACCCCCTGCCCCTCGTGGATCTGTCGGGGACCCGTATGTAAACCCAACTTACTACCCGCCCGAGGATCGTCATAGGGCTCCACCACCACCGAGAGATGCCTATGAGAGGGGATATCCACCGGAGCCTGGCTATCGAGACGAAGCTAGATACGGGAGAAGACGGCCACGAGAAGATGAATATGAAATGCCAGCACATAGCAGGGAGTACGATTATAACTACGAACCGGAAATTCAAGCTTCCCAGAGGAGGCCTCCGCCGCCCCCGATTGAATACAGGGGCGGTGCTGGTGCCCAATATGAGGCTGATCTGGCGAGGAGACGTCCAAGGGATGCTCGAGAACCCGCTTCCAAGTTACAACCATCGATACCTTCGCAACCGTCTCCCGAAAATGTAGACGATGAATTTACACTCCTTGCGGATGGAATCAGAAAAGAGGTTTTGCAGAAATATATCACTCGGTTCCTCGGCAACGATGCTGTCTCGAGGGGGCCGATGAAAGAAGGCGATGTACGTGTGCCATCGATGTGTAATAACTCTAAAGACTGTCCCGACTAATCCAGTGACCTTCATGGCAGGCACTCGTTTATAAATATTCTGCATATCGCCAGTTCACAACAGTACGTACCTAATTTACTCGAGCTGTCTATTAACCAACTGCTAACATATCCACTACTGTGAAGGAGCAAATTCGGGACTTAAAACGAGCGTCGGAATTATCTGAACCTGGCTGTAAGTATACGTTTTTATCCTGAGCAAACCATAGAAGAGGAGGACCTCAATTTTCCGTCTTACTATCTTGAAATACCCTCTTCCCTTTCTTGTTCCCTCCGAAACCAGCCTACCCAAAACAAAATAAAGTCAACATCTTGACCCCCCTTCGAATTCGATTATAGATGCCCGAGGTATCGACACGCGAGCAAGAGAAGCACCAGGACAAGTCGTCGCTGCATCAACAAGGCCAACCGGTCGCAGGAATACGGATGAGGATTCCATGATGCCCGAACCAGTAATGCCCAGGGATGAGTACGTCTACAGTGCTGGCAACCAAGGAACCCGAGCTCCAGCTCGTGAAATCCGTGCTGGACGATCGCCGCACGACCCACCGTATGGTTCCTACCACGATACTGGCCGACATGGACGCCCGCCTATAGAGGCCTCTTCAATGCGACCTGGACAGGACGACGACGATGAAATGGAAGACTAGATCCCTCATATGTGTGGAAAATACCATAGATATGGTTAGCGTCAACGTTCCCGGGGATGTCCGACTCTCTTCATGGACCTTGACTTCACCAATATGGCTTTCCTTCTGCTCGCTCTTCCTGTATGTTCAACCACCTACAACACATCCCTTCCGACCTCCTTTGGACCACTTCTTTACTACCCTGGACCCTCTAATCTCACGACACTATTATTCCGAATCTCTCTCTTGGCTCTTTACGACATTTATGTACATATGCAACGCACACATTGGATCAGGCGCCTATACATAGTATTCTTGTTTTCGAACATTGCAGGATAATATCTCCTTTCCCTGGATACGATTTATTGGATTCGACACCTGGAGCGACTCGAAAAGAAAAGTTTTTCCCTGGATTCTGTATTTCTAGACACTTGGAGATTTCGACGAGTACTCATTTATAACATGTGGATCTTGTCGACTTTGCCCTGGAAGACATTCGGTCTGATCATCTTCCCTGGATATCTGCCGGTTCTCTTAAGGCCATCATCTATCTCGCCAATTTTTGTTTAAGGACCTGCCGACACTTGGGATTTTTTTTCCGCCTGGATTTCTGGAACTATATCCAATATATTTTAAAAGAAAAAAAAGTCCTGTAATCCCCCTTGACTTTGGACCTGTTTCATCGAGAAAGAAGAAAGAGGGAAAAAAAATAAAACCGCGCATCTTTGTCAACCCCTTCTGCAGCCATCTCCAAAATCCATACCGTTGTAGCATTGAACTGGTTTCCTATCACCATCTTCCACTCTTCCTGGCATATACCTGAACCTCCCTTTTTCTCTTCTTGGACATATTGAAGTGCGCACAGACACCCTCTTACACAAAAACAAACATTTGGACCTCTAGCTCTGTTTTCAAATCTCTGGATACGATCATGTGTATGATGTAACGAGATCCCTTTTTTCCTCTTCGCTGTTTCCTTTTATGTTTCCTACCGGGTCTTTAGGGGATTGTTTTTTTTTTAAACGGGGTAACAAAACCCAAAGAGAGAAGAGAGATCTCGGGCCTCTTCCATCTTATCTGGTATTTCACATGGGCCTCATTCTCTTCTTCTTCTTTTTGTTTCTTCCCTTTCCTTCTTTCCTTCCATTTCTTTCCTTTCCCTTTTTTATATTTTTTTCTAACAAAAAACACGAAGAGCGTAATCTCTAATCCTACGACCACTTGTTTCGTTCCTCATACCTTCTTCTTATAAGCTTCTTTTTGATGTCAAAGTGTTCCTAGTTTATTCTGTCTGTTGCTTTGCACACATATTGAGTTTAGATATATTACGGCTGAAGGCGTTCACAAGTGCTCTACTGCTGCTACTATTGCTGCTGCTGCTACTGTGTTAAAGTATTGGATTATTTTATTTTATTTTTACTTTGATCTCTCTCTTTTTTTTGAATGCTTTTTCCCCCTTCTGCCATCGTTTGGAATTTTCATACTATTCATATTTTTATTTTTATTTTTATTTTTGTCTACTTGATCGAAATCTCCTCTTGTCACGTTAGCAGTATTCTCATTGCGAAATCTATGAATTGAATTGAAATGAACTGAATTGAATTGAATCCAATCGATGATGAATAAGCATGAGTGTCACCACCTGACGAGACAATCACCACCCTCCTTTCCTTATGCTTTACCCCAGCTTGAAAGGAAATATAAAATTTAAATAATCAAGGAAATTTCCCCCTCTCCCTTTCTCTCTCTGTTAATTGAGATCTTAGGCAAGCATAAACCTTGATACTGTACTCTCTCTCTCCCTCTCCCTTCCCTGCCCTCATCTGCACTGCACCTGGTATTGAGGCAGGAATACTCTCTCTCTCTCAAGCCCTCTTCCACCATAAATGCATGCATACATGCATGCATCTGCTACAATATAATTTACAAAACTAATTTAATTAAATTAAGCCAATAGAGAAGACAATTTGGGGTTTTTTATTTATTTATTTTTTATAAATGTTAAAAGTTAACCAAACCCCATATCCATGTCCATACCCATGAGTTTACACAGTAGTCGATTTCCCTTGTATCGATTCCCGAGACGTTAAAGAAGAAGAAGAAGAAAACACACACGAAAAAGGGATTCTAGATCTCGGAAGACAATCTTCAAAGTGTGAGGTGATACGTCACACCACGAAAAGAATGGCCTTCAAGGATAATCCGCCTACGAAAATTATAAAAGATTTATTCGAAGAGGGAAAAAAAAAAGAGAGAATGCGTTACGGCATACCCTACACAAGCGATATCACAAAAGTACCACGCCACTGACGCTGCTTATTTAGAAATACCTCGGGATGTCAAAATCTGATCCAATCTGGAGGATGTTTTTCCATTCATTCTGTAGAGGAAGGAGAAAAAAAAGAAACCTAGCTTAGCCCAAAAAAGTTACAAAGGGAAGATACCAATTCCTTCCCGGCCAGTAAACGCAGTAAACGAAAAACAATTTCATGACACCAAATACAAGGAAAAGACAGTTGTAATCGGTCGATAAAAATAATAAATAAATAAAAATAAAAACTCCCCCCATGTTATTGTCAAATTTTTCAAGTTTTGTGATTTCTTTAGGAGAAACCAAGCGGTGGAGGCTTTCCTGTAACTGTTAACGAGAGAAATCAGGATTTCTTTTTCGGCGCTTTGCTATAAACAAAAATCCTGTTGATGATGTTGTTTTTTCCCGATTGACTCCCGCTAGACAAAGATCCCTATCTGCATTCCAATTTTCTTCAAGTACCCCTTGCAGGTACTTCCCGTAGTTTTACAATACCAAATATCAATAGAGGGGAACCAATTTACTTTTGTTGATTCTCAGAGTAGATTGGCAAGTCATCCCTATACTCTTCAACGTTAAGCTGAGCCTCTTCCTCCTTGGTCATAAGGCCTTCTTCTTCATCATCGACAGTCTGCTTACGTCTGCAAGCGTATCCCTTGATGAACAACCAAGAGACAACAACAACGTGAATAGCAGTGCTGACGATGAGAGTGAAGAACAAGCCGATGGTGATGGTGATAGCAGCGATGACAAGGCAGGCAAGGATGAGTCGGATGACAAGACCAACCCAGTTGAACCATCTCCATTGTGGGCGGTCCTTACCGTCGGTCTCCTCAACCTTCTGGTGCTGCTTGTGGGTCTTGTGGGTCCCGTGAGACTTGTGATGACCGTGTGGTGGCTGCTCGGTGGCGACAGCATGGGCTGGACGCTCAACCTGCTTACCCTTACCGCACTTCCTACGTGGAGCTCCCTTGATTCGCTGGGCGATGCTGTTAAGGGTATCATAAATGTATGCCTTCCATCGGCAGAAGGCGTTGTCCTTGCACATAACAGCACTGGCTTCAGCTGTAGTTGGAGGACGGACAATAGCTTCACCGATAAAGACCTCGCCTTGTTCATTTTGGAAAACGGGGAATTCGAGGATCTCCATAGTAGCGATGGTCTTGAAGCTAGAGACTGCAAGGACGTGGAGACGAAGACGGGAGAGACCGGCTGGGTCGGTTTCGATGAAGAGGTCAATATCGACTGGGACCTTGGCTTCACGGCCATCCTTTAGGGATTTTTGGATAACCTGGAATGGCATTTTATTCCGAGCAGCGTAGATTACTGGGAACATAGGAGCATCGTTGAGCTTGATAATGTCCCTTTGAACTGCATCTAAGGAAAGTGTGAGGAGAAGATTGTTGGGAGTGTTATCGAAAGCATCTTTCTGGCCTTTCTTTGGGAACGGGCAAGACTCGCATGGGATTTCGAGGGTCTGCTTGATCTGGGTGATGGCATATTGCTCTGGTGTGAGGCCGTGAGTGTCGACCTTGTGGTTTTGGGTCTTAGCTGGAAGCGGCTTGACCTTGTAGACATTGTTATTAAGCGAGTCTGATGGCGGGATAAGGATGGCCAGGGAGCCGGCTCCCAGGGTGAGAAGTGTGGTTGTGAGCTGCAGGAGACGCATGTTTGGACTGCAGGAGAGGCTATTCCTGAATACTAACTACTACCTAAAAAATGGGATGGAGGTGATGGTGATGGTGGTGGTGGTTGTGATGATGATGATGCTGTCGAAGCAAAATCAACAGTGGTGAGGTTGAAGGATGAAAGATGAAAGGAGATAGGGAGCCGGAGGCAAGGGGAATGTGGATGTTTAAAGGGCTCTCAGCGGGAGATGGCGAGCGATTACGTTGACAGATTTCCGCCTATTTTAAGCATGCCCCTCCGACAACACATTTCACTCTGTCGCATGCAGCACCCCAAAATGCTTGCCGCTAACATAACCCGCAAAGACATTCCTTCGCCTCCCAACTAAACCCATCGACGCTCCAGTTTTGTCCTTGTTGGATGGGGGTCGATCAGACTGTACTTCCCGTCTACAGGAAGCGCTTGCCGTGCTAGGTCCTAATTAGCAGGGTCATGCTCGTATAGAGGTATGGTTACGTGAAAAGTTGGATGAGCAAGTTGTACGGTTGTATGGCAAAGATTGCAACCAGGCTATGCACCGATATACAATACAGTCTATTTCTCATAGAATATATGCATGATATTTTCATAAGCCTAAATGCGCATATATGCCTACGAATTGGCAGAAAGTTGGTGGAGAATTACCAGACAGCATTGCCCCTATTTAACGGCATTACCGTTCTAGCTACGGTCAAAATTGCAATCTTGAACAAATTTAGAAGCCTCTATAACTCGAGGGCCTCTGTCCAGTAGACAAGTGCACGAGGTTTTTCGGCTTTACAACCACCTAAGTACGTATCTAACATTAACATCAATGTTGGTAAAAGAAAAACTGACCTAGATAGTACACGCTAGTATTACTTCTAGCCATGGCACTGGGTATAACTCACGGTCAATGCAAAGCCATACAACAAACCATGCCACTGTGAATAAGAACCTACATGATATACCTGCGTGGTGACATTCGTGCGGGCTTCCTAGTTGATTAGACACTCTGTAACATCCTGAAACTAACCTAACCGTTGTACCCATCCAATCAATGTTAACTCGAGAAAACTCTTCGGTCATAACAGTGCTATCTAGCCCGCTAACCCTCTTCAAGTACGCCTATAGAGCGATCCCCCAAAATAAATGGGAGAAGAAGAAGGATACGCACATGTGTGTATTAGGTGGTGAACTTAAAATCTTATTAAACTTTTGGACAGATCTATATCTATCGACTCTCTCGCGAAAGTTTAAATTTGTTGGAATTTATGCGTTGTTTCTGGGTTAGGAAATCTGGCCAGGTCTGGGAAGTCGAAAACCCGTTTCAACGGCTAACTATGAAACCAGACTCTGACCTCCTGTTTGTGAAACGTTCCCAGACCCTACCCCGAAGCGTAGATGCATATGTGCGCATGTGCATAAGGTAATGAAGTACGGAACCTACGGAACCTATCGCCGCTACTCCGCGCAGTTTAATAAACCTAGAGGTTGAATAATTGATACAATTGATTCTATTCCTATTGTCCACTATTGCTAACAAGCGCTGCCGCTAGAATCGAATCAGAGTTGCAAGCATGGTAAAAAAAGTTAAAAGTATGTATGGTAATGAATTATTAATTTCTTCCTCTTTCAATGCATATTTGCTAGCTTATCTTGATCTTTCCGACTTTATATCGTCCGATCCTCTCGGACCTGGATAAAAGTCATCTTACTCTGGTCGATCGCTAATCGCCATCATTGTCGTCATGAATGACCACAAAGCACCACCTCTTTCTGCTAACGATCCATTTCATCATATCCATATTGCCAGTGTTACGAGAGTACCTCCATTCATGCAAGGAGGTTCTAATGGTACTGCACAGATTCCGTGCGATGATATTAAAACCCTGATCTGATGGGATCAAGAGATCATGGTTAAAAGGGTGGTTCGAAAGTCGAAAACAAAACAAAAGATTGCCGAGTATTGTCGTAAAAATAGATGCCGATGCGCCAGAAAAAGGGTGGATCAAAGATAAAGAGAAAAGAAAAGAAGAAAGTACGGTAAAGGGTATCCAAACGAGAATAAAAACGCGTAGAAGCAGAACGTGACGCGCCTTGCTGAATGAAGCTCGCGTCGACGGATTTCAACAATGTATGTATGAAGTCGAGGAATTGGAATGTAATACTTAGCCCACGCATGAAGTGAATACGTCGTCAATGTAGTCAGAGGTCTTTAATAATCCGTGTCGGATCGCCTAACGTTTGGCGGCGATATTCAATGACTTCTTTGGCGATCTTATCAAAACCACCTGATTCGCTATTGTCAAGCTGAGACATGATCTTATCAAGGGCGCCTTTGTACTCTTCTTTGTCGCCTTGGTTGGCATCTGGTTCGGCTAGCTCTAAAAGAATATTGCTCTCTATGCGGTGTATATCGCAAAGTGAGAAGTTAAACAGTTAGAAGCGGTATCACAAGTGGAATGTTTGCTACCATGCGCAAACATTAATTAATAGCATTGTCGAAGCAGAATCCCTGGAAAGGGTAACTGCAAATGCAGGAATAAGGGTGGGGGTTTGGTATAAAGGCCAACGTAGACCCAACCTCGACGAGCGAGCTGATTGGGAATCAGAGCGATGCGATCTTTTAGTAGTACTAGTTCCTTCGCACACTATAATAAAACGCACCTGGTAAGGCCATTTGACGGAAGTGTTGCCATCTGCATTGAGGGTCATTGCAAGTACCCCCCCTTGTCTCAAAATCACAGACTGGCAGCTCAGAATCGATATGGTTGCTATAGGTTAGCGACTTATATCCCTGTGAGACAAGCTTATTATAGCTTGGGTGGTATCGGAATGATCTGAAACCGGAAAGCTGCGACTGGTATTCAATAAACCCTGTTTCTGGTTTCTTAGGCTGGCTATGTGTCGACTTGCATATGGCTGGTGGCTGTCCAGGTTCGGAGACGCCGATAACCAAAGGCGATGGTTGATTTGGAGGGGCTTCAGAAGTGGCTGTTAGGATAGATACTTCACCTATTGTGGATTTGTGGGCCTCTGGGTCGTAACCATCATCATCGTTTGGCGTCTCCTGCACAGGACTGGAGGCCGAGTCAGACGCCGGGCTCTCGTCTCCGGAAGTACTGTGCATTTCAATATCCGCAGAGTCATCGCTACTGACTTGCTCTGATATATCATTTGAGTCGGATTCTGGGAACACATCAGTCTAATAAATTTTTTACGCATTAATTAGGAGGTAACGGGGGAAATAGATGGTACCTTCGGGGTCTAGATCGCTCTCGGAGTCGCTTGAATCCTGATCGGACTCATCAGTCGTCGTATCAAGATCGGAAAGATCCATCGGTGACCCAAGACCGTCGACATCCTCATCCACAGATTCCGAATCTGCTGGAGAAGATTCAAGCGACTTGTCATCCGTTTGTAAATCCGAGGAATCCGACATAGTAACAATGTCTTTATCCTCAGAATCATCTGCAGAAAGGGTTGGATGTTCCTCAGGTGAGCTGGTGCTAGGAGGGGTGTTGATGACAACGGCGACATCCAAGCCATTAACCTTGGACTCCACATCCATTAGTTCAGCCGCTGCAAGCTCGGATGCCCTCTCCACTGCCTCTGGCTGCGCAATGCCGGCGTTAAATTGATCTAAGGTTTTATGGAGAAATTCTTCAACTCTATCGAGACTAGCCTCCTTTGCATTCAACAAATCTGTAGACGGCGTCGCTGGGAGAGGAGTGGTATGCTTGCTCGGTGGATCGGATTGACTCTCGCCATTAGAAGCTGGCTTAGGCTTCCGTTTCATGGCGACGGCAATCCTTTGTTTCATCTCCTCAATTGCCAACTCTGTAAGACGAAGACTTTCCCCAAGTTGTTCGTTTTTCTCGGGATTGGCACTATCAGGTCTCGAGGGCCCGACGCTTTGAGGGGTTGCAAGCGGCGTCTTTTGTTTTTTTTCTTTGCCTTCCTCTTCTTCATTGTCGCTAACATTGAAGATCAACTGGCTGGACTCTAGACGGTGCCTGTTACCAAACCTTGGTTGTTTGGGGTTCAAGATGGCTGGTTTGATTTCTATATCAAAATCAGCAGCTACAGGCCGCTTCCGGCCGCGAAGAGTTGGTGGCTGAGGGGTAGGGGAGGCTTCTCGAAGTGCATTAGGTTGAGGAGTTGGAAGAGGAGGGGACACAATTCTGTTCGGGGGGGGCTGGACAATACTCAAACCAGGAAGCGATTGATTGAACCGGGAAACAACACTAGGAAGATTATTGCTCGTGGCGACGGAAGTGGGAGGCTTTGGGGGTAGAGAGGTGGGGAGGGTTGGTGGGGCTGCACTGATCTCTGGTTTAGGAATTGTTGGAGTTGGGATAATTGCTTTGAGCCCGTTTACAACTCCACTAGGAGCAGTATTCTTTGGAAGAACGGTGGTTGGAACGTTCTTCGATGAATCGGGTATTGGAAGTTTTAGATGGTTATAGATACCAGCTAGAACAGTACGTTCGATTCCTTCAGCCGCGATTTGTTCGAAGGACATCCTGGCTGAGCAAGACAGGTACATGACAGCTGATTGAGCGGCCTTCCGTAGCTCTAGCATAGACATCAACGCCGGATCTGTTTCTTGTGTAGGACGAGGTGCTGCTGCTATTGATGGTTTTTGGCGTTAGAAATGAATAAAGTTAGAGAATGCATATAGTGGAGTAGTCAGAACCATACTATTCGAGTTAAGCTGCTCCTTCCTTATCGACGGCTGATCATTCGTACTAGCGACGGGAAAGGGGTTTATCAATGGTGCCTGCATACTCGCAGCCAGCACCGCCTGGAAAGGGTTTGCTAGAGGTAGTGTCTGATGAATCTGGATGGGAGTGGTCGCCTCTCGGGGTGAGTAGTGATCATCTTCGTCATCCGATATTTCGCCTTCTTCAGGACCTTCATCCCGTTGAGATGATGTCGATATCGGAGGCACAGAAATGGTGAGATTAAGTTTTGAAGACTCCTCGCCAGGGGTAACTGGCGTGATTGGTGTCTTTGGGACCACGCTTGCGGCGGAGGTTGATGACTGTCTGGGTTTTGGCATGGCCCTACGAGCTGGCATTGCGCGTTTCCCAGCAGTAGGACCATGACGAATGCCTGCAAAGGAGGGGACCTCCGGGCAGGTGGATGACATGACGGGGAATGTAGAAATGCAGCTACAGAGTTAGACGATAGATAGACTGTCTGGGGGGTTGGCGTGAGGTTGGCGATGCGGTTGATGATGATGATGGCGATAACGGAGGGGAGATGAAAGAGGAAGTGCTGCGTGGTGATGTTTGTTGGTGGAACGTTGAATGTTGGCAGCGCCGTGAAATTAAACGCCGACTGTTGTCTTGTATTATGTAATCGGCCAGCCAACCAGGCAAACAACGTCCAAACAACAGTTCGCAACTCCCTCCATTTATCTTCATTAAAATCCATCATCATCAATCACCCTCACTACCTACTATATATACATCAATTCAACCTCCAACATCTAACATCGACATCGGCGTCGATATTAAAATCCTCAATATGGCATCTCCCACGCTTCCTGTCGAAGCTCTCGATCGCATGCGCATCCAACTAGGCCTGCTCTCCCAATCAATTAATTCTCTGCTGCAGGAACTACGCACTTCAGACCCGCTTCCACCCTGGTAGGTGCATGAACCACACCCTGGTATATTGCATCAGGCACCTCTTCTCATAAGCATCGCCATCGTCATCGTAGTTTTGACAAGGCTGAATAACTTCGTGATATCAAAAATTGGAGAACAATGGAGTATTAGAAAGGCCCGCTAACTCAATGACTGTCCCTAGGACGACCCTCACCGCCCAGCTAGCAATTCTAAACTCCCAGCTCTCAACAATCTCCAGATCCTTACACCAACACTCCGCATCTCTCTCCACAACTGTCGTCTTTCCTCTGCCGACTTTCCCTGGACGAACACAAGATGGTCAGCTTCACCGCCTCCTTGGCAAGAAGCTCTCTCCAGAAGTCCAAGATTGGATCCAAATAGGCCGCAAAGCTGGTTTAGCTCTAACCTCCAAACCAAAAAATGACGACGATGACTCGGACGATGATTCAGAACCTGAAGCGGAAGATGAACAAGAGGCGGACGACGACGACGACGACGAAATGGATGAAGATGATGGTGACGACCCGGATTCTAAAAGGCGCAAGCGTCACTGGGCCCTCAAAATCGTCCAGAAGGACCAGCGGTCCCGCGACTGGGACTCTGACTTCACGAAAGAAGAGATAGAAGCTGTAGGCGGAGATCTCACAAGGATACAAACCGGATTGAAGACTCACCTGGATGGAACAATCATCAAACGATCTATGGATTCGTCCGCGTTATCCACATCTGCTCTCAACAAACGTGACGAGAACGGATGGACATTAGAAATGATGTTCCGGTTCATGAGCACGGGAATGCGGCCTGTGGAGGATCATCCTGGCGTGTAGTACCACCCAGAAATAGATTTTCCACAGGAACCCGCCAGAGTCTGGCGCTCAAAGGTTTATAGAAATGATTGGATGAACCCAAACGTTTCTACTACGATGAATACCAGCGCTAAAAAAACTACCATTCCTGCATCGGCCACTGGTGCTAGAAGAAATACTGGTCCTAACATGACAACTAGTGGTGGGACGAATATTGTTACCGGAATGACCACTAATACTGGGGCGAGCGTTATTTCTGAAGTGACCACCAGCGCTGAGACGAAAATGGTCACTGTTACAGACGTTGATGCTAAACCGGGCATCGATACTGACACCAACATCTCCCCTCAAATGAACATGGTTCCTGAATCAATACTTATTACTGGAAAAGTTACTCCAGCTCAAACGCCCACCCTTGCTCAAACACCTACTCCTGCTAGAAATTTTATAACTTCTATAACACTTGCTCCTCAACCCAGCTTTGATGTCACAAAACCACCGCCTACCGAGCAAGCCAACCAAGCTCCTCCCACCACAAAAGAAGGGCAGTATCCAGACGCAACGGCAATAGAAGATCCAAACCTCTCTTCCTCCAGTCTTCCAGGCTTGGGCTCCAACCAAAACATTACAAGGGCGCCACCTCCCGAAAAATTTTGCCAAACCCCTCTCACCTTAGAAGAAGAAGGGAAAGATCTCAAAGCAACACCCTCAGAAAGCCGACAATTTGAAACAGAGATATCAAATGATTCTGATGATGGATCATCCGTCTCAGATTTACGAGCTAGTATGGCTACCCCAAAACCCTCATCACCAGCATCACCAGCATCACCAGCATCACCAGCATTTAACTTCCCGCTCGTCAAATTCACCGTCAAATCGAAAAAAATAGCAACCCCAGATATTTCAAGTCCAAACGTCTCGACCCCCAAAACTTCAGCTTCAAATCTTTCAAGCTTTGAAATCATAACCCCAGATGTTTCTTCAACTCGTGATTCAATATCAAATATCAGTCTCCTTTCAGATCAATCCAATGCTTCCAACATCACTGCAAGGCTGACAAGATCTAAAGCAAAAGCTTTGGCAGCCGCACAAGCAGCAGTCCAAGCTTCCGTCCAAGGAACCGGCGAAGATGTCTCCATAGTCGATCAACTTGACTGTCTACTCACTAGTTTCCCGGTTCGGTCAGCGACTTCGAATACCATTTCCAATGATACGACCACCACACCGCCTGCTACTATTCCTTCGACTCTAACCAAAACAAAGACCACTAGGTCTCCAAAACATCCTAAATCATCCAAACCTCCAAGAGCTCCGAGAGTTTCAAAGAAGCCAAAAACTACAAAAAAACTGGGGGGAACCAAACCCCCAAATAAACCAAACCAGTTGGAACCTTTGACCTCTCCCAGCGAAGTTTCTCTCCCCGCTGACCTCGACGATCTATTCAAAAACATGGACGATATGGAAGGCCTTTTTGGTGGAGTTTAATACCCACGCTTAACGACTTATATATGCGAACCGAGCGAGCTTAGTGTGTCTAGTTGTAATAATAATGACTTTCTTCACAGACTACAATGATTATTATCATAGATTTAGCTATGCCGTGTATTTAAAACCAGCTCATGCTATGAATTCATTCCATTCCATTCACGTCAACTGTCCTAAATCATGTACCACGATGGAATCTTAAAAAAAGAACCATTAAAACCTTCATCTCAAAGCGCAGCTTTGTAGTGAAAGCCCCAAGAATCCATAGTGAAAACCAACGCTAACGCCAAGGGAAAAATGCATCGTAGTCCAGAAATGCAATCCTCAACCAATGCACGCGCCCTTGAATGTACCATCCAGAACCAAAGAAACAAGAAACAAAAAAGGTCAAGAGGAACACAAGTCGCTAATTGTTAGAACCCCAAATCATCAATTCCACGGTCAAGACATGAGTTTTAGATGCAAGGACCTCACAAGAAGTTCTTGACCCCATCTCCATCTTTTGAAAAGATCCTACGCTTAGCTGCGAACCCAGCCGCTCCAGCACTACCTCCTCCACTAGGAGTCTCTGGCCTCTCTCCAACGGTTTGCATAGTATTACTCCTCGTCATACTAACCCCGCCGTGAACACTAGCTCTATCTCCTCCTCCGATCCTACTATTCAAACTCTTTAGTCCTTCCAATTCTCTTTCGATCCTCAGACCCTTCTCCTTTTCTTCTCTCAACTCCCGCTCTGCTCTTCGAGCAGTGAGTTGATTTTGACTATCCGATGACTGAAGCTCCTCAATAGTCTTCAACAACCTCTCAACCTTGTCCTTATTCCGCTGCATATCCTCCTGTAGCTGCGTATTTGTCTTCTCCTTCCTTTCGATCTGTAGCTGAAGGTCTCGGACTGTTCTATCAACGTTTTTTGTCGATCGTTCGAACTTGCTCCTTTGCCTCTCGTTCTCCTCGATTTGGTTTTCGAGCTGTAACGGTTAATTAGCCTTGCTATATTAGTGCATGAGAGCAAAAAATAAAAACAAACCTCTTGAATACGGCTATGCAACATCTTAACGTCCTTGGACCCGGTAGTATAACTCTTGGTCTCCATATCCATAACCTTAAGTTGAAGATCCCTTACAGATCTCTCAAGCAACGACTTCTCTTTGTGCAAATCTGAATTTGAGTCCCTCTGCTGTGCAAGATCCCTCTGCAACTCGGATGTAAGAGCCTCAGACCTTCTCATCTTATCCACAGCAGCAGCAGCAACGTCTTCTTGCTGTGCAAGTGAAGTCTTCAAATCCAAGATCTCACGATCCATACCAGCAGCAACTCTAACCGAGGAAGAGTCGCCATTAGCAAGCTCTTCAAGACGGCGAGATGCATCCGAAAGTCGTTGTTCGATGGCCTTCTTATCCTTCTGTAGTTGATCGCGCTCCATATGTGCCGCCTCCACAGACTCCCTGAGGGTTCTATTTTGGCTGAGAAGCGAGACCATGCGAGCTTGGATTTCATTGTGTGCTGAAACAGCTTGCTCATGAGAAGTAGTCATGTCAGCAAGTTTCACCTCAAGTCGAGCACGTTCCTTTGTAGCAGTATTGCTGTTTAGTAGCTCGTCCTCCCATTTGACGCGCAGCTCATCGACTTCCTCACGTAGTCGCCTAAAAGATTTGTTAGTCCTGGACCGTGACCACTTGTGGGAATTGGGGATGAAATCATACTGAGTCTCGCTCCTAGCAGCAACCAAAGCTTCACGTTCGGCCTCAACGTCCTTCAAATACTGTGCAGCCTCGGTCTGGAACTTCTTCCTCATCTGCTCGATAGATCCCTCTTTATCCTCAAGTTCGTTTTCTCGTCTGTTTCTATAATCTTCAATCTCATGCTGAAGTCTCTTCTTGCCTTGAAGTGCATCTGCCAAATCCGCTTGAAGGTCCTCGATCTAGCAAGATGATTAGCATGTAGTTCTGAAAATTAGATTGGATGTGGAAAATTACCTTTTCTTCGTATCTTTGGTTCTCTCTTTGCATATCTTCAAACATAGATTCAGTCTGCTGTCTCTCTGCAACAACGGAAGCGCATGTATCCTCCGCCTCTCTAGCCTGTGTCTTCGCGAACGCAGCCGCTCGAGTTGCTTGCATAACTGCAATTTCTGCCTGCTCAAGCTTACTATAGTATTCTTCGGCACGAGCTTTATACAGCGCAGCACTAGAAGAAAGATCATGGTTCTTCGCTCCTTCCGCATCCAACCGAATCTGCAAATCCGCATTCTCAGCAAGAAGCCCACTACGCTCAAACTGCTCTTGATCGCGCTGCGCGATAAGATCCTCTAGTTCACCACGAACATCTCGAAGTTCAACTTCTAGAGACATCTTAGACCCCTTTGACTTCTCGTTTGCCTTCTTAGCATCCGCAAGGTCCGACCTTGTTGCATTATAGTACTCCAAAAGCGACTTGCGCGACTTCTCCTGCGCGCAGATAAGGTCAAAAAGCTCCTGGTGGGACTTGTTCTGCAAATCCATCGCGGTGAGCTCACCAGACCTCATGGCAGATTCGAGGGCCGACAATTTCTCTGTCTCCTGATCGAGTTGCTGGTGAAGTCGATTATTCTCCCTCTCCAATCGCTGCAGAATCCTGTTCGAACCATCACCATTTCCATTGGCTGGGCCTTCTTGAATATTCAACTGAGACCTCAAATGTCGGTTCTCCATCTCAGCCATTTGCAACTTATTCTGCGCTTCCTCCAAATCAGTCGCCAAATCCATCTTGGCCTGGAAATTGATAGTATCCACTGTGCGATCTGTCTTTCCAGAATCAAACACCGTAGAATCAAGCTGCTGGCCCACACGTTTAGTAGGCGTGCGTGGCGAGCCATGCCCTGCAGGATTAAATATAGGCCGTTTAGTTGGCGTCCCAAAAGTCTTCGTAGGGGAACCGAATGGCGGCATATTCTCATTCATCCCTTCCATAAATGTAGCCCTAGAAACAGAATGGCGATTCTCCATATCCATAATCTCGTCTTGGTGTCTGCGACGCATTTCCGCAAGCTGAGACTCGGCACGATTCCTCCGCTCCTCTGCGACCCTTAACTTCTGCTTGATCTCATCAAATGTCTGTGCCATATCGGTTGTAGTACCCGACCGCTTCCTTGTCCGGTCTAGTATCTTGATAGGCGTAGCGTCGTCATCATCGGGCTCGACCACTCTCTGCAACTCCAGCAAATATCGATGGCAATCTTCAAGCTCCGAATTAGCGGTATCCAGCGAGCTTTGCAGCTTCCGGTTATTTGCATGAGCTTGTGCTGTGAGTTGCTTTTCGGAATCCCAGTTACGATTCGCTTCCGAAAGCTGAACCTGAAGGCCACTAACAGTCTTTTCCGTAGCTCTCGTATTCTTGTGCTCTCTTGTAACTTCATGGTTGAGATCCTCAAGATCAAGTGCAAGCTTTTCCTTCTGCTTTTCCAAGGACATAATCTTTAGCTGGGCCTCACTCAGTTGCCCGTGGAGTTTCTTTTCTTCGTCAACAGCCTTCGCCTTTTCTGCAGTCAATTGCACAATCTTGTCGCGATACTGTTCGCTAGCTTTCGAGGTTGACTTGGCGAGTTCGAGATTCTTCTGTTGAATCTTGTTTTGAAGGGCGCGGTTGTCGTGTTCCGAAGACAGAAGGCGAGCTTTAAGTGTACCCATCTCTTGATCCAATCTCTTCTTCGCCTGTTCATTCGCTCTCTTCGAGGCTTCGCTCTCCTCAATATCCTTGGTTAATCTTCGAATCTCGAGGTTGAGGTTCTCCCGATCTGCCTCGGCTTGAGAAAGCAACTTGTCCTTCTGATCGATTTCCTTTCTAAGCGAACTTCGAAGCTCTTCAGCCTGTCGAGAAAGCTGGCGTTCATTGGCGGCCTCTGCCTGTGCCCTTGTGGATTCGTTGTTCTCGACTCGCTGGCGTAGACGTTGGAGGTCAAGTTGAATATCCCGCTTCTCCCTCTCTGCTTGTGACCTAGCTTCAAGGGCCTTGCGAAGTGTATCCTGCTGGCCATAGAGTTCCTTCTCAATCGTAACCTTTGCGATAGAGAGCGCATCGTAGTCCCTTCTCATAGTAGCAAGCTGGGTCTCACTCTCCGCGAGAATGTCGGCCCGAGACTTCCTTTCGGCATCCAATTCTCCTTGGACACCTTCAAGCTGAACCTTCAGGGCCTTGATCTGCTCATCGAGGAGCCTTCTCCCTTGTCCAAGTTTGGCATCTTCTGAGATCTTGCTTTCCAACAATTTACGAGCCTCGTTTGCATCTCTTTCGCATTGCGCCTTTAACATCTTTGCATGGTCTGCAGCAGACTCCGCGGCACGAAGCTTTCTTTGCAACTCCTCCTGCTTCGAGACAAGTAAATGTCTTTCATCTTCAAACGTTTTGCGATCAATCTGCTGTTTTTTAAGATCCGCAAGCGCCAAAGACAATTCACTTTCTTTCTTCCGAATCAACCCTTCAAAGTCAGAAGAAGTCTTAGAAAGATCTTGCAACTGTTGTCGAGCATTGTTCGCTTCGGCGCGAAGTTCCTGATTTTGCTTCCGAGTCGTTTCAAGGCTTTTACTCTATAAGGCCGTTAGTAACCACCTTCTCAATTTGAGACTAGATATCAACTTACAGCTGCATTATACTTCTCCTCCAGATCCTTATCAGTCTTAAGCAATAACTGCTCAAACTCCTGAACCTTTCTTTCCTTAAGTGAAAGGTGGCTCTTAAGGAGATGGATCTCCTTCGACAACTTGCTCTCGTGGCTGCTGACATTGTCTAATTGATCGGTTGCGGTCTTGAGTTTGGCTTCGTTCTCTTCTAGTTTGGCTACTAAATTTTTCTTCTCTTCCTCCAAAGATCCAATCAGTGTAACAGCCTGCTCAAGTTCCTTTCGTCGAATATCAAGCTGATCAGAAACTTTCTTCTTCGCAGCAATCAACTCATCAAGTTGATCTTCCAATTGCTCTTGATCCTCCAAAGCCCCTTTAAGCTTCTCAGAAAGGTCAGCCTCGCGCTGTTGCAGTCGCTGGAAGATTTCATCTTTATCGAGAGCGAGAGCACGTTCCGCTTCAAGGGTTTGCTGGACCCTCGAAAGCTCAGTCTCGGTCCTCCTCTTTTCATCTTCAACTTTAGCTCGATCCTCGGCCTGTTGCGTCATTTGTGCCTGCATATGTTGGATCATATCATCCTTCTTCTTTACCTCACGGCTCGTAACCGTATTGCCCAGCAGTGGCTTAGTCTTCACAAGTAACTTCCACCATGGGTTCTGGCTAAGCTCGAGGTACACTTTAAGATTCTGGTGAATAATTCTTGTAGCCTCTGCACGGTACAGCTTCTTGTGCGCAATCTTCCTCTGAATGTATCCACGCGCAATACTTTGGAATCGAGTGATTATACTGCGAACCAAAGCATCGCGTTGCTCTTCAAGCTCTGCAAGAACACCAGCACGGAAAAAGACCTTGCTAAGACCAATTCGATACTGATAGTCGTCAAGATTAAGCTGCTCAAGCATGAACCTGGCAATCTGTTGCCCTTCCAGGTAGCCCTTTGGAAGTCCGGGTGTAAGTACTTCATAACGTTGACGGAACTCGTTGAATGGCAGTCGATTGGGGAAACCCGTTCTCGCAATCCTAATACCTTCTAGCACACCATTGCATCGAAGCTGGTCTAGCACTAGCTGGGTAACTAGTCTCTTTGGTTTCTTCTGGTGATTGGGAATAATACAACGAACGAAGTGGGGGTGAGTGGCATGAAGTTGGGCCATAAGGCTGGAGAGCTGCTCCTTGTGACGTTGGGCAACGGTCCGGAACAATCCTTTCTTGACACGCGACCTCGATGTGAGCGAATGCTCCGCATCCTCAGCACAGTCGGCGAAAAGTTGAGCCACACTAGCATGTGTAGAGTTTGCTAGTAGGCGGGTAACATTGTCGTTAAGAGGGTCCTTGTTCTTCTCCAACCATCCCTGGGTATCGTACTCAACTTCAGCTGCGTAATGAGTAAGGATGAAACCCTGGCTCAACATTGAGCTGCGATATTTGTTCGACTTTTTGTCCCACAATGAGTGAAGCTTCTCGGTAAAAGTCTTATCGGTCGTCTTGGGCATGACGCAGTCTTCATCCAAACAAGAGAAGATACCAATAGGGTTGGAAAGTTCGATCAAATCGATTGTGGGCTGGAGATCGTGTCCAAAATCGATAAACTTCCACTCAATTCGCTCCCGAGCATACTCTTCCTGCTCAAGTACGAACATATGGTGATTGAAAAACTGTTGCAGTTTTTCGTTGGTGTAATTGATGCAAAGCTGCTCAAAGGAATTGGATTCGAAGATTTCGAAACCAGCAATATCGAGAACGCCGATGAATCCTGATTCCTCCCCTCTACGCTCGAGAGACTGATTGATCCTCGATACCAAACTGCCAAAAGCACGCTCGTAGATACCCTTGCTAAGAGCATCAATGGATTGCTTGACTTGTTCCGCATTACGGTTCTGGTTAACCCATTCCTTGCCGGCTTTGACTCTTGGGTTTAGGAGCCCTTTAGTGAAAGAATCCGCCTGTATTCCAAGAACATTACAGATGATATCGACTTGACGTCTTTCCGGGAGCCTCGCGCCATCTGCATTCCCAACAACGGAAAGATTTCCGAGGTGAAGAACCGCAGCGATATTCCTGAAGTAAGCCATTTGCTCATCCTTCGAGAACCCCATAACCTGGAAAGCCCGAAGGAGAGTGTCGAACTCATCTTTGTCATTAACACCAACAATATGCTTATTTGCACTCTTGGTATAGCCATAGTCGTCAACATCGCCAGTGAGCATCAGCTGATCACGGAGCTCCCGAGTCGCGCCTCTTAGCAACTGATAAAAGACATGGTAATTTCGCTCGCCGCCGCTCTGCTTTACAACTCTGGATTTCTCAAGTAAATACCAGTCAATATAGGCACCAGCAATCTGACCCTTCCCGGTAAACTCGATTCTTATAAACTTGCCAAATCTGGACGAATTGTTATTTCGTACGGTTTGGGCATTTCCAAAGGCTTCGAGAACAGGATTGGCCTGCAAGATTTGCTGTTCGAGGGTGCCAAACTGTCTGGAAGAGTTGTTCCCGGCAGCTACGGAGGCAAGATATTGGATGACCTTCTTAGTATTCTCAGTTTTTCCAGCACCGGATTCACCACTATCGTCTGTTAGATTCCATTGAAGCCCTGATAGTTCATAGAAAAACATACGTGACCAAAATACTCTGATTTTCTCTCTCGTCCAATAAGTTACGGAAAGCAGCATCAGAAATAGCGAAAATATGTGGTTGGGTCTCATCCCGAGACCTATCTCTGTACATTTCAATGTACTCATTTGTGTATATCGGCAACGGACAGTAGGGATTGACCGTCACCAAGAACAGCCCGGAGTATGTCTACCAAAATCAGCCAGCTATACCTATATTATTTTCAAAAGAAACAGACTCACATAGATGAGATCAGATTGATATCTCATATGCAAATTATGGACCACAGAAGCTTCGTTCAAATGCGTCAACTCGGCCATATCTGCCGCCTTGTCAAACTTCGCGGGGTTGACTTTATCCACTTGGTCAGCCGGCACGTTTCGTTGGCTGCCATCGTCGCAAATAACGAGAAGGACATTATCCTCCTCGCTTTCGACATAACCTTTCACAAATGCCTGTTCGGGATCCTTAACCCAAACCCAACGCTTGCCTGAAAAGTCTGTGCCTTCGAGACCATGGGAGGTAATCTTAGGTGATGTGGGATCGTTTCTTTTAATGAAGCTCGGAGCAAATGTAGTATTTGATTTTGTAGCACTAGAAGTAGTGGTGGTAGCGGTGGCGTTGTTTCCTGGGGTGGGGGTGTGTGAGACTACGCTGCTAGCTCCTGACATAGTCCTATTATGGGCTCGTCCAAAGATTGAAGAGGTCCCGAAGGGAGTAGAGTTGCCGCCGAATGGCGTCGAGTTGTTGCTGCCACCGAAGGGTGTAGTATTTCTGGAATTTGAAGCATTGTTTTGGGGAGAGTTAAGTGGGGAGGATTGGTTGTTTTGTCGAGGGGTAAATGGTCTCTGAGAGGCGCCAAAGCGCGGGGGGGTATTAAAGCCAGCCATATCGATTCAAGGGCCTCAAGGCATCTGTATGAAATGGCGATAAGGTAGTTTGGCTCCTCGAAGGGATTAGATATAGTCGAAGCTATCGTCTAGCGGCCAAATGACCAGACCAAAACAATAGCAATAGCGGCGCACTAAAATTGCCCCGGCAATGGTCAGCATCCATCATCAGTGTCAAATCGCAAGAATGCGCCGGATTTGGACCGGACTTACAGTGGTAATTAGGAGCACTAAAGCTGCAGGGGTATTGTACTGAAGCTCAAGCTCAACGGGATGAGAAGATGCAGTAAGGATATAATAAGGGTAAAAGGTAAGAAGCAACAAAGATGGATGTTGATAGATGATATACACAATATGATATGGTGGAGTAGTTGCGGCCGCAGCAACCGGCCAGGTTTATGGGTTATCGATTAATATCGGCAGGGCGCATAGCGACTGATAAGCTATGGACTGTCCTGTACTAGTCAGGCAACCGGGTATCGCCCGCCTGTGCTGTTGTCGAGGCGCTGTTTGTTGTCCGCGTTGTCTAATGGTATGGATGTTGACACAGCAACCCGGGGCCGCAACACATTTGCATTGGCCGGTGTCTGATTGGCCCGAGCGTTGGATTTATCTCCGACCGTGACATCAGATCTGGGGCTTATCCCCGATACCACTAAGCAACTGTCGCATAAATTCAATTTACACACGTGAATTTCCTCTCCACAACCTCAACTTCGGCTTCAACTTCAACATCATCTTCAATATCAATATTATCTACTGGCATTTCTAATATCCTCGGGTTCAATCCTTTTAATCAATTGAATTGCCCAATTAGCTTCCTAGTCGCTGGTTCGACCGTATCCGCCCTCCAACCGGTCTATCCGACACCACCGGCAGCTACTTAACCCTACCACGCCCTTCTCATCCCCACCATCAAGCTTCCAAAACCATCATCATAACCCTCAAAATGGCTTCCATATGTCCTCGGGCCACCTCCCGATTGCTCCCTGCTAGTAGAAATACCATAACAAGATCCAATTCCCAATTCACAGCTCTCAGATCTCTAAGTACACCATACGGCTTCCGTCGCTTCCTCGCAACAGCATCATCAAACCCCTCCTCTCCTTCTACTACAAACAATGGAACAGCTATCGTAATGTTGAACATGGGTGGCCCACAGACTGTCGACGAAGTTGGCGACTTCCTTTCCCGTCTCTTCGTAAGTTTTGATTCAAAACCTAGAATAAACACATTCAACCCTTGCTGACTATTTTTATATAAAACAGGCAGACAAAGACCTCATCCCCCTCGGTCCCCTCCAAAACTACTTAGGTCCTTTCATTTCTCGCCGACGTACTCCTAAAATCCAAGAACAATATGCCGCAATAGGCGGTGGTTCGCCCATTCTAAAATGGACCGAACTGCAAGCCCGCGAAGCTTGTAATATACTCGACCGTATCCACCCCACCACTGCCCCTCACCGTCCCTACGTCGCCTTCCGCTACACAAACCCTCTCACCGAAAATACCTTCCAACAGATGCTCTCCGACGGTGTAACCAGAGCTGTGGCCTTTACTCAATACCCACAATACAGCTGTTCAACCACAGGCAGCAGTCTAAACGAACTATGGCGTCTATCCAAGAAACTAGATAAGGAAGAACAAATAAAATGGTCGGTGATAGACCGCTGGCCCATTCATTCGGGTTTAGTTGAAACATTTGCCCGCCATATCGAGGAAACCCTATCTACATACCCAGAATCCGAAAGATCAGAAGTAACCCTCCTCTTCACCGCTCATTCTCTACCAATGTCCGTTGTAAACCGCGGAGACCCATATCCGGCGGAAGTAGCAGCGACAGTATGGGCCGTAATGGAGCGGTTAAAGTTCAAAAATCCATACCGCCTAGTATGGCAAAGCAAAGTTGGGCCGTCGCCGTGGTTAGGCCCTCCAACTGCGGATACCGTCGAAAATTATGTAAAGAAGGGACAGACAAATCTACTATTAATCCCTATCGCATTCACCTGTTAGTATTACGAGTCACCTCCCTAATTGCAGTCCAGGAGCTAACACTTACTTCCTTTTCTAGCTGACCATATCGAAACCCTCTACGAACTAGACCAAGAAGTCATCGCCCATGCAAAGGAACCCGGCATCAAACGTGCCGAATCCCTCAACGGTGACCCAATATTCATCAAGGCGTTAGCAGATATCGTAAAATCACATTTTGAAAACTCATCACAGAGCACAAAGCAGCTATACTTGCGCTGTCCGATGTGTACAAACGCAAAATGCAGAGAACAAAAGGCCTTTTTCAAACGACATCAATCTGCACTCGAAGCTTCATCTTAAAAATTTAGTTCATATATCATACCATATATCATATCGTATATCATATCATATATTCTATTTATCCATACCTTGGAATATCATATTTTTGTACATATACATAACATCTAGCATGCAGCGCGCAAAAAAGCCCATCATTTTCATGATATAGATTCCAAAAAAATAATGTCTGGTATCAAAAAATCTATCATACACCATATTTGACTTGACATACTAGCCAGATAAATTAATCAACCCATCTACCTCTGCGCATACTCCTTATTAAATGCCCTCCCGATGACCATCCTCCTAACCTCACTAGTCCCCGCTCCAATCTCATAAAGCTTCGCATCCCTCACCAATCTCCCCGCGCTGAGTTCATTAATATACCCATTTCCTCCCAAACACTGCACAGCATCCAACGCCACCTCAGTAGCTCTCTCAGCCGCGTACAAAATCGCACCGGCACAGTCCCTCGTCTCAATAGTTCCCTCATCCACCGTCCTCGCAGTAGCATAAGTATAAGCCCTCGAAGTCGCAAGTTTAGTATACATATCCGCCAACTTCCCTTGCATCAATTGAAACTCCGCAATGGGGGTTCCAAATTGTTTTCTAGTATGTGTGTATGGAAGAACCAAATCCATAGCAGCCTGCATGATACCAATCGGACCTGCGGAGAGGACCAATCTTTCTAAATCCAATCCGGACATCAGGACTTTTACACCACCGTTGGTGGGACCCAATTGGTTTTCTTCCGGGACGAAGACGTCTTCGAAGATGAGCTCTCCGGTATTGGAGCCCCTCATACCGAATTTATCTAGCTTCCTAGCACAGGAGAATCCCTTGAATGGCTTTTCGACCACCATGGCCGTGATACCTTTGCTCCCAGCATTGGGTTCACTCTTTGCATAAACGACCACAAAGTCCGCGTCAGGACCGTTTGTAATCCACATCTTCGTACCGTTGAGTAACCAACCCCCATCGACCTTTTTAGCAGTAGTTTTCATAGAAACCACATCGGATCCGGCGGAATGTTCGGACATAGCCAGAGCACCAATTTTAGTACCGGCTATTAAACCCGGCAGGTATCTAGCTTTTTGATCAGGTGTTCCGTGGAGGGAAAGCTGGTTGACGCAGAGTTGGGAGTGGGCGGCATAGGAGAGACCGATGGAACCGGATGCTCTTGAGAGTTCTTCGAGGACTATACAGTGGGCTTGGTAGCCGAGTTCTAGACCGCCGTATTCTTCTTCTGCGGTTATTCCTAGTAATCTTTTATCATATATTCAATTAGTAAGTTATTTTTGTGATTTGTAGGAGTATAGAGGGGCGTGTATGTACCCAGCCTCTCCCAACTTGGGCCACATATCATTGGGAAATTCATTCTCTCTATCCGTCCTCGCTGCCACTTCTTCGGGAATCTCCCGTCCTATAATATTCCCCAATTGATCAGTATCACAGACTAAAATAAGTTAAAAATGGAAGAATGAAAATAATGTACTAGCAAATTCCTGTACTCTCTCCCTCAACTCAGCCAGATCTTCAGAAGTTGGCATCTTGAAATTCGGAGTATGCTTCGTCGATGCATGACGGGCAGTACACGCTGGGAGCAACGTTCTTGTCAACGGAGTAGCAGTACAAGTCCGCTGAAGAGACCGGAATGCCGGACGAGCGAGACGGGCCGACTTCATTGTAGAATATTCACGTGCGAATCCGAAGGTAATAGAAAATGTAGTAAATGTGTAACTCTGTCTAACTTTATAGCTTTAACGTCACCGAAATACGTCGGTTCGTGGAATCGAATTTAGGTAATGTTCGGTTAACGCAAGCTCCAATATAAAAAACACCGTCGACAGCACAAACCCAACTGCAGATGTAAGAGGAAACCGAGGATTAATAAGAAGGAGGAAGACGAGGAAGAAGAAGAAGAGATACAACCAAGGTAGTTAACGGCATCAACCCGCAAAATCAATCTAAGCTACGGGGTTTGGCTGTGGGGTAACCCTGTCGCGCTGACGGCTACACTCGGCACACTCCACATCTAAGATGCATCGAAGCCCATATGCTGCATTCCATTGGGTCAATGCATCCGTACTAATTCCGTCTGCAAGATCAAGAACTTCGATGAGAGCGCCTCCCAGGGGTTCTTTCCAAAATATCGAAAGTTTGATAGCCCACTCCTTCTCTTCTCTTCTCTCTCTTCATCCATCCGACATCTGTCCCCTTCCTTCCGTCCCATTAATATCATCATCAATACCTGTACACTATTCGATATATTCTAGCTAGATAAGTCGATCGATATCTAGTGTATATACGTATACCTGCTTAGGTATATATACCTGGGTGAGTATCGACAGCCCGCTGATTCGGATAGATAGGAACTATTGAACTTTTACTAAACAAAATCTAGACAATGTCCCTCCGCACAACAGTCCACACCGTCTCCCGCCTATCGAGGCGCCCAATAGCGACCACCACCCTCCCACTCCTCCTAAAAAGAAGCATATCAACACACTCCTTCACCCATTTCGAAACCGCCGTCTCGACAATTCAATCATCAATAGACACGACCTCCCAAGCCTTCAAATCCAATGCCTCGGACATGTCAAAGCTCGTTTCCGAGCTGGATCTCTTGACCCAGAAAATCTCGGTGGGGGGTGAAGAACGTCATAGGAAAAAACATGTGGAGAGGGGGAAGATGTTGGTTAGGGAGTATGATTTAGTTTCCAATATCTAATTCTATCTTTTAGTTAGGAAAAGACGGCTGATTGGTAATCATATTAGTACAGCCGAATATCGGCGTTATTGGATCCTGGATCTTCATTTTTGGAACTCTCGCAGCTAGCGGGGTATAATCTATATGGAAAGGATGAGGTTCCCGCTGGAGGTATAGTTACGGGTATTGGACGGGTATCAGGCGTGGAGTGCATGATTGTTGCCAACGACGCTACGTAAGGCTGCCTTTCCCAGTTCGTTCCTCTTTGAAGAAAAAGCTGCTGAAATATAGATTACAGAGTAAAAGGCGGAACATACTACCCCATCACTGTTAAGAAGCACTTGAGGGCGCAAGCCATTGCACAAGAGAACAGTACGTCAGATATACATCGAATGCTAAACATCAGAAGCTAAATACCGTAGAACTACCATGCATCTACCTCGTCGACTCCGGTGGCGCAAACCTGCCGCACCAGAAGGACGTCTTCCCGGATAAAGACCATTTCGGCCGCATCTTCTACAACCAAGCTCGAAGTACGTTGCTTTCAAACCTACCTTACAAGATCTTTATGGACTAAAATAAAACTACACAGTGTCATCCGAGGGTGTCCCACAAATTGCCGTAGTAATGGGTCCCTGCACGGCCGGTGGCGCCTACGTGCCTGCCATGTCTGACGAATCCATCATCGTCGACAAACAAGGTCACATCTTTCTCGCCGGACCTCCACTAGTCAAGGCCGCGACAGGTGAAGAAGTCACACACGAAGAGCTAGGTGGTGGAGTGCTGCATTCCACCGTCAGCGGAGTAACAGACTACCTCGCCGTCGATGATGCACATGCCCTCGTCCTCGCCAGAAGAAGCATTTCAAACCTAAACTGGCCGGCGAAGGAGAGCAAGATTAAAGAAGTCAAAGAACCCATTTACGATCCCAAGGAGTTAGACGGAATCATGGGTACGAATCTTAGGGTGCAAGTTGACGTTCGCGAGGTAATAGCACGAATAGTAGACGGCAGTGAATTTTCAGAATTCAAAGCAGGATACGGAACTACAATGGTGACCGGATTCGCGCATATTCACGGCTATAAAGTAGGTATCGTGGCCAACAATGGTATTATATTTTCCGAAGCCGCGTTGAAAGGGGCGCATTTCATCGAGTTGTGCGCACAGAGGAATATTCCGTTGGTTTTCTTGCAGAACGTGACAGGGTTTATGGTTGGAAGGGACGCGGAGGCCGGAGGGATTGCGAAGAACGGAGCGAAGTTGGTGACAGCTGTCAGTTGCGCTGAGGTGCCGAAGTTTACGGTGGTGATCGGGGCGAGTTACGGAGCTGGCAATTATGGGATGAACGGGAGAGCATATGGCGCGAGGGTATACCTACCTTTCCTTCCCCTTACAAAAAAGAAAACAAGAAGAAGAAGCGAGAAAGGAAAAAGGAAAAGAAAAAGAAAAGGAAGCTAATTATGATTCGATTGAATAGTTCATGTGGATGTGGCCAAATGCCAAGATAGCAGTTATGGGGGCAGAACAGTTAAGCAGCGTGATGAGGATGGTTGGGAAGGAGGACCCGGAGTTGAGAGATAGGATTGAAGCAGAGTCTGATGCTAAGTTCGCGTCTGCGAGGATATGGGATGATGGGGTTATCAAGCCGGAAGATACCCGAAAGACATTGGCAATGGGGCTTCAGGCGGCGCTGGGAGGACGTGTGGACGAGAAACCCACGCGATTTGGAGTGTTTAGAATGTAATATATTTACTATACTATCTTATTGTATTATCTAGCCTCGAGACTAATCTACTTACTTATCTACATATAACTTTACCTATCTATTCCATAATTATGTTAATCGACGCTATAGCTACTAGCTATGTGTACTAATATTGCCGCCGGAGTTCGAGAGCTGTCTCGCCATAGCTGGATCAAGCTCCAAGATAGCTTGAAGCTAGCAATAGCTAACAGCAAGCTATAGTTACCAGGTATGTTAGCTGTCCGGAGCTAGTCAAGTCTAACTCGACAAACAGCTGTTGCCCCCTATCGATCATATGATCTAAGACCGAGTAGGGTAAAGAGAGCCGGAAGCAAGGAGAAGGAAGAGATAGCCCCTGATCCTCGAGGAGACGTATATAGTATAGCGGATAATATAATATATGGGGAACACACGTGACCGCCGAGTTGCCACACTTATTGTATTAGATTCGATCGGAATCCGGTTTCCATTACTCATGTGAAACTGTTGGACTGGTTGCCATCTGGCAAGTCCTCTTTGATTGAATCCTGGAATCTTTGGATGGAATGCCTTGAAAGTATACCTAAGTTAAGTAGGTACTTACTTTCTAAGTAGTCAGCCCAGGCGAAATAGAATAAACTGGGCTTGACAACGTAATAACTGTTTGTACACCTGTTATATTGATCTTTTAGGATTTCTACCGATCGTTGAAAATCAAGGTCCAAGTAAGTATCATTTCGAAAAGATAACCTGCTAATTTAGTTTCTGATCTAATTAAGAAACATGCACATGGCTATGGTGATCGGTAGTAGAACTTAATAATTATGGTTCGAACACGGCCGGGTTTGCAGATGTTTGATCTTTAAACGTACACCAGTAATTGGAATAGATACAAATTTAATATTTGTAAAACGATCAATCGCAATAACACTTGTAATGGTCGTTTTCAAATAGGATATACATACCGCAAACCTGAATCCGTCATGAATTCATGAAGCGATGCCCAGGCATGGCACGTCCGTAAAGTTTGAATCGAAAAGAGTTTCTATCGCTGTCGTCAGGCGGATTAGAAACGGTAGTACGAATTACTAAAACAACATTTAGTATAAGTAAGTACTATTATTCTTTTGAAGTCAAAGTCTCTCTCAATCATCTTTAGTACGTATAGGTGCATGGATGTATGTAGGAATGAGGAATGGGATACGAATGTGGATGTTGAGTGGTCAGCCTCAGCTCATCCTTTCCCTGCCTATTCCAGTTCCTGTCTCTCCTCATTGTACCAGGGAGTCTCCGAGGATGAATGAAATAGGACAGGTCTTGTGAGGGATGCGAAGATGCAGAGGATCAGATGGATAGGCCGCATGTGAATCTAGTATCTAATGTATTGTCCGACCTAATTAGCCAAGTAAGTAAGTAAGTATGGTAGTATGCAACATCTGCAGTGGCACCATCCCTTACTCTATCTCTCTCTCGAATATAGATTCTATTCTCTATCTTTGTACTCCGGTAAAAAGGTACCTCCGCCTGTATGTGATGATGTGGTGATGTAAGGGTACCATTTTCGGGAAAGCCAGAGAGAGAACCTGTTCTGCCATGCAAGGCGAGCGTTGGAGTCATCGGGCTTGATTGGTGCAGATAACCAAACTAGTCCCGCTTCGGTCCAGCCAAATGCAGGACACCACTACGCCAAATAGTCAAAAGAGACAATCGCCCGGCCGATGCACGTAATCGAGACGAATGGTCACGCTCTTAACCTCAAAAAGAAACACCAAGAGATAACTCGAGATATTTATTATCTTACTCCCAGTCCAGTCAAGGTTGTTGGTGTTAGTCAGGTCCGCTGTTTGTCCGCCTTCATTCCGCCCTTTTGGTCCCCCGTAACGTTTGCTTGCTCAGCTTAGCTTGTTCGTCATCCATCCTTCTCGTCCTTCCAGGCCATCCCATCCATCCCCAGCCAACCACTTTAAATAAACCCCCATCTCGCTCTCTTTCCCCCCAAACCTCTCTTCTCTTCTCTCTTCCTTTCTTACTTCCCATACTCTCTAAAGACTCCCTTCACAGAAGACTACATACCGTAAAGAATAATAAGAATCAGAATAATAGCCCAAGATGAAGTTGACACAGTCCTTGATGGCCGTCTTGGCCGTGGCCACCGGCCCAGTCCTCGTTGTCGCTTCCCCAGTCGGCACATCCGTCGTCTCTCGTGCTCCTCTCCTCTCAACTCTCTCCGCCTCGGATCACGAGATCCCGGATTCCTACATCGTCGTCTTCAAGAAGGGAGTCGACACTGAATCCGTAGATGCCCATCACTCCTGGATTCAGAAGACTCACGCTTCCGCCCTCCAGAAGAGAAGTCAGGTTCCCTTGGGCGGCAAACCATCTTCCTCTTTCTTGAACACCATCGTTGATGACGTTGACACCGTCGTGGGCGGTTTCAAGCACTCTTTCGATATCGCCGGTACCTTCAAGGGCTATTCCGGTTCCTTCGATCAGGATACTCTAGATCTCATCCGATCGCACCCTGACGTAAGTTATCATAATCCTCTCTATTTCTCCCTCTCTTTCTATCTCCCTTTGTCTCCCTATCTCTCTATCTCTCCATGATACTCGCTCTTGCCGCTAGCGTGCGGCGACCCCCGAAAACGCCGCTAGCTTCTCCGAGATTAGCCGCGTCAAGGGGTGTGTTTAGTGTGTGTCTCGTGAGCCTGAGCCACATCACACGACTTCCAACCACTCCAGCCGTTACCGAAGTCGGCTTAAAAAGCCACTTCCAATAGCGAATCATTAAATGGGATTAAAAAAAAAAAAATAAAATAAAATACTAACAAGACGCGCTTTGCAGGTCGAGTACGTCGAGAAGGATTCCAAGGTCTGGATCAACCGCGATGAACCATCCGTAGAAAAGGGCTCTCCATGGGGTCTCGCTCGTATCTCTCACCGTGAATCCCTCCACTTCGGTAACTTTAACAAGTACCTCTACTCCACCGACGGAGGTGAAGGTGTCAACGTCTACGTTATCGACACCGGTACCAACGTCAAGCACGTTGACTTCGAGGGTCGTGCCAACTGGGGCAAGACCATCCCAGCCAATGATGAGGATCTCGACGGTAACGGCCACGGTACTCACTGCTCCGGTACCATCGCCGGAAGGAAGTACGGTGTCGCCAAGAAGGCCAGTGTCTATGCCGTCAAGGTCTTGAAGTCTAACGGATCCGGTACCATGTCCGATGTCGTCAAGGGTGTCGAATGGGCTGTCACCGACCATCTCAAGAGATCCAAGTCCCAGAAGGGCTTCAAGGGTTCCGTCGCCAACATGTCTCTCGGTGGTGGCAAGTCCACTACTTTGGACATGGCTGTTAACGCTGCCGTTGACAATGGTGTCCACTTCGCCGTTGCTGCTGGTAACGACAACGCCGATGCCTGCAACTATTCCCCAGCTGCTGCCAACAAGGCCGTCACCGTCGGTGCCTCCACCCTCGCTGATGCTCGTGCCTACTTCTCCAACCACGGCAAGTGTGTCGATATCTTCGCTCCAGGTTTGAACATCCAGTCCACTTGGATCGGTTCCAACACCGCCGTCAACACCATCTCCGGTACTTCTATGGCTTCTCCACACATTGCTGGTCTCTTGGCCTACTTTGTATCCCTCCAACCCGCCAAGGACTCTGCCTTCGCCGTTGGTGAGCTTACCCCAGCCGCCCTCAAGAAGAGCATGGTCTCCATAGCTTCCCCTGGCAAGCTCAGAGATCTCCCCAAGGAGACCGTCAACGTAAGTTATTCCTCGTCCATCAAGTAATCGAAGTTCGCACTTTCTGACTTTCTTTATTTAGCTCCTCGCCTTCAATGGTGGTGGAAGTTCCAACCTCACCGACATCTTCGGTGACCACAACAAGCACAGCACCGACCTCTCTTCCGAGGAGCCCTCTGGAAAGGTTGACATCCTCGACCGCATCGAGGAGTTCGTTGAGGAAGAAGTCAAGGCCATCTTCGACAAGGCTCGCAAGCTCCAGGCTTAGACTGTTTAAGCCAAGTCTCTTCAACTTTTCCTTAGTTTGCTTAACTCTCTTATAAAGGAAACAGTATTAGACGGATCTTCCTCTCGCTGAAACATTGGACAACGGGTTGTTTGAATAGGAACGGTTTTCTTTATTTTATTATCGGTTTCTGTTACTCTATCAATGGTGTTTTTCTATGCCCGGTTTGCACGGTAAATAATGGTGGAACGGGTCATTTTCATGGGGTGTTCTCGCTTTTCTCTTTTTTGAATGCATGCATCGTTCGGTCTATCTCAAATTGTCTCTTTCTTTTTTTGCTCTTCTTGATAATGTATTATTGATACTCAGTTGAATTACTAACTACTATTACTTACTACTACCTCTTGGGATTGGGTGTTTGATATTTATTATTCGATACCAGGGTTAGTGTTACAGGTTATATGAAGATATTCAGAATGGAAATAGATTTTTATTCTACCATGCATCTACTGTCCCTCCCTGTGTTAGTCTTGACATCTTGAACCAAAAAAAAAAATCGTAAAATGGATTTCTGATCGCTAAGTCCGAGTGTTGAGGATTACGTGGTCTGTGCTTTATTATGACAGTACTAGTCTTACTATGTAAACTATACACAAAACGTGCTATGAATCTCTCAAAACGTGCTCTGGTTGAGGTCTTTTAAATTGTTTTCAAATTGTTTTCAAGATATATACGCCAGTCTTAGTGTACACCACCAATTAACCAACCAGCCAACCAATTTGAATCCTTCGGCCAGCCATAAGATACTTCATAGATACTTCATAGATAGATAAGTACTAGTAGGTATAGATATAGAGACAGAGAAACAACATCACTCCTTCAAAAACTCCCCAACAACACCCCCAACATTAACAGTATCCAACAAGAAAGTATCATGTCCAAACAAACTAATATCCTCTCCCAACTCCACATGAGTAATATTTTCATTCCCACCTTCTTTCAAAGCATCTACAATCTCCCTTTGCTGCCAGGCTGGGAATAATATGTCTGATGCTACACCTATAACTAGGACTTTATGATCTTTTAAAGGTGATAACCCTGCTATTAAATCCCTGGGTGGTTGACGGTGTGATGATGATGATGATGACGACGATGGAGCTTGTTCTTCTTGTTCTTGTTCTTGTTCTTCATATGCTTCATCGGGGAGGGTAAGCGTACACTGTCCCCCCTCATCTATATCCCCACCCCGTCGTAACGTATACGACTCCCTCCTAACCCTCGCATCCTTCTGCACTCCCTCGCTTAAATCGAACAAATCCATAGCCTTGGAGATATACAAAAGACTGTTCGCATCGTATTCCAAACACCATTTCTCACCCGCATGGTCCAGGTATGTTTCGATTTTGAAGTCCGGACACAAAGCCGGTGGTTTTGTGGAATCGGCGCGAAGACGGCCGAAACGTTGTTCCCATTCTGGACCGGAACGGTAGGTTACCGTTGCTATTTCTCTGGCGAGTTTCATTCCTATGTGTGGAGGGATTGAGGAGTAGTAGTGGCCGCGGGACCAGTTTGGGTCGGACATTAATACTTTTTTTTTTACTTAAGTGTTAGTATAATGGTGGTTTATAAAATTCATAGTAGGGAGGGTTACCTTGTCGTTGAACAAATCTCATAGCAATACTATAAGGATGACTTCTCGCGCATCCACTGATAGAAACCACCCTACCGACTCTTTCGGGGTATAAAACCCCAGCAGCAAGACTTTGCATCCCACCCATACTACTCCCCACGCTTGCAAACAACTTTTGAATACCCAGATGGTCCAATAACGTAAACTGCGCACGAACCATATCTTCCAACGTCACAATCGGGAATTTCGTAGCATACGGTTCTCCTTTCCCCCCATTATTACTTGTTGAAGTAGTAGTAGTAGATGGATCGATAGAACTAGGTCCAGTACTACCATAACACCCTCCGATGACATTAGTACAGATTACGAAATATTTGTTAGTATCTAATGCTTTCCCCGGTCCGATGAATTTCTCCCACCATCCTACCGATGGATTCGAGGGTGTGGAATGTGCGTGGGAGGATGCTGAAAGACCGGTGTGGAGGAGGATGGCGTTTGAAGCATTGGAGTTTAGAGTACCCCAGGTTTCGTAGGCGATTGTGTAGGCTGAGAGAGTACCGCCCCAGTCTAGATGGAGAGGGGTGGGGCAGTGGAAACTCTGGTGGGGGCCGGAGGTGTAGCTTTTTTTATATTATTGTAGAATGTTAGTTCCAGTTTCATTGGTTTGGTAGAGGGGTAGGTTGCTTACCTAGGTTCAGGACCACTACCGCTGCTAAACTTCTTAACAGGAGTGGAATTGTTTAGAAGATTTGAAGTACGGGTCTCGAGGGCATCGAGGCATGGGAATGCCATTTGCGGATTCGAGGAAGAAGAAGGGCCGACATCTTGGGGGGTTGCAGTCGGAGTTGCGTTCTGTTTAGAAGAAGCGGTGTGGAGATTTTGGGTTATCGTCGATATGGGTATTGTTCTTGGATGATTCGTGAGAGATAGAGGTCGTAGATTGGCGATGTGTAAACTCTGACGTCTTCGTGCGAAGGTATTAACATTGGTGAGGATTCGCTTCATTGCGAATAAGAATGGCTATGCTATGCTATGATATGCTATGCTGGGGGTATAGAACGTCCAAGGCTTGAAGGATGAGAAGCTAGAAGAAAGAGAAGAGGATTGAAGTTTCCGCCTCCCAGCCCCTAAGTACCCAAAGTAGGAAGTTACTTAATTAATACAAGAAGAACATAATACAAAAAATAAATTTACAACCTTCACAACCGGGGTAATTGTAATTCTAATTTATAATACAATTGGAATCGAATGTTTGGAAACGTTAACACCGGCGGCATCGGCGAATCGAAGAGACTTGACGCATTTCCCGATGCGGTTTTAGCGTCGCGGAAGCTGCAGGCTGGTCGATGGCGTGATGGCTTTCACATCCGTTTGTTACTTAATCGTGCATGGGTCTAGACTTATACTATAACGGACGACTTCTTCTTATAGAGAGAGGATGTAGAATCATATCCCACCGTCAATTAACGCCTTCAGATGCTCGACGAGACAATAAGGAAAAGAAATGACAAGCAGGCAAAGGAGACTATCAATACAAGAGAAGGAAGGAAAAAGGATATGTAACAAATTTTCAAAAAAAAAAAGTAGTTGTGTAAACACCCCGCTGCAAAGGAGGTAATCCCCAAAGACCATAGCTTTTCTTTTTTGCTTCTCTATCTTAGATAAAAACTAAGTACCAAAAAGTAGTAATAGTAATAATGCAATTTAAACAATCAGAGCCGATAATAAGCTCTCTTCTTCTTCCTTTTCAAGACTTTTAGGCTGTACGTGCGCATGGGTGTGGTCGAGAAGGCTGACAGGGTAGAGGGGTGATAAGGAAATTCGTGTAATAAATTCGTTAAAAAGAAAGCGAGACTGTTGTAGGCAATATATCGACTATACTTGATGAATCCCCATCTTCTTGAGTCTCTCTTTCTGCTTCTTCTCCTGGTCCTCTCGGTAAATCCTCATATTATCAGGTTCACCGATGTGGCGCTCTTCTTCTGGCTTCCAGGTACCTATTGCGAAGGGAAAAAAAAGCTAGGTTAGTATATCCAAATATTCAAATAGGAGTCCGTGGTTTAAAAAGTGATAGGTCACATACCCTCGAACATGTGCTTGACGAAAGCCTGCGGATCATCGTCTTCACCGGCACCGAATTGTCCAACACCGGGGCTAAAGCTCGTAACGGGTAGAACTACAACATCTCCAATCTTCTTCGGATTCTTCATCCCTGTGAAATTCCTGAAATCAACCGGATTCTGCTTCTGGACTGTAAAGTAATTCTCGTCGTTCAAGTAGTCAAAAATCGTATCCGTCCATATCGCTGGTCCTGTAAATTCAATAACCCCGCTTTGGTCCTTTCGTAGCTTTCCTTTCCTCTTCATATCCAAAGTCTTTTCGGTTATACGCGCCACGACTTCGCGGAGGACAGGATGGCCCGGCTTTGATTGAATGGTCCACTGACAAAATTGTAGCCTTCGAGAGTAGTTTTCCGCCCAGTTCTTCCCGGTGGGGTCGGCCTCGATGCCGACAACCAATCCGATGGATGCCATTCTGAAATTCGAGGGGATCCACTTCGTCGCCGGCTTCAACGCTGCAGTATCAATGTCGCTGTAGATGCCTCCTCTCGCAAGTAATATCAAGTATCGGAAGAAATCGGCTTTAAGAATCGGAGATGGTAACGATGTGAAGGCCTCCAGAACCCGGGGAACGGATCCGTATAGGTGTTTGATCAAGTGTAACGCGACTTGGTCGGTTATGACCTCGTGGATAAAGTCCGGGTGGTGTTGTGTCCAGCTGGCTTCTAACGGACGATAGCCGTCGCTGAATCGGGGATTGGCGACAGTGTACTTCCATGTCTGCCAGATGAAAGCCGGGAACTTGTTCGAGACGTCATATGGGAATTGATAGGCGAGCTGGTCACGGACGGGTTGACCGTTGATGTTTGAAGGGCGAGGGGCAGGCTTTCCAAGGTGTGGGGGGTTGATTTGGGTAACTAGTTTGTTCAGGTGGTCTTCAGGATGTTTCGACGAATGGTCTGTGAGAGGTAAATATATATATGTTAATATGAATTCCCTTTCCACCGCGTGGGAGTTTGGTTGTGTGACGATTTGTATGTGTGTAGATACATACCTGTTAGAACGGCATCATCGTCAACATTCGGCCGCGGACCACCTCTTATATGTGATCTAAACTCCTGAGACCGCTGACTTGATGTGAAAAAGAAGATTACTAGCACAATTGCTGATAATATTATTGCCCGTTTCACGCTCAACATTTTCGACGACGCAGCTGCTGTCGCTCCCGGAGAGGCGACGGACTTTGTGGAGAAATCCAGTTTGGGAATCTTAGAGGGCGAAGTAATTGAGAAAAGAAGTGATGATGATGGGATAGAAACGAAATTGCGTGTCGTAGGAAAGGTAGCAAGTGGTGGTGGCTGAGTGTCGTGGTCGTCCTTCGATGATTATGTAGGTTGAGGGAGTACAAGCGGATTTATTGTGGGATAGCCAGCTATCGAATCGAAGCAGAGCAAATCAAAGCAAAGCAAAGCAAGGTGTCCTCCTATAGCAAGGACATAAGATAACGAAGGGTAGTTTAGAATTGAATTCTGAATTCCGAATGCCGCGTATTGTCGAATTTCGAATTTCGAAGGGTGGTCTGGGCGTAATCACTGGGATTGTTCGTGCCACAGGAATTAGGAGGGAACTGCTTGAGAAAGCGAGATGCAAGTCAGAAATCTGAAGCAGCGCAGCAAAATGCAAATGCAACCGCAACTGCAGATGCAACTGCAACTGCAAATGCAGCTCGGGATCGCGGAGGATTTTAAGGAGAAAAGGACAGAAAAAGAGGGGGGAGAGGGAAGGAGAAAGGCTGACAGGCAATTAAAAGCATACACACTCACCGGTAGTACTAGATATAAAACTCGAATTAGATGTATAGATAGATATATGTACAGAGAAGAGAACAGAACGAGGGAATGGATGGATGAATGAATCGAAAGAATGAAAGATTGGCGATGCAGGCAAGATGCAGGTGCCGCTAGCCGGGGGGTTAGCACAAGTCGGCAGCTCGAATCCGAACAGTCAGTCGGTCCCCTTTTCGAATTCGATCTTCTGTGACTGACCCGCTTGCTCTGTCCAAAACCAGTCGGGTGCACCCGCAAACTCGCCGTTTCCAAAGGTCCAAATCCGTCGACAGTCGAAGCGATGAATTTATATATATTATAAGATCATCAATTATATATAAGAAGCAAGAGCATGAGAAGAGGTTTGATGGTTTGATGGTGGACGTGGTTTTGATAAATTAATTATTTCGCGCGGTGGTGTTTCGTTGACACCACGTTTGACGTTTGTTTTGTGAGGCCGTCCAGTACGGTCAGTGCTTTCTTGCTTGTTTGCGGCCAGCGGTGACGACGCAAACACTTTAAAGTCGCTAGCTGAGGGACCTGCCGGGAGTATATTATTATATTGAATTAGACTTCAATAACCAAGATATATAAAACAAATTAACTGAGGATACTATATTATATCATGGTCAGTTGATTCTAGAATTCTGAAATTCCGGGCGGGGCCTTCAGGGGAGAACACCAACTTGGCCTAATCCTCAGCTTAGCCAACAGTCTTCGAATCCGTGGCTCCTTTCGCTTTATACATTTCCATACTCCTTATGAGCTAACTAGACTTGTATAAGTACCGTACATGTCGATACTTGTATAAGGACTGTACATGTACAGGGGGGACGAAGGAATACAAAATGCAAATGTCTCAACGATCCCCAACAAGAAATCACCAGTCTAGACGACCGTATCTTCAGAAAAAGGTTTCAATCAGATGAAAGAACGAGAATCGGTCCTCCCCCTTTCCAATCCCCCCTCTGTTCCAACGTGACCTATGATGTAAGTTATCCCGAGATCTTCAATTACTCTTCCAGAAGATCTGGCATCAAACAACCATACGCAGTATATAGTACGGCGTGGTATATGTAACGGGAAGGAGCCAGAGGATACAAAAAAGAATACTCCGTTACCAAACTTTGACAGCCCGTCTTAGCGCCTGGCAGAGCCGTTTCAGATTTTTATGGGCTAACGCCAATCATCGGCTTGTCGCCTGTGATGGGACAATAAACCTCAAACTTCGGGCTTAAGGGGCGCTGCGGTTACATATCCCTGTCCATCTATTTTTCCATGTTCGCATGTGTCTTGAGTTCCGGCTTCATCCAGCATGATAATTTAATACACTGTAGAGTATACTATAATAATATTATCATGTAAAGACATAATATAAGCAAGGGCCACTTTTTGTGAATGTGGGCAATTATATTGTACGGTAAAAGTTACCTTGTGTAGAATTGTTCTTGCTATGAATTCATGAATATTGATATTACTAACGTTAAAGATATATATACTTAAGTAAAGACGGTTGATCCCGTGGAACTTGACATGCAATTTATTGTGCAACGGAGAACGGATTGCCCGGAAGACTAGAGTAACATCTTCAAACCTATCTGCAACTTCTTCCTGTGGAATGTATCGATAGATTTAGTATCAAGAGAGATATTCGCTAGAACCCGATGTATAGATCTATAGATATCGATCCACAAGCTAGTGCAGGGACTAAACATATCAATATGTACATGTATACGAACATCACAAGATCTAGACCCAACATAATCTACCTCAATTCAACTTTGCATGATAATTATGCACGATTCCGAATACTATACCCTTATCTTTCACACTAACATACTAGGTAACTAAGTAACTAAGTACTATTAAACATACCAGTTCAATTGATCAGATCAACTGGACTGTCGACACTAAATTAGTCGAGTTGTTGGAATTTGCCTGAAAGCAACGCCATGAACATTCGAACAGGGCATATGATCAACCACCCAACTTTCCAACATGCGCTCTTCCGTATTTCGCAGTTCACTAGGTGCTTGCTTATATATAAGCAGTTGGGATTTACGATATTAATCAACCTTGGGATACCCGTATAAGGCCCACCATCCCCTTTCATCTACAGACGGAACGGCATAAACCCTGTTGGCGACTGACAACTCTGAAACGTGCCGAGTCTATAGCCCCCAAAAGATCCGTATGTGGGTCCCTGTTCGGTGCCTGTGAGAGGGTGATCATGAATTACTTCCCTTGTACACCCCGATCTTTATAGTGTGTGCTTACATACATATGTACAGTGCATAGTACATTCGCTCGTTTGAGTTAAAGCTACATGGTACGATTATTGAAATTTATTACCGGTTGGGGTATTTGTCGGTGGGAATCTATGGGAGTGAACTGACTATTCATCTTTCATGTCTTTGATATCTTGTGAGATTAATTGATTAATTGGAGGGGTGGAAAGATCGCTGAATGAATGTAAGAGCTGCGCTTTGTGTAATGTATGATCGCCTTTGACATGAGATTTAAAGAGCAAAGGGGTTTATGTCCTGTCATTTTCTAGGGTATACTTCTATGTGCATATGAATAATTGGATCGTATAGCTAGCGCCGCATTGAATTTGGGTTAAGAGTATCACAGATTCTCGTTAATTAAATTTAGGTCCCTCGACTACGTCATGCTGAAAAGTACCATGCAGCTAGCTACTGAATAAACCAATTCCATAAATTTAAAACGGGTTAAAACGGCCAAATCTTTGTCATCAATGTCGCTGTCGAGCAGACTTCAATTATTGGAAGGCTCTCATCCATGGTGATAGTGCGTTCTGGCATCGGTTTTTCTTTCGACAACAATATATGAAATGCTCCAACGTCAGATTTAGAAAAGTCTATACCTTCTTTGTATTCCAGCGCACCGCACACTATATACCTATTTATTAGCTATTCCACGCACACTCGGGTGGTTATACCCTGTATTGCAGCGTTAAAAGGATATATTGGACATACCATTAACAATGACCTGGTCTTCAGGCGGGAATTTCGTCAGAATCGTCAAATTTGCGTTCGAAAGCCCTTGATACGTCGAGTCCACCAAAGAAGTTGGTAACACTCCACCACCTTTACCGTTCCTCGCTTCCTCGTTCTCAGCTTCATCGAATAAGACCCATCTCCCAGGCTCTGCACCAAGGTCTAGAGCTGAATCCGGTATGAAAGTTAGTTCGCCCCATTGTGCGCTTTCTTGCGATCGAGTTATTATCACGCGGCTATAATAATTGATTTAGTATCATATCCTCCACAAGATATATATTCAAAGTACAAAAAACCACCTACCGCAAGTACTTCAAATTCTTAGAATGTTTCATATTCAGCATACTAATATCCCCATCCCCGAACTCACTTGCTCCCATCCCATACTTCGTACTTGTCAAAAGCCTCATACCGTTTATAACCACCGGGTCCTGCGACCATGCAAGGTGCTCATTTACCACAAAATACTGCTGTTCGCGAGGATAATCCGTTTTAAACCTGGTGTCCGGCGTGTTTGGGTGTAGTTTTGTGATCGGGAGAAACCGCCAGTGTATGAAGGCCGGGAATGCTTTCTTTTGGGGGATTTTATATTCTTTTACGAACCATTGAACCCATTTCCTGGTATTTGTAAGTGCGCTTACGGAGTAGGCCTTCGAGGTCGGGTCGACGTTCCAGGCGACTATATATATAAAAACTAGTTTAGAACACTCCATGCATGTATACGGACTCTAAATCAGGGTAGGCTAGTCCACATGTGCAACTATATATATAAAGAAAGAAACGGGATGGACGTCGACATACCGAACAACCCTTTTTTCTCCCCGTCTATTCCGAAAGGAATCATATCCTCCGTATTGAATAACTCGGGTTTATCTAATATTGCGAATATCTTTTTGTCTATCCATTTTTCTCTATCGGCTCTCATCCGGTCCCCAAAGGTGTCGGTCTCATAGTCGACGTCAGGGATTTCCGGCCTAGCATCTTTCGGGTTCGTAGGAATGAAAGCATATTGTTCTGGGCTACAGTAGGCGGAACTTATGAATTTGAGGGCGAGGAGAAGAAGAGGTAGGTGGATTGGGGAACTAGCGTGATGGTACATTTATATATACTTAATTATATTGAAAAAGAACATCAAACAATGAAGTATTCTATAAACCGTATTGGCTCTCGTAAATATGTTTCCTATGTCCACATGTCAGAAGATGAAAGGCAAATTTACCGAAACGTGGCTACCCCGTTGAAGCAGCCATATGGTAGGTAGTTCTTTGTCTGGAATGCTTTATGTTTTTTTTCGCAATTTGAGCAGAATATCTCGAGATCCCATACTTCGTCTCGCAAAGCTACAGTGAGCGGGTGAGAAGAGCATCGGGCTGGTCAAATCAGTCTCGGTACAAGTGACTAGAAGGGTACTTGATTAAAAAGTACGAATTCGGCCGCCGCTAGCCTTGTTCCTCATTCAATTAAGTAAGTACTTTAGTATACCTACTTAAGTACTAACTTAGGTACTTAAGGAAGCGGGTAGGTACCTTGATATCATGATATATATAGTAAAATAATACGTAAAAACAGCTTGAAAGATAGACATATATTGCAAAGCCAACCATGTGTCTAAATCGACCAAAAATCAAATTTAAAATAAAGTAGAATTCAATAGAATTGAACACACGATAATTGACCGTAGTTTGCGCCCCAGCTCGACTTCCTGTAATATGCTCTTCTTGATGTCTTAAAATCAGCTAATTTTGATATTTCGGAGATCACTAATATAAGTGATAAATTGTAAGGCGGAATTTATACATAACTACTAAGTCCACGACGGACTCGGTCTATATATAAAAATAACACCATCTTCTTGAAGTTCTCACCATCTTGCAGCGTTATAACGTTTCTGACATACCGTTTGAGCGGATCAGGCTAGCCGCACTGCGGCACCCAAAGGAATTCCAAGACCCCGCCCAACCATGACAGCATAAGGCGAACCAGACTGCCGCTTCACTGCCCTACATAGCAGCCAGCGACCAATTCCGCCCACGAGCAAACTCAACTGTCAGATAAGCTTATGTGAGGACTCAAGAAGCTACCGTGATAATATGAGCTCCAACGCAACATCGAAGCCAACCGTTGTTGTAAAAATACAAGTCTTGGCGCTATTTTGAAGGGATTCCACAAACAGCGCACCTGCAAGCCATTGCCGCTGCCTTTCTATCTCAAGCGAGGAAGTTGGACAAACATGATAGATGCCTGGAGTTTCCCCATGTAGAGGCAGGCTTGGCTTCCATTTTGGCATCTTTCGCAGAGGTGAGGCTGTGTGTCGTTTGCGTCTGGTTCGTCCTGAGACCAGTTCAGCCGGGCCTGTGTGCCAGGATAGCTAGCTTATTTTGGGGTGCAACTAAGTGCCAGCCCGCGTAGGTCTTGTTTGTGCTTGAACTGGGAAACTTGAGCGGTTTGCAATTGCTGGAAGGAAGACCACATCTTCTTCACGAAGAATCGAATCTCCATCTTTCCATAAATTAAGCAACATTTTGACAATACACTAGCTAACCTCCCTGCAAGCCTGTACGGTTAACCCTATTTGTCGGTAAGTTTCATTCTAGGCCAGCCTTTTTATTACGTGTTTGCTCTAATCGTCATCGTAGTTATTGACCGGCTTTGTAGGAAACTGTTGCTCGGAATCGCTATCATAAGCGGACCGGTGGGGCTCCGTCCGCGAACGCTACCCTTGATCTCACGACCACTTATCGTGAATATCATGTGGTGATAGTGACGAAACCGAAAACCCCAATTCATACCTTCCCTCTCGAGAAAATACACTCCTCTTCCGGATAATTCCCCTGATCCAACATCGAAGACACCCAGACCCTAGTTTCCCTCCCTTTAGCTAGGTCTCCATGAGCTTCGGCACGAGAAACTCGTCCCCAAATCCTTAGTTAGGTAAAAACGGCCACCACTACCACGATAGTAATCAGTCTACGGACGAGTCCAGCCGGCCGTTCCTAATGTTGCCCGCCAATGGACCGCCACACCGAGCTCGTGGCGTGTCCACCTCATTTGCGCCGGAGCAGCAGAATCTAGCTGCCGAGATCGACCCGGTCCTCCAGAAGATATCAGAACCGTTACAATCCGTCGCTGCCGTCCCCGATAAACTTCCACATTTGCTTCAGCTCCGGAGTAGCCTGAAACAGCTGCCTGATGGATCGTGGCAGGAGGTTTTCCGAGTCCTGGGGGGGTTCGATACTCTTCTACAGGCGTTAACGAATGTCGCTGGCTTCTATAGTCTGGAAGATTCAGAAGACGTTAGATTATGCCTTTTTGATTACCTGAAATGTGTTTTCAACTTACTGTCTGAGAGTATGGTGGGCCATGTGGGGAACAAGAGATTCTTTGGCAAGAAAATTGGGTTCGAAGCTTTGCAGCGAAGTTTGGCGGCTACTGGGATACCTGTTATCGCTCCTGATCTTCTCTTCGGCCTCTTATTCGCCTTTGGTATGAACGACGAGACCTTCGCGACTTTCATAATCCGAGCTCGCCGAGATTTGCCAGAATCGGATACTGAATCAGCCGAGCATGTCCGCGAGAAGACCAAATCTGCTTTCAGTGGAGGAGATCTTTTGCGCCATGCTTCTATATTACCGGTTATTATCAACTTTTTCAACATACTGGAGCTGGACAAAGTTACCTCGATTGCCGTCTTACAGGCGATATTGTCGTTATCCCAATCCAACCAGTATAACTTAAACGAGGTCCACAGGTGTGGAATTTTGTCGACGTTCATCCTGCCCAACCTATGGCCCGTCAAAACTGATGATCAACTCCAGCCGATATTCTCCGAGATTGCATATTCGTTAATCGTGCTCGGCGTCAACACCCCCGATGACGCAAAGATCATATTTAGGGAAGCCATTGAGAATCCGAGTGCTGCCGATTTCCTTCTCTTCGGATTGAAGCAATCTCGCACTGCTCCGCTTATCCAATTTGATTTATCACTCCACGGATACGCCTCTGTGGAAATTGCAACTCTTGGTCGCTCATTCCCGCCCTCGAGTGGTGGCTACACTTTTGCGTTATGGGTGTATATTGACAAATTCGATGACTCTGTTCATACGACGCTCTTCGGAGTATTCGACGGCTCGCAAAAGTGCTTTGTATTAGCATATCTCGAACAAGATACCCACAAGCTTATTTTGCAGACTTCAGTCTCTTCTGCTAAGGCGTCGATCCGGTTTAGGAACTTCGTGTTTGAGGAGAAGACTTGGTATCATATTGCGGTGGCCCACCGACGTGGTAAGGCTACGAGCGCGGCCAAGGCATTACTATACGTTAATGGAGATTTTATTGAACAAACCAAATGCTCGTATCCATCGAATCCGCCAACGAATAATGTTCCGGTTCAGGCGTTCCTAGGCACGCCCGCAGATTTGTCTCCTAGAATAGGACACGGGGTCCTATCATCGAAATGGAGCGTTGCAAACGCCTTTTTGTTTGAAGAAATCATTTCCGACGACCTAATCGCGGTCCATTACAATCTTGGGCCTCGTTATTATGGAAATTTCCAAGATTGTTTGGGTAGTTTTCAGACGTATGAGGCCAGTGCTTCTCTTAACATGCGTAACGAGGTCATGCATCCGGGGAAGGAGGAGAAGTCAGATATCATATCTGCCATCCGCCAAAAAGCCTCGACTGTCATGGGAGAAAATAAAGTTCTGCTGAATATTTCTGCAACTGCAGTTCTTGATGATACCCACGACATCCCGAACGATACCAAGATTTTATCAGAGAAGATTAGTCGTCAGGCGTCGAAGAATCTCCAGAGCTTTGTGCGCAAGGGGCCAATCGCTCTGAATGGTGCCGTGCCATTTATCAGCGATGCTCTCACTTTACCACAGGGTACTGCTGTCATGACTGGTGAACCCATCATTCTTTATCCGGGAAGTCTTGATAATGCTGCTTGGAAGATTGGTGGCGCCGCTGCTGTAACTTTGAAACTCGTTGAGACTGCGACGACGCCGGAAGAAGTCTGCAAAGCGGTGGATATTCTGTTCGAAACCATTAAGAACAATTGGCGAAATTCTGAAGCCATGGAGAAGGAGAATGGGTTCGGAATTCTTGCGTACTTGCTCCGAACGAAAGAAATCAATGGAGTTGTCTGTAAAGAGCTCTTGGATCTCATTCTCAACTTCGTTGGGTACAATAGTGAACGACCAGAAGAGTCAATCCTGATAAACCCATTGGCTTATCGCGTGCTTCTCGTTGACTTTGAGCTATGGAGGAAGGCCGATATTCCGACACAAAAGGCCTACTTTGCACAATTCATCGTTTTCGGATCTGGAAGCATTAACCATCGTTTTAATGCAAAACGTCTTCTCAGAATGAGGATCGTTAAGAAACTAATACATGCACTGAAAAGTGATGCATTCTCTATGGAAGTCATCCCTGACTTCCTAGCAGCTTTTAAGTCCCTTATCAGTGTCAACTTTTCAGCGGAGACTCTCAGGTCTTTGTCTCTATTCATCACTTATTCGCTGTACTCTGGTAGCCAGATTAAGAGTTTGCGACACAAGAAGAGTACCTTCGTGATGAAGAGGACTGATTCGGACGGCTATTCGCCTATATCGTCGACTAAACGGATTAACGACTTTGGATTGAAGCGCCAGGTTGGGTTGATGATGTTAGAGATGTACTCAGAGCTGCTCTGTGAATCCTCGAGCACAACTAATATTATGAAGTTTGCTAGGACAGTTACTAATAGAGTAAGTCTCACTTTCCTGAGTATTAACGAAAATTCTGTCTAACATGGAGTAGTGGCTGTTATACCTCTTGGATGATGGGAACTCGAATGTCATTGCATGCGCGATGAAAATCCTTGCTCGCATTCTTGTGGTTCATGGACAAAGCTACATCTCGAAGTTTGCCGGGAAAACATCCGGGTTCTTGGTTCTCCGGCGCCGTCTTAGAAAGTGGTGGCGAGTACCTGAGATATGGATGTCGGCCTTTTCTATTTTCCTCGGAGTTGATATTGCGAAGGTGGACCTTACACAACCCCTCGTACTCTACCACCTTATAAATACGTTTAAATTCGACGATAAGGATGGGAGATTTATCTGTTCGGATATGTGGGCCGTCGTCGCAACAATGTTGAAAACCGCTGTGAATGATATTGCGAAGAGTCAGCAGGAGGCGGCGCGTATTCAGGCTCCGAAAAACAAACTTCTAAACCCAGAGGATGCAGAGAAGAAGCATAACCGAAGGAGGTCTCTGTCTTTGGATACGCAACTTACGTTGATGACTCTTGGTGAAGGTATGTATTTCAAACCTTCAATTGCAGGTGGTATTGCTAATTTGACGTAGTCCGTGATCCAGTCGACCGCCCACCTGCCGATGCCGAAAAGATGGTCAATGCCATCGTACATTTCTTGGCTGATTTGCAGCAAAACTGTGTGCCGTTTAAAGAATTCTGCTCTGGGACTGTTTTCCTGAAAGAGATCCTTGACATCCTCTTTCCTATTATCTGTGATACAGATCAACTTAGTGCTGAAACCGAGCTCGATCTCACTCTTGCTGATGATGCCGAGGACAAACTTCGCCATGGGCATTCTGTTAGCCAGACTAACATACTGCAAGCTACTGGCTCTGCTGTATGGTCGACTGTGACGGATAACAGTGCAGCAAGGGCAATCCCATTTAGAAGAGGATCGTCTTTCATCATTATCGATTCTGATGGGGCTTCTGCTACGACGCCATCAGGTTCCCGTCTTGTGGCTGCGGTGAACGCGACATCTATTGAGATTGCAAAAGTTAAGAGTAGTACGACAAGCAATCAGTTGGTATCGAGTTTGGTGGATATTGTGGTGGCTGTGTTCAAAACGATGTTGTTAGAAAGACGGGAGTTTGCTGGCTTTGGGTTAGCTACTAAGGTATGAGTTCTTTGTGTCAATGGTGATGCCCTAGATCCAATATATCTGACCCTTGGTACATAGATACCACCTGGTACCCTCGACCAACGCATCTATTTCGAGTCCTACATTGTGCGAAACACGGTTTCGTTAATGAGGAACGATATTGCGCTTGATCTGAAACTGCTGACCGAGCCGCGGATTTTGACGAACTTGGGTAGAATGGCTTATCATCTCGGTCAATCTGTAGCTGAAGGTACATGGTTACAAACTAAAATCGATCTATACTGTAAGAATTAAGAAAACTAACGAAATATTTAGGATGGTTTGCCACTGGTGGCCCACAGCTCCTCGAGTTTATCGGCGTTATTTTGGAGTACATAGAACGTCCAGACGTCTCGAGTATCAAGAGCGTGCGACTTTGCAACCAGACAATTCTAAGTCTACGGACAACTTTTATGAAGCTGCTTTGGCGCCAGTTTTCGGCACTTGTGAGCCTGGACGATGGCGAAGCCGCTATTGTCGAGTTCTTACAACAGCTTCTCATCTGGAACCAGGCTATTCTTACAACTGATCTTCAAGATCTAGACACTATCCGCATATTCTCATATTTCCTTTACGTTTTCCTCACAGACGAGAAAAATAGCATTCGGACTATTAGTTTGCAATTGCTTCGGCTCGTTCTTACGAGGAAGTCTTTGGAAATTGCTCAGATTTTGATTGGTCCGAAGACGCCGCCAGAACTCAAGCCGACACTGAATGATATGTTGAAAATCTCAGATCTTGTGAGTAGCCGATTTTTTTTTTTGAATACGCGGCACGAGCCGATTGTAGAATTTGTCGGACTAACAATACTCTAGGATGATGTCCAATCATTGGAATGGATTGAGAATCACCAAAATGAACTCGACACCTTTTTCTTTGGCGGCTTGGCCCAGACATGGGATGCCTACGTAGCAGATGAAAACAAGCGTATCAAGGACGCAGCACGTGCGAGAGTTGCGCAACGTAAAGACAAGCTGAAGGGGTGGGCTCTCGAAAACATCAATAACGAGGATGCGTATAACAAACATAGGACAGCATCATCAGTGTGGACGTCTAATATCTACGCTGGGGAGCACTTAAAGTATCAGCGAGCGTATCAAGATCACCAGGATAACGTTGCGTTTATGATCCAAGTGCACATTAAACTCAACAGGGACTTGACGAGGCCTTGTGGTCTCCTTGATACTGGAGAACCTCAGAAATGGCAGTTGGATATTTCTGAGGGCCGAAATCGTATGCGTAAGAGATTGCTCCCAGATCTTCGAACACAGGAGCGGGAGTATGGACCGAAGCAGAGAGGAACCGAATTGGCGATAGGGACGCCAGGCTCCAACAATGGTCCCGTATCAAACACCCCCCCGCTACCTCTCATAGATGACGATCGCCTGTCTCTCCGACCTGCTACTTCTGATGCTAGAGACAGCGGGAGTATGATTAACGGGGGCGATAACATGGAAGACGATTTTGAACTGGTCGACGACCCCAAAATAGACGACGAAGAGTATGAAGATAAGAATCGAAAAGTCTTACGGAGTCTTCAACACGGGGAAGTGGTCCAATTTGTGAGCAATGTATCTCGGGTACTTGGTCTTAGTATCTGTGAGGGCTTGTTAATCCTTGGACGGGAGAATTTGTATATGATTGATAATTTTTTCCAAAAGTCTGATGGAGAGATTATTAATGTTTGGCAAGCACCTTCGTCAGAACGAGACCAGTACCTACAGACCATTGCTGGAGTTGACGCAGAAAAATCCCGATCCACTAGTGCGGAACACGATACTAGGCAATGGGCTTGGAAGGAGTTACTTTCGGTATCAAAGCGGAAGTTTCTATTCAGAGACGTGGCTTTGGAATTGTTTTTCTCGGATGGGAGAAACTACCTGTTGACCACTATGACACAAAAAGACCGAGATGTCCTTCATTCGAAGCTGGCCGCCCGTATACCCGCGAATCAGCAACCGCAAATCGGTGGTAGGCACAATGAAGAGGCTTGGTTAGTTGAAACCATGGGCCAACCTGGCACTGGGCTCAGTCCCATCTCCTTCGGCGGGAAGCTCGCAAATGTCTTCCTAGCCGCTTCTGCAAACCCAGCAACAAAGAGATGGCTTAAACATGAGATCTCGAACTTCCATTACTTGATCTTGGTGAATGCCATGGCGGGTAGGACTTTCAATGATCTCACACAATACCCTGTCTTCCCATGGGTGTTGGCGGATTATACCAGTGAAGAGCTTGATCTGACCAACCCGAAGACTTTCCGCGACTTTTCGAAGCCGATGGGTGCTCAAACACCTGACCGGGCCCGCGAATTCCAAGAAAGATACCGTGCATTCCAAGATCTCGGTGATAGCAAAGCACCCCCATTCCATTATGGAACACATTACTCCTCTGCTATGATTGTGTGTTCGTATCTTATCCGGATGCATCCGTTTGTGGATTCGTATCTACTGCTCCAAGGTGGAAATTTCGACCATGCAGATCGTTTATTTTATTCTATGGAAAAGGCGTGGTTATCTGCTTCTAAGGATACAACAACGGATGTTAGGGAACTGATTCCCGAGTTCTTCTTCCTTCCGGAGCTTTTGATAAACAGCAATTCCTTTAATTTCGGTATTCGACAGGCTACTGGCCAGGCGGTTGATGATGTTATACTCCCGCCTTGGGCCAAGGGCGACCCGAAGATCTTTATCGCCAAGCACCGTGAAGCTTTGGAGAGTCCCTATGTCAGCGAGCACCTACACGATTGGATTGATCTTGTTTTCGGATACAAACAGAAGGGCGACGCAGCAGTTGAAGCCACAAATGTTTTCCACCATCTGTCATACTCTGGGGCTATCGACCTTGGTAGCATTATTGATCCCGTTGAGAGGACTGCAGCCATTGGAATTATTCACAACTTCGGCCAAACGCCGCACCAGATATTCACGCGTCCGCACCCACAGAGAGAGAACTCTGTGAGAAACACAAGCCGGCTGGACGGTAGCGTAGAAAGTTTGATTAGACTACCCTTCCCTTTGCTCGATACCCGAGAAAAGGTGCAGCAAATCGATTGGTCGCACCGTACCTCGAAGGTAGTTCCGTCCTCCGAGTTCAGGATCTACATTAGCCCCGTTTTCGACAAATACCTTGAGTGGGGTTATAGTGACGGTGGTGTCAGATTTTATGATGCTGAGAGCCGGAGAATGATTTCCATGTTTGAGCATCTTCACCAAGATCAATTATCCGCCGTCTTAGTTGTTGATGAACAAACTTTTGTTACTGGCGGTTGCGATTGCACCGTGACGATTTGGAAGATGGAGCATAGCAAAACGTTTGACATCCACCCAACCGCCTGTTTGCAAGGACATTGTGCCGCTATCACCCATCTGGCTGTCTCACGTTCGTTCGGATTGCTCGTTACTGCCGACGCATCTGGGGTAATCATCGTTTGGGATCTTAGCCGGAAGACGTATATCCGGAAGTTAGGCGAACATACCTCGATCCAGTGTATCACTCTCAACGATGTGACGGGAGATATCCTTGTCAGCAGACCTACCGACATGACCTTGTACACTTTGAACGGCGAATTGGTGCTTCGCAAATCTATCGATGAAATTTGCCCGGATCAAGTTATTATCTCCACAGCATTCTACGAAGGCGTTAGTAACGAATGGTTGGAGCGAGAGTTGATCTTTACCGGGCATCGCCGTGGGATTGTTAATGTGAGCCCTAACTTTTCTGAAAGTATTGTTTTGAGACGAAGTGTGCTAATCTATATTTTAGATCTGGAGCAAGCAGATTGTTGATGGGAAATTTGACCTAACGTTGGTCAAATCCTTACAACATATCAACCCGTACCAATCGCAAGCTACAGTTTCAGCATCAATCACAGCTATTCTACCAATGCCTCGTAACGTCTTTACCGCCGATGAATGGGGCAGGGTTGTAAGTTTCTTTCTTTCTTTCCAATTAGAACGGTTAAATAGAAATACTAACGTAATATTACGCAAATAGTACCAATGGGATTGTGTGTCGAAGACGTCGTAGGACCTCTTACTGTGAATAATTTCTAGTTATATGTGAGGACTTAGACTTCCGAGGATTGTTTGAACTTGATAGTTGTTCGGCGTGTTACCTGTACATTTTCTCTCTCTCACTGTTTTCCTTTCTGTGGTTGTATATGCATTTTGAAGCTGTGAATAGAAAAGCGACAATTTCCGCTTTCGGCCAACTGTATTCATATATGATTTTGTTCCTGACGAGGAGATGCCGAAGGCGTTTTGGATGGGGTTTAGCCTTGCGACTGTGTGAAATACATTTTCTCTTTCAAAGAGCTTCCATACATTACTTTAGAGATGGATATATATATACTGCTAGGATTTGGTCACAGGCCTGCAGGTAGAGATTGTCACCAGGCTGACCTGTAAAACATGACTATCTACTATCTCCACGATATGCGTGCAAGATCTTCACTGTTAGAAATGGATGGTCAAGTTCATGGAAAATAGATGAATATATAAAATCATAAAACTAATCCATAATATTATATTTACCATTCATCAATTAGCTAGTACCCTTGCCGACATCCCCCTTCTCAAGTCGAACTTACTTCATCACCATCGATATCGATATATATCTCTGGCGTTTGTATGTTTTATTTGATTTTGTCGGAAGTACTTTGTTACACTCTATCTCGAGTATCAAATATACATAATGTCTAGTCCCGAGACGAGAGGAAGCACTGCAGCCGCAGCGGCCGCAATTCGAGGCCAAAGCTATTATTCCCAGAGTAGTTCCAGTTATGGGCGAATGGGTTCCCGCAGATTTTCTTTTTTACCAGTAACTCCAAGGTAAAGTCTCCATCCGACCTACTCACAAGCAAAATACTAATTCCTACATTAATTTATAGCCGATGTAGTAGTCGCGCGTCCAGTGTTCGATATGGCGTTCCTGCTCGGGCTTCTGAGCTACGTACAATGCATCAAGATGGTTCGGGTTCACACCGATTTTCTCGTCCAGGAACTTTTCGAAGCCACTCATCTATCTCTACAATCACGCCCCGACCTACCTTTGGTGTTGCTAGATCTGCATCTATTAACCCCAAAAGACGGGGTTCACAAAGTTACTTAAAACGGAACCAATCCCTATACGAAAGGGGAGAGCCTGCTTATGTTGAGAAACCTTTCCGAATGGAAGATAAGCCGGGGTTCCTTCCAGCTAGTTCTCGACCAGGGAGTAGCTTGGGTTTGTCTATGCCTCGAACTTTGCGTGATTCAGACGTCGTGGGGACAACTAGGGCGCCAGTACCTGGAAGAAGATTCCCTGTTTCTTTGAGAATGAATCTTTTCGATAAGGCTCGCTGGCTGGGACGACGAGTTTCTCAGCCTTTCCGTCGATCCAAAGTACCACCTAAGAATGTACCAACTCAGCAGGTTCATTCTGAGACGAAACACTACGGGTTAACAGCCTACCAGATGTCTTCTGGTTATGCTGAAACCGAGGGCTCTCAATATGCAGAAACTGCTGTTCATCATCGTTTTTGGGAAAACCAGAGCTATACGACCGGTCTTGACAACCAAGAAGATTATTTCACCCATGCCCCGCCATCAGAAGTCGATGGCGTTGCCCCAAGTACACCAATACGTATGACAGTTGCAGAGCCAATAATTGAGGTCGAGGAGCCGCAGCCGCAGCCGGGACCGGTTCGAGAGGGGCAAAGAGGGTTTACACCGTTCACTCATCCTACAGACCTTGGGGGTGTTGATACAAGACGAGTTTACAGTGCGCTCATGAAGACCCTGGCAGCGCAATTCCGCAGCCAAAATCCCGTCAATGAGACTATAACGGAAGAAACTGAGCCTCAAGATGAAGAGCCCCGGCCGGGTCAACCCTCAAACGAAAATGTTCGACCACCTAGTTCCAAAGTTTCAACGGAAAAGAGTCCGGAGAACCGCAAGCCTCTCTGTGAGATTATGCCTCGTACAAATAATACCATTAGTGTCGTCGAAGAGGAGGAAGACACTGCGGCACCCCCTACGCCGATTATCAATATCGGGGTTAAGAGGATTAGATCTGATGATGCACTTTTTAGTCAGATTGCCCAACAGCATGAGGTTTGGCAAGAAGAGGCCACGGGAGGGAGTAGCAACGAAACCATAGCAGTTACAGCGCTAAGACAATTAAGCATTTCGAATGTTGAGAAAGAGAAGGAAGATATGACAGGGCAGGCGAGGTTCCGTACAACTAGTGGAGCGTTGCAGGAGAATATTCTGAAAGACGAGAAGGGGATCGAAACTGATGAGCACGAAAAGTTGAAGGATGATAGTATGGATCCGGTTTTTATTTGATATTTTACAGTTTGTCTTTCTCCTTTTGATTTTTGAGCTTGGAGTTTGAGAATGGTACTCTACGAGTTTGTTTTGGGCTATGATTTCTTGACGAAAGTTTTACCTTACGTCGATTCGAGTTTCCCTATATTTGAAGCTCGAATATGAACGGTATATGGGAAATAAAAGCTCGGTATGGCATACATGGAGTTGGGCTATTTTCTCCTCACTGGTGGCTTACCTTTCGTTTTCATTGTTCCGATTTTCGATTTCCTTGCCAATACCACCGACGTCGCGACAAGTATTTACTGGAACCCGTTTTATAGCATACAGTACATGTATGTAATGTACCTTCTCGTTCTCGTAATGTTGACTTGGATTATAACTACAAAACAATTGCGGCACTGGATCATAACTATTCATTGGACAGGAGATAGATCGATAGCCTCGAGGCCAATCGTGTGTCTTAAGTAATAATACATTGGTACTGATAGCGCTGTACAGCTTGTGCCTAGTGCCTAGGTATTTAATCTATCTTCAAACTAAACAAGAGAGGTGGCCTTGGCTGCCCCCGCTCCATTTCAACAAGGTGATCGAAAGAAGAAAACCCGGAAGAAATCGAACGGGCGAACTGTATTACCTCCTCCGAGGCAAAAGTCGAAATTTAAAATGATAGATGAATATCTTCCGCGAACTGGGACCCGATGAGGTCCTTGGCAACCCAGGCATGCCAACGCAGGGAAGGGATGTATGGTGTAGTATCACTTTCGGTCGAGAATGTAATTTTCTTCCCATCAAGGTCACCCCATCGGATTGGGGGCAACTCCTCCTCGTTCGAGTCTATAACCGTATCCGCCGGAAAACCCCTAGATGTCAAGAGCCTTGAGTTAAGAACCCTTAGAGTAAAAACTATATTCCCATCTTCATTTTGTGGGATGATAGTAATCCGAAAGTTGTCGAAGTTCTTTTTGACGGACGCATGTAAAAGCAAGCCGTTGCTTTTAGCCATGGTGCTAGAGAGGCCAACCAAACTCGCTATTCTGTCCTCAGAATAAGGACAAATATGGGAGGCCTTTAGCCTATCAGGACGGAAGTAGATATTTGTGATTTGGCATCGATATCGCCTATCCTTGTTTCTAACCGCGTGAGAATTATTAAGGTGTCCAAGAGCATAGCGGGCGATAATTGCCGCCCTGAACGCCTTTTGCCCTTCAGAATTTTGCCCGCCCCCTGGTCCTCGAATTACAGACGCAATCGATAGTATACGTAATTGTTGGGAAAGACACATCCGAGGGGTCCTATAACTTAGGGCGGCTACCGTAGACGGGTTTCTGACTCCTGCAAAAAACCGAATATCGGCAGGATCCCACGGGCTGAATAGGTCCACAAGCGAAGTAGTTGCTACTTTAAGGCCCACGGCTCCGGGGTAGCCGCAGATCGAATATTTTAGGTTGGAGGGAGCAGGTTGAACGCTCTGAATAAGACTTTCAGAGTCATCCCAGGAATCAAAGGTTCGCAGATCGGCCAATACTTTGTCGTAAAAGTTACAACCATATGGTAGAGCTATCACCCTCAAATTTTCCGCCATTTCCAACCTCATTTGGGAGGATAAATTTTCTTTCGCGTCGTTGAAGTGTGGTGGAAGCAGTAAATGGGATGGTGTGGATGCAAAAACTAGATTCCTCGATGTATGTGATATGGATATTTTTTGGTGGATCTTGACGGATTTTTAGTTTTGAAGCGGCCCTTGACAGGACCCTTCGCAACTGCGAATCTCGCGGCATTTCGGTTGACGCCTTTTCTCTCTTTCTCTTCCTTTAAGCTGGGACTGATAGTTTGGTTGACTGTGGATTTAATAGGTTCGCTCTAAAAATCGACTATTGGGTCCGTCGTGAGTACGATATCTACTGATATTGATATGCGATTCAAGAGAGGTGAGGAGTTATTAAGAAATATTAAATACTGAGTTCTAAGAAACTAGTGAAGACAAGGGTACTGTTAAGGCGTTGCAGCACAAGACTACTGTGAAGGTATGATTTTCTGCTTCAGGGTATCTTCTCTGAATCATATATATCTGGGTGTATTTGATAACCTTAAGCCTATCAATCCGCCTATAGTGCTGAGTGACGCTAGTCAACTACATATCTGTCGAGGACAACTGAAAGGTTTACGACGATCGCGGGATATAAAAAAAATTACTCTTCGCAAAAATGTGTTTGACGTTGTAAAATGACATCTAATAGGTCTTAAATAGGCAAGTCCTGGAATAGGATTAGTGCTAAAATTAAAATAATATAGTTGATTCCCCTTTCGAGAAAACCTTATTTAAGATCCAACAGGGATCTGGTGAAAAATCTTTGAGCTATATTTTTCTGGAATAATAAGACTGATATCTGCGTTCATAGCTGGTGGACCACAGGGTATCCCGTCCGCTCTGCCTTACTCAAGCCCCCAAGCGGGCGCTCAGTAGTATAGTGGGTGACCATATGCGAATCGCGTCTAACGCAGGTAATCTTCTTTTTTTGCTCCTCGTTCTTTTTTTGCACATTTTGGTCTACAAGATAACTCTAGCCCTGATGAATATTCGCGGTTAGTCGGTATATCGGTCGTGTTTTGCTCCGTTTGTGAGTGCTTCTGCTGGTATCGACGTTTTTGTCGCTGTGCTGGGTCCTATATCCTTTCGTAGAGTCAGAATAAGCATATATACTTCTTACTTGCTCCATCATGCATCAAGTATTAAAATACACAATATTAAGATGTACCTATTAGCGCGCGTCCAATCATATTAACGACTATTCAACAGTCTTCAACTACCTATGTAGTTAACAGGCCTATCATATAATTAAGCCGTGGGCACGGACCCTCACCAAGATACTCAGTCCTGCGGTCCAGACATCTGTTGGTCGACTTCCAGTACATAGCATGCTGACCTTCGCACGGAGCGTATCTTGATTGCCGTTAGGATGATCTTGGACCCACAATATCCAGAGCGTGCACAGCCCTTCCTATGGAGCCTCGAGCCGTCTGACATGCGGGGTCCCTTACACAGACTTGGAGACAGGGGTATTGGCAATGAGGGGTTCGTTCTAGCAGGATCCTGCGGCTCTTTCCGTCTCCACGAATATACATGCGGCTCAATGTTTTATAAGAAGAATGATATCCTATCTTGAAAAACGACGTCGACTAGTTAGATTACACAGAAATATAAATACGCATAAGATATAATTGCGGTTTTGATCTCGGATCCACATATACACCATCAATATTCTCTACCATGGAACATCTTCTCTTAGTTGACACCACCCTTTTCCCTCCAGTTATCTTCCCACTCATAGGAGAACAATGGGACGGCGGGTCATTCGATGAGTATCCTCAACGTCGTCAGTTCGACACTACTACGCAAAAATTCTACGCTGAAGACGTAGAGACTAGTCCCGATGCGCCCTACGCATTCTACCAGACATGGCTATACCTTGGACTTGTTTCTGATGCCTTCCTTTGCGAGGATCCAAATGAAGTATTTCTGCGACATGACGATGAGACTGGAGGTTTGGTTCTGACGACAGAAAGACTTGGGGAGGTCGTTAACCATTGGAAAGCGACTTTGGATTCAATGGATTTACCTGGGAAAGTGGCTGAGCTTATCAGGTCTATCAAAGCGATTCGAAAAGTGCACGATCAATTGATGGAGGTCAATGTTCCGAATGGGTCTGATCTAATTTGGGCGGAAGAAATCACCTCGGTGGGCGGGACAGTCAGGTTTGCGATTGCACTCCTCTGCGATGCTTTGGGGTATTCTATCTCCAGTATGTGTGGTCCGAATTTGGACCCTCAGATAGAAAAATACAATTCGAAATGGAGTCGAGAAGAAGAGATACCTTACCCAAGTTATCCCTATTTCCGATGGATTATTGGGGACGTCCTCGACGAAGCTATGGACCGATCACTACTTTGTCCTGTAGAGAAGGCCCAACTCGCGAATTCTTCGCCTGCGTTTCTTTGTTATTTACTATCGCTCCCAGAGACGAATAGGTACGAAGGCCAGCACGGTGATTGTACCTCGACCCATTGTGTGGGAAACAATATTGATGAAGAGACATATGTTACAAAACACGTTGACGAGAGCTGTGATTGCGAGCACGACGGGCCAGACGTCGAAGACGTCAAGAAATGTTTGAGGGATGGTAATATCCCCTCCCTGACGATTTCCATCGTTGACGGGGAGTACCAAGGCATGAAAGTAAAGCCCCAAAAGGTCGAACAAGCGAGCATCTGGAGATTTCATCAAGGGAAATCGGGACTTGCAAAGTCGTTGGATTACATCGCCTTGTCTCACGTCTGGTCTGATGGACTGGGAAATCCAAGGGCGAATACCTTACCCCGATGTCAGTTGAAGAGACTGGCTTATTACACAAACTATACGATAAAGGACGGAAGGGCTCGCGGTGTGAAGGGGAATTTTGAGAAGGCATTCTCTAAGAAACATTCCTTCGCAAAAAGAGCGGGGACTGTTTGGGAGCAAAATGGGGATTTTGAGTGTGCCCTTTGGACAGACACTCTTTGTGTGCCGTTGGAGCCTGAGTATAGAAAGTTAGCCATCAAAACTATGAACCAAGTTTATCGCCAGGGTATGATACTCTTCAACTACCCGCTTCAATTACTCCTAACAAGATTGCGAATGCTAACAATTGTATATGATAGCTCGATATATAATGGTCCTAGATGCGTCTATAGCCCGTCATGACTTTGCGACGGACGAAGAGCTTATGGGTCGTGTTGTTCTGTCAACCTGGATGCGACGCGTGTGGACGCTACAAGAAGCTATCATCGGAATGGAGAAGCTTTCAATTTGCTCCAAAGATCAAGTTGTTGATCATACGGATGCATTAGAGCGACTGCGTGTCGTCGTCAATGAAGGAGACAGGTCTCTAATCAACGGCGTTCTTGAAAGCGTTGCAATCCTTGGAGACGACGGATTCGCAGGACTAAATGGCGCCGTCTCAATTATGGAGTTCAACTACAAGGGGTCCAAGGTTCTTGAAGATGGACAGACTTCCAGGGAGAAACAACTTGAGCAGGAACAGTTTGTGCTCTTTATGGAGCACTTGTGGACGCTTGTTGGCCGTCGTGCTACAACGAAGGAGGAGGATCGAGTCTTGGTGGCTTGTAATATCATGTATAAGGATGTAGGTAAGGTTCTAAAGGGAAAGGGACATACAGGACGCATGATAGGGTTACTTGACCAACTTGAAGAGGTTCCCGCCGGTACTATCTTCAGATCAGGCGAGAGAGTTCCGATCGACGGGTATCGCTGGGCATGTCACACCTTCAAGCTTGGGGCCTGGGGAAGATTCGATTTTGGAAACCCAGGAAGAGTTACACCACAAGGCCTCCTGGTCAGGTTTGCGGGTTTTATCTTACCTGAGAAACCTACCCAACCGGATTTCCCTTTAATGGTACAATCCGCTGCTGGAGATGAGTTTAGGTTAATAACCTGCAGCTACCCAAATAATACGGGCACAGCTCTTACACCCGAAGATTGGAGTGAGGCTATCCAAAGAACTCCTAATAATCTTGCTATCCTACAATCTGATGGAGGAACTTTTATACACTCCATGTTCTTGAAAGATGGGGGGACGGTTCCTTGCGAACAGAGGAGAGCGATTTTGGTATCCATTACGGAGGAAAGGGGTGAGACCATCTATTGTCGATATGAGTCCTTTGTGTGGTTGAGCAAGGCTCCTGGCCCCGAATATGAGCCACTTTTACAAACAACTTATCCGACGGTGGTGACGAATGACCCTCGACCAGCCAGTCAACAATGGTGTGTGGCTTGAGTTTTAGATATATACACAAGCCCTAGATATATTGATAGTCACAAATTTCTTCTCCAGATAATACATTAAAAAGCCTCCACATTCCTAATACTCATGTGATTTTGAAGGAGAATTTAAGGTTAACGGTATTGGGAGGGCTGTGCATGATCTGAGACTGAACCATCAGTCACAATTGGGATCAGATAATTGTGGGCCTGCAGGGGACGGCTGAGCTCAGGGTAGTCTCGTGTTCAAGGGTTGTATATATCCATGCACAGCTTACTTACCCCGCATCACCACAAGCTCCTGGAATGGATCCTGCCGCCAAAGCCCCTCACGCATATCCCTGGATATAATTCAGACACACCATCCTCGAAGTTCAAAATCATCCTTTCCAGAGTTAAGCAGAACTGTGTTGTTTTTGTTGTAAAATTTCTCCACCAAAATGGTTCATATTCCACCAGCGACCTTCAGACCATTTCTTCATGAGACGGATGTCCCATGTGTCTGCGATTATGACTACGACGGTGGCGACTTTGCTACCTATCCAGAGCGTAGAGGCTTCAATAAAGAACTTCTTCTTTTAGGAAATTTCAGCGAACATCCCGAGGATGAGACCGTTGCCTTCCTCCAAAGCTGGCTCTGCTTTGGCTTGCTTTCCGAGGTTACGAAACAGACATTCGGTATATCCGATCTGACAACTACCAATGCCGATGGCCAGTTGATTATTGAGTCAGAAAAGTTTCCTGGGATTATCGAAACGTGGGTGCGATCGAGCTCCGCCCGTCATCTAGATAAATACGACGCAATCTTCTCTGAGGTAGCGGTCATCATCGAATACTTTTCTCCATTATTGATTACCTGGCAAACCAAGTACGGCGCAAATTTAGAGACTGCAAGTGATATTATTGATGCTCAGGTTAGCATCCTGCCGCCATCGATCGCTTGTTCACTAGCTCTGCTTGCGGCATCAATACAAACAGCATATCGACACCAGCATCAAGAACAGCCTTATGTTCGATTCAGCAGACCCGCATCCGATGCATTCGGGATTCCATCTCTGATCTTCCAAAGATTTATCACTGCGGGGTGGTGTATTAGCGATGTTGCAAGGTTGTCGAGAACTTACAGCATTACGACGCTATACTTTGCTTCGAGCTTTCAAAGAAATCTCCCGTCACCCGATTTTCACGAGTATTGTGATTTATTTGCTTGTTCGGCTTCCCAAGTCGATGATACGACTTATGTTACCAAACATGTGGATGAAAGCTGTGGGTGTGACCATATGGAATCGGCGCTCGATGATGTAAAGAAGGCTTTGGACAACGGTGGGATTCCGGCTACTATTGTGAAGGGTGATATTGCGAGCGGTGGTGAGAAAGGCTGGTTGGAAGCCGTTTCGTTTGAAGATTGCAAGGCGGTTGCGCTGTCCCATGTTTGGTCAGATGGACTTGGGAATGTGAGCGCGAACTCGATACCAGAGTGTCAAGTGCGGCGGCTCAAGGGGTTAATTGATAGACTTTACGAGATTTCGCCTCCAAAAAGCTCCTTCTCGGGGTTCTTTAAGAAGAAGAAAAATAAGGATATCGGATTGTGGTTGGATACGCTGTGTATTCCATTGGAGAAGGATTACCGAAAACTTGCGATCAAGAAAATGGTGGATACATACGGGAAATGCGATCGGGTGCTCATGATTGATGCGGAACTAACTCAAATATCTATGGATCAGATTCCAAAACGAGAACTGTTAATCCGAATCGCAGGATCAAATTGGATGAGGAGAATGTGGACATTACAGGAAGCGGCGCTGAATATCGAACATTTGTATGTTCAATTCGCGGATGGGGTGTTGGAGTACCATGACGAAGCTGTAACTCTTACACGCGCGTGGGAAAGGCGAAAGTGGGCATACGAAGCCATTGATACCGACGCGGGGGTACACAATTATGAATTCTCTGCGATGCACGGCGCATATACGAAGGATAACTGGCGTTCTGCGGGGCAGTCTGCAGGTCTGGCGCTCTCGGGGTTCGCTGGAAGAAATACAACGAAACCTGGTGATGTTTACTTGTGTCTGGGAGGCATGATGGATTTGGATCTTATGGAGATTATCAAGACACCAGAAGATGAAAGGACCGAGAAGATTTTAACGATGATGAAGTATTACCCCAAGAGTATCATTTTCTCGCCAGGTCCGAAGGTGGATATGGCTGGCTACGGATGGGCTTGTCAGACTTTTTGGAAGTCGAAGATTTTGAGTTCAGCTTTCTCCGATGCCATGAACCCAGCGGAGATGACTGAGAAGGGGCTGAGACTAGAGTACCAGGGTTATGTTATCAACCCGGTGAAGTTGCCGGAGGGATACTTAATCATGAACTCGAAGAAACAGGGTTTGTGGATCAAAGTTACCTATGACCCCACGGATCCGGCTGGGATTTCAAGTCGGGTCGCAAGAGCCGAACATGACGAAGGGTCAATGGATCTGGGACTTATTGTCCCTGAGCGGGATGTGGCGAGGAAAGGACCCGGCGCTGGTAGCCCTGCGCTCCTAGTGTCGATCTATAAACGGGCCGGGTGGAAGGATTCGTTCAAAGATTCGGAAAACTCCACAGCTATCTATACAAAGGCCCTTTGTACAGTTTTCCTTACGACGGCTACCACCTCGGATATTGAAGCATATACTGAGGCAGGGAATGAGGTTGCAGATGGCAAGAAGCCTAATGAAAGTGCTAATACGAGTAGTGTAATTTATCAAGGCCAGATATGGTTCATTGCATAAGCACTCGAACTACTGGTTTAGCAGGGATCCGAGGCTTGGGAATATAATTCTAGAAGAGCTAACGGCTTCGAAGCTTTAACGGCTCAAAAGCCACAGTAATGTTATACTCGATTCCAATATATATATATATATATCTCCACAGTCTTGCATCCATAGGCCGAGTTTTCATGTATTCTATAGATCTAATTCTCCCATCTGGCTCCGACACTGAAAGTGCTTATGGAGCAATAAAAACCTACGTATTCTTCTGTCTCTTTTCTGTTCAAATCTCCATGTACAAACTCTAACCTTATGATATCATGTCGTTGACGTTACCACAAAATAGACTCTGAGCTAGGATTCCCTAGCTACTAACATCGAGAATTCGTCCGAATTCAAGCTAAAGCTCTGAGCTGAAAGTTTCCGTATTGGCGTCCATGCTTGTATTTTTAGAAGTCTTTTCCCGTTCTCGTAGCTTTTCGAAATGCTTAGAAGTGGATTACCTCTCCGATCTGTGGACTCTTTCGCCTAGGTTTCTTAACTTCTCGATGTATCACCCTAATCCGTAGACTCGAGTTTCCTCCTTGGGTTTTTGCGTTGACGTTGCAAATTTGCTAGCCTAAAATACCACAAAGCGGCTCGAGAACCAGTGCTGTGCACTGTCATACCACATGCATATGTCGCACATTCAATCTTTCAAAAAGCTCACGAGAACATTGAAAAGAACGATACAAATTATCTCAAATTGATCAGGCACTGCTATTTATAGCTTCCCTTAAGATTTTTGTACTTCCAATCAAAATCTTGTTCATAAAATGTTTAACGTTATGGAAACCCACGAAGGGAACCAGATCACCGTCTAGTGACGCTCGCCAACACCATATATGGCCATGTGAGCATTCCATAGGCGTAACGGGAACACTGATTGCAACCTCATTTATATGCACATCGCCTCTTTCATGCAAGAAAGCGCGGGTGCAGCCGAATCGGGATAATTTCTCACATCCTTGCATTGAATAATAATTTCTTCGTGTTAAGCTTTTTTGGTGTGAGACCCTGTTCAAGACTCGACTCTGCTGAAAAACTTTCTTTCTCAAGAAGGAAGCACAGTGATGTTGCATTTATGACGATTGTATATGCGTAAAGCTATAGCTGCAGCTGATTCAGTCGGGTTTAGTCAGGTTCTTATAGAATTGCCTTCAAACTAGGAGTATGGGGCAAATATCTTGTATATATATAGGGGGAGGAGATGCCGTTGAGGATCGGGATTCAAAAAGTCTTAACTTCACCACCACCGATATCATACATTCGTTTATAACAGCTATAGCTCCAAAAAAAAATACCAAGTACTTTAATATAATATCTATTCCGCTTCCGCCAAAATGCAACTTAAATCCCTCCTCTTCACTACTCTCCTTGCGGGTGCGGCCTCTGCCCTCCCAACCGCCAATCCGGACCTCTCTTCTCGTGCTCTGTGCAGCCCACAAGAACACACCGGATTCCTCGTCCGCATTAACTCCACCAACGGTCTAAACAACAAAGTCGTCTCCATCTCCAACGGTGTCGTTGGTGTTGACCTCCCCAACCCTGACTCCGTTATCTGGCCTTACACCGACGGCAATAAGATCTATATGCCCGGTCCAGGCTACAAATATCTCATTCCTGGATACCTCTACTCTACTGGCAGTGGTACCAGCTCCTGTGGAAAACAGTTGAAGTTCAGCAAGGACTTGCCAAAGAAGGGGCTCGTCCAGACGAATGTTTTCTCTACTAGCTGTGATATTCAGGGAACTTTTTACTTGACAGCTGAGGGTGATTGGAACTGGCAAGCGTGCCCAAATACTGCAGGGAAAGGATGGACTATTCACCATGGAGCCAAGAAGGCAGGGTGTAGGGATGTTAAGTTGAAGATGATTTACGGACCACCTTATTAGGGGGTGCGCCGTTGTTGGAGCTTTCGAGCTTTGTGTGTGATGATGATGACAGACGATAATGGAGCGATTTGTCCTGAAGCCCAATTTCGTTAAAACTTACAGCATTTACAGCATTTACAGCATTTGTATTTAGTTATATTCATATTCTTGTAAATATATAGAGACTTTAATAGTAGTATGGGGTGCGCAGCTGCTGGCGATGGAAAAATATAATACGAACGAACTTCGCATATATATAAGTATATAATAAGTAGTACTTACCTATATACACCCCGTGGGTCCTTTTCGTAAAACTTTCGATCAATATCCTCTGCATAGCAACGTATACTCTCGTACAAGTCATGTGACGAAATTCGATGAAAATAGACACTAGTAAAACGGGATTTTAGAAGCGTGAAAAACGGGATTTTGAAGTCGTTGGGTGGCTATTTATATGAGAATCGAGGCCTGGTTACTAGGGGAAAAATCCGGTTTCTACAAAACTAGTGCAGATTTTGCTCAGAAATCTGCATGTCTGAATACCCCCTTTTTTCATAAAAGAAGTTCGCCAGAATTTATGCCATTTTTTGCACAGCTTTTGAAGGTGAAAATTGTCACGTGCCTGCCGACTTTGGGAGGGGGTTCGGCGTCGAATCAGGCACCACACAGCTAGCTATCTTGTCTGAACTAGTTCTTTACATCAACATACGTTTCATATAATTAATCTAGGATATACCCTTTGATGTGCATTTGGGAATATTTTATCTCGTAAACCAGAATCAATTGCTGCTGTTCATTCATGGTCAGATGGACACTAAGAATATTGATTTTGGTATTGTGATTGGTATCTAGGTAGGAAGCTGCAAACAAATATGACCACCCCGTACGAATATTAAATTGCTAGCCATCCAAACTACTTTGTTCCCTTTGCTAGATCCTCAAGCTGATACTAGAAAACTAAGGATTGAATAAAGCAGTTATCCAACATAGATTTACTGGGAGATACCAATGACACCACAAGCTGGACGACCACCAGCATTTCCGGTAGTCAAAGAATCAGCGTGACCACCCTTTCCGAGATCATCAGTACCAGCGTGAACAACAACAGTTCGCTATTGTCAGTTGTGTTAGTAATTCAGCTCTTTATAATGGAAGGCAAAGACTCGGCACTCACTCCGAGGATGCTATTAGGTCCAATCAGAGAGACTTGGCTGTCGGTGATAGTACCCTTTGCGACACCGGAGCCATCAGTGGTGATGTTTCCAAGGTCACCGACATGGCGGTTCTCATCCGATGGAGCACCGTGGGTCTTTCCGAAGGGGTTGACTAAGTCCTTCTTTAGAATATACGCCTTATATCGACATAGCATGAAGAGAGTATAGCTTACAGTGAGGACCGGCAGAGGTGCAACCATTGGTATTATCACCGAAGGTATGGATATGGAAGCCACGTTGAGCATTGGCATCATTTCCAGAGATCTCATACTCAATGGTGGTTGGGGAGGACTCGGACTCTTGGGTGAAGGTGACAACTCCCGCAACGTTGGCGTCTCCACGAAGAACGGCGACTAGTCGACGTCAGTTCCATGTTACCGGTACCAATTGCATCGGAAAATTAATTCTTTATCTGATCCCGTACCTGCTTTAACCATTTTGACTTGTTTGGATTAGATTACTGGGGAGCTTCTGGATGATTCCGGGGCCAACGGTTAGCTCCAACGAACAGACATTGGCGGGGATATGGCACATGGAAGACTAGCCCCGGGAAGGAGAGTTTCTTATGCAGGTGAGGGGGTTTCTTCCTACTGACAATTCAAGTTCGGTATCTCGAAGGTGGACTGATGAGAGAGTTTCTGCAGGTTCGAATTCTGATGGATGTGGTGGTGGTGGTGGGAAGGTGTGGAATGCGGAAGTGACGACATGCTATAAATATGCCCCTCTCCTCGCACAAACACTTTTTTTTTGCTAATGCGGGGCAGCTCTATCGTCATTATTATTAAGCTTGGCCCAGACCCTTTCTGACACGGTTGATTACAATTACAGGACAGAATAGATCTTGGAGAGAATGGCTCCAATTGGATACTCCGGCCGAGGCAAGGAAGAAATGGCCCACTTTATCTATGCCGTTTAACTGCATTGCAATTGACGCCAAATTAGGTTCTGTGCAGATTTAGAGCTGCAACTGACTCGCGCAGAGTTCGGCCCGGAGATCTCGAGGGCGATTTGGGTTGGGCCGGTTACACTTCGGCTCATAAGTCCTTCGACTTGAGTCTATAGAAGAAATGGCGGCGATGTCTGGGCTATCAATATCAATATCGGTCAATATCGGTATCGACATCCACTGGCCACCCGGCCCTAATTTACAACCGTGGCCGCTGAGGTCATATTGGACCGGATGCAGTGGCCACGCTTTATAAATTTTCTCATGTTCGCGGTTACACACGACCAAGCTACCGAACATTAAATTTGTGTTGGTGTGTTGGCGGCTGTCTGTACCTTCAAAACTTCAACACAAAGCCGCTCTGATTATTTTGTCGAAGTAAGAGACGAACTTCTTCTTCTCCACATGCCCCAATAACTACTTAAGTAAGTAGTCAACTTATGCTCTGAGAAGGGTAAGAAGACCGGAGTTCGGCACTTGAAATCGAAAACGCGACTCTAGGGATGCCTTGGTGGCGGATTCTCACCCTTTGCAGAGTGTACTTGCCTGGATGGTACTAGGCATACCACTGGATTGAACATGCGTAGGCCTGAGGCATGCACGGATGTCAGATATCGATATTATCTCCTAGCAAAGAGTAAAAAGGAATATGTATATGTGTAGCCTGCAAGTGCAAGATGCAGGTGAAAGCTCATAAGCTTAGCTAACTGTTTAGGTAGCGTGCTGCGCCAGAAGTTGTACGTAGACTCCGGTGCTTCCTTAGAAGGAATTGTGACAGGCACCTACAACCAATCATGGGGGACTGTTGGATGCCCCAGGCCGCAGTGACCCTGGACGGGGGTTTTCTGAATTCGGATCCACGGAGAGCAGCCGGTGCATCACCGAATTTTTGTTACTAAGGTGACATTGCCAGCGATTGTCCAATATTGTAGGTACATACTTAATTTATGTCTTGACACCGAGTGATGCAAAACTTGATATCGTGTATCAATTCATGGTAAGGCGACCAGCAGAAGCAATTTGCGGCTACACCGTGTCCGTCCTGACCGTGAACAACGGTAGACGCTTGCCCGTCCCGGATGCAGGGTGGGGCGCCTGTTGATTGAAGGGTGCAGCACATGTGCTTATGTAGGGAATGTCTTAGCGTAGGCTGGCCTCGGATATCGTACTCGATAAGGGCGGACGACAAATGCAAAATGCAAATTCAAAATCTCAAGGTCTAATATTCCCAGGAAGATAATCCAAATTCCCAAATACAAGGCTTGCGGAATAGTAAATAGCTGGGAGGTCATGATTGGCATATCCCATTACTTTTGCAGCATCGACCTGTAATATGTTGATAGGGACATAACATGTAACTTCAGGGACCGCCCAAAACAGCAAATGTGCAGGGCCGGCACATTCGCTCCTTTAGCTAGCGTCCTAGAATCATGCGGTAAATTATAGGCAGGCGGACGAGTCTCATCCAGATTAAATCTGATACGGCAGCAGCTTTGACAGCCCTCAGCTCCGTAGCCAGTGAACCCCATACATCGGACAGATTCTGTACTAATTAGGCCGTTAGTTAACATGAGCTGGTTGAAGAATCGAATCCCACTTGCCGTTAGCTGTAATTGTACATGTACCTACACCTGCTGAGCGGCTGTGGTTGTACTTACTTACATGTATCTTTAAATTTGATGGTAGTGCATGGTCATACAGCCGTGTAAGTAGTTAGTCATTAGGTTGGAAATAGGTAGTAAGCAAGAGGTTAGTTAGTTAGTGGGTAAGTAAGTAAATAATTAAGTAGGTAGGTTGGACAGTGGTGATTGTAGTGGTTGTAGTGGTTATAGTGGTGGTTGTAGTGGTGGTCGTGGTGGTGTTCTCCTCCCCAGACAGCTCATCCATCCATCCATCCACAACGGTCCATCGATTTTTATCCCGCCTAATCATCGACTCCTCAAACCTCACCCTTAGAGGTCTCTCTCCTCCTTACCCTCTTCACCATCTCCATCATCCTTCCAACTCACCTCGGCTTTCGTGTCGCCCGTTCGTTTTGCCTAGATTCATTTTGTTGCATCATTTTGTTGACGTTCTCGGAGGATTTCGACTAAACCTGTTCGGTCACCTCGGAGCCTGAATTTAAAGTAGACCTTCTGGTGATTTATATCTCGTCTTACACCGCAGACGGTTTTTGTTGGGCGATTCGCTCGACCATCCAGCCCAGCCCAGATGGCGAACCTTCAACCTCAGGGCGGAGGTCCCGACCCAAGATTCCGTGCAAGGTCACCCAGCTTTGGAAGTGGAGACGATAGATATTTCGACGGTTCGGGGGGGCTCCAGCAGCGGAACGGCGAAGACTTCTACAATCCCAATTTCTACGATCGCAGAAATGAGGGCGCGGCTTCACCCCCGGCTGCTTCGGCCTATGGAGCGCCGCCGTCAAATATGGCTCTTTCGCAGCAGTCCCAATACGTTCCCACTCCCCCAGCGCACTCGAGCGGCTACCAGCCGATGTACTATCCCCAGAACTCGACCACTCTTCCCACCCAGCCGAACATTCCACCCCCTCCTCCTCGTCAGCCTTATGGCGCCACTGGCCTTCCAGGCAATCTTCAGGCGGGGAGCTCTAGGCCGCTTCCAGGTCTCCCTACTGGATTGCCATCCCATCCCAAGGTTGGTTACAACCCAGGCAATCATCTCGGCCGTACGATGTCCATTGTGACTACCACATCTCCAACTCAATATCAACAATACGTTCCACAGTCGCCCACTGTGAATGCCCCGTCGTATGCATCAGCATTTGGTATAGCTTCTCTCTTCTTTCTTCTTGTATTTGTAATCGAAGATGCATCTATTAACGTATCCTTGTAGCTAATTCCCAATATGGTGCATCTGGTGCGAATCGACCATACAATCCCGCTTTATATGGCTCGAACGTTCCACCTCCACCTCCACCTCCCCCACAGCGCCATGGTACTGTATCAGGAGGCTATTACCAGCACCAACAGCAGCATCAATTACCCCAGCCCCCACCGCCCCCGCCACTTCTGCAAAACCAGCAGACATATTCGGTATGTTTGTATCCTTTTATCATTTCCGCTATGACCTGCTTGTATATCTCTTTCCATCTGCTCTTACTGAAAATTATCCCCTACAGACATACTCCAATTCAACAACGGGTGCTCCTGCATACCAGCAACTGCATTACCACCAAGCCACGCAGCAGCAGCATCAGCAACCCGCCGACCAGTATACTAATGGAGAGCAAGGCAATTGGGACTATGAAGATAAGGACCAGGGTGACTACAAAGCTAGCCCCGGGCAGCGTTATGGATCGACTTCTTCTCAAGGTCCTCAGTCCCCAAACTACTACGACAATCAGAGTACCCCACCTTCACACCACTACCAAAGCTATCACAATGAAGGAGGCGAATACAGCAACCCACTCCCAACCCCACCTCCACCTCCAAAATCTCATTCACCTCACGTCGACTCTCAGTATGGCGGATCAAACGGACAGCGTCTGAACCGACCTCAATACAGTACGGGCAATGAAGACTCGCTACCGAGCCTTCCATCTCATGGGCCATCAGACACAACCGATCGTCAAAAAATGGAGGAGGATGCAAGAGAAGCTCTGTACGCTGATATAGAGAATCTCGTCTCTGGAACCGGGCCGCCATCCGGAAGAAGCCAAGCTCCGCCCTCTGCTTCACAATTCTCGCCTGACGTTGACCTCCTCTTCCAGAGGGCAGGCGCTCAGCATCCCGGCAATACAGACGAGGGCGGATTACCTTATCCAACATACGCACCCGGTGGCAATAGCAGCGATGAAGCAGCTGCTGCCTGGGAAGCAATGCGTGCGGACGAATACCGGGAAACACAAGATAAAATAACCAACGGTCATGTTGCAACTTTACCACCAGACCAGGACCAAGAACCACTTTCTGAGGTTTTGGATATGCCCATGGATCTTAGTGGTTTCTCGGGTATGGGATTTTACGATCGCTATGATGACGAACCTTCTTTCCCGAGCTTCAAACCAGCCGGTCAGGACAACGTCGCACCTGTGCTCCCCAGTCATAAAGGGTCTACGGATCTAGGTAGAAGTGATACCATGAACACGGTGAACACGGTGACGACTTTGAATACTGTAACCACGAGTGGTGATCTGAATCGGAGAGATACAACGAGTACCACTGCTACTGGTAACTCAACCCTCTATGGCGACTATGTTTACCCTAACCCCGAGTTCGATGATGGCCTACATCCCTTCGCCCCATTCTCGTCCGCCGCCGCCAGGGTTGACACCTTTGGTACTGGTGGATTGGCAAACCCAGAGAGACGAAACAGTTTTCAAGAAGGTGATGAATACGAAGGTTTTGCTACTGGTCCTGTTAAGACCGTTATCACTGCTGATGAGAGCGATGAGGATGACGTATATCCCGGTTTCATGGAACCGTCATTTTATCCCACCCCTAGTAAGTTTTCGCCTAATACCCTCTTGAGTTATGTTAAATCAATGAAGTATATGACAAACTAAATCGGTTGACATAGGCTACGAGTTGAACCGAACCAAGTCCGATAGCAACGCTGCAGGAGAGGGTTACCTCCCAGTCAACCCAGACGCCCGCCTAAAAAGTAGTTTGAGTCTTAACTATCCTCACACAAGCACAAGTTCACTTGGTCCTGCCCGATCAAAAACAGATGCTTCTGCCCCTCTGAAACCAGCTGGGGCACGGCCTCCGGTTTCGAGACCTGCGGCTAACCGTGCCGCAGTTGCACAATCCCAGATCTTCGATGAGACTGCACTTGGTGCAATCGACCTTCCTTCCATCAAAACTCGCAAGTTCGATCCGGAGAAGCTGTCGAGTAAAGATTTCAAGAAGTGTGAAGAGGCTTGGGCTATCAGCCAGATTTTTGCTTGGCTACAGACGATAACCGAGGGCGAGGAGTTTTTGAAGGAGAAGGGTATTGCGGAGGCAATAGTTGCGTTATTCACACACAAAGTCCCCACGATGAACGTTGCCGACGCAGAGACACTAGCCACCCGGGTGCTGAAAACCCTTTGGGAGAACGACTGCTTGGTTAGGGACGAAGAGTGGGTCAAATGGAATGCCGATCGGGAAGTATCCGGCGTTATCTTCCAGATTTCTGGCCGTGGATGCTACGCACCAAGGCTTCATGCCGACGATAGCGAAGAACTCCCAGACACACCCGGAAGATGTTACTCTCACCTTTGTGCCCGCACCCTCAAGAAGATATCTCTATCCGCTCATCCCGAAGATAGGGAGAAGAAGAAGGAAGATTGGGCTACTTTCTGGCAACTCAAGGCTACTGATGTCGAAGGCGTTAACAAAAAGGAAGTTGAGAGACAGAACAATCTTCACGAAGTCGTTCAAACCGAGCAAGAATATCTCGACCATATGCGAGTTCTTCGGGTTGTGTATCATGACCAGCTCCAGATCGTGCAGAAGCAAAGCCAAGTTATCAAACCGAAGAATTTTGATCAATTCATGAAGGATGTTTTTGGCAAAGCTGAAGCTGTTCGAAAATCCAATGAGGACCACTTGCTACCCCAGCTTAAGTTCCGCCAGCGAGAGCAAGGTCCATGGATCGTCGGATTCAGTGACATCTTCCGGGAGTGGATCCGAAGAGCCAAGCCAGCCTATATCGAATATGCTGCCGCCTTCCCATGGGCTGATGCCGTCCTTCGCCACGAATCCGAAAAAAATATTCTATTTCGACGATTTCTCGAAGAGTGTCGGCAAGATCCACGAGCTAGTCGTCTTGAATGGCAGCATTTCCTAAAGAATCCAATTACGAGATTGCAGAGATATGGCCTATTGCTACAGACCATTTTGAAACATTCGCTCAAGGAAGGTGACGAGAAGGTTTCCCTCCAGGCAGCGATTGATGAGATCAAAGCCGTAACACTCGAGTGTGACGCTAGGGTTGATGAGATGACAAAGAGAGTCACACTTGCAGATCTTGGAAGAAAACTCGTTATGAGACCGGGAATGGTTGTGGACCTTCGTCTTGAAGAAAAAGGTAGAGAGGTCATCTACCAAGGCGACTTACAAAGAACCGGGAACCGGTTTACATGGCTTGAAACCCATGCCATTTTATTCGATCATTATCTGGTCTTAGCGAAGACTGTCACAAGAAAGGATGTGGCTGCCGGCCCTGGAAAGAACAAACACGAGAAATACGATGTATCCCGAATGGTAAGCTGGCTCGATATCCAATGACAATCACTTGGTCTCTAATACAAAACCCTCTCTAGCCAATACCTATGGACCTTCTCGTTATTGAAGACTCTGTAAATGATGCACCAGTCGTCAAGAGTAGCGTAAAGATCATCGGTCCCGCCACGAAGCAAGTTCACGCTGGACCTGGTCAACGTCCTAGTATACCAAATTCTTCTACTCCCGGACCTAACAACCTTACTCATACCCAAACCTCTACATCGATTGGCTCCGTGAATTCGCCCGCATGGGATGCCAAGGACAAAGATAACGTAATGTATCCCTTCCGGATCCGACATCTCGGAAAGGCATACAAGGGAGAGGATAACACATACACTTTGTACGCTCCATCAGCGGCTGCCCGAGCTGATTGGGTAGAGAAAATTATCCTGGCGAAGGAGCGCCACGCCGCATCGCTTTTCAGGCAAAATGCGGAACCATTCAGGATCAGGATCATGTCGGATTCCGCTTTTGGTTACGAAGCCGTTTCGGGTGCTGCCAGTCCCAAGGATGTCAACATCCGCGGTACACCGTTAGATAGAGCTATCAAGGAGGCTGAGTCGCTCTACTCTGGTCCAAAACCTGCTGTCCTAACGAGGGCTCAAGTTAACTGCGCCACCACCTTCCACACTGGCATGGGATACGGAAAACAAATGGTGGCTATCGGAACAGACGCAGGTGTTTATATCTCTGACTATGAGAACCCCCGTGGGTGGACAAAGGTATGGAATTCCATGATGCTCTATACACACCCACACACCTAACTAACTTCGAACAACTAGGCTATCAATTCTATTGCCCGCGTCACCCAGATTGCAGTGCTAGAAGACTTCAGTCTCTTCCTTGTCCTCGCCGACAGGACATTAATTGCATATCACTTGGATGTAGTTGTCCCACCTGCTGGAGGTGTTCCGGTTAGCGAATCCGCCAAACGAGCGCCACAGAAACTGTCTGGTGGCAAAGATGTTGGTTTCTTTGCCACAAGTCGGATGAAAGATCGAATGCTTGTGTTCTACAAGCGCAAAGATGGCTTGAGCTCGACATTCAAGGTTCTAGAGCCCGTATTTCATAAGGCCACAGAACGCAAGAGTCGATTCTCAAGAAGAGGAACAACAGAGTTCTTCCGTGAGTTTGACGAGTTTTACATTCCAACTGAGTGTTATGGAATCAGCTTGTTCCACTCTTCGCTTTCGATTCACTCTTCTAAAGGTATCCTATTAACTTTGCATCGTTCCCTTTAAATGAAACTCAGCTAACCTATTCGGATAGGTTTCGAAGTTATGACACTAGACAAGAAGCAACCATGGTCTATTCCGGAGCTCAAAGCGCCCCACGTACAGGCTATTGCTCTCAGGGTTGGTAACCAAAGGCCACTTGGCATGTTCAGGTTATCAGATATTGAATTTTTGCTATGCTACGAAGGTAAAAATCCTCCATGCGGCCTTTCTATAGAACTTTCAGTTAACAATTGTTTTTTTTAGAATGCGGTGTCTACGTCAACAAGCACGGTGATGTTTCTCGTAGTGTCATCATGGAGTTCGTCGGCAAAGCCAAAGCTAGTGCACATTACCCGCCTTATGTACTTCTCTTCGACCAAGACTTCGTGGAAATCAGGAATGCAGATAACGGCCGATTGCGTCAAGTCATCGCCGGACGCGACGCAAGGTGCCTCGATGATGGCCAAGGCGGTGGGAGTGCTGGCCAACGTACTATCAAGTTGGCTATGGTTCATCCCGAGATCGATACCCGGCAGGTCGTTGTCGAGTTGCAGTTGAATGAGGGACAAAAGGATTAAAAAGTCTGGGTTTCAAAGGGTTCTTGTTTGATGTCTTCCCATCGGGTGTTTTGTTGTATAATTTCATGCGATTTCCTTTGACCGCATTCCATGACCTACTTTTTCTTTAAAATCTTTCTGATGAAATCCCCCTTGCTCTCCCTATTCTTATTTACAGGCGATATAGTGGCACGGACATGACTTATGGCTTTTTATCAATTATTTCTTTTGCTGCAAGTTTTCATGGTATTCTGGGTTGTTCCCTTTCTTCTACCCCTTCTTTTTAATCTTACATCTTCGCTTAACACTTCTTCACCGTAATGGCGGCAGCTAAATTGCATGGGACTGTGGATTTCAATCGAATTGTCTTTCTTTAATTGGGCCAGAAAATTGCAATATATCGGGTTTGGCGAGCGGGGCATCCTACCTTCTACATTGGACAGAGGGAATTTTCTTTAAATTCCTTTTTTTCGATCTTCAAACCTGAAGCTTCGCTTTTGGTCTTGTTCCTTATCTATTTTGCTCTCGTCAAAACAGTTTATAGTTATGATATGTGTTCCTTTTAATTCCATATTTACGACCATCCGCTTAGGCACTATGTTTTCTGAATTTTATCTACATTAGTAGCACTGCGATGTTCATATTGCTTGTAATGAAGGATTTAATGGTGAATCTACTATGATTTGCTATCGCTGTGATAGAAGAGTGCTCCGTCCTTTCTAAAACACATACTATATCAAAGCCCCCTCCGAAACCAAAATTCGGAGAAGGTAGAATCACGATAATGGAGATGTTCATAGCTAACTTCCTCGAGTAAACCTCACATCATTATTCAAGCCTAGGCAACTCAGCGATTTGATCAACCCCCTTATACAACCCCTTCAAATCCAATCCGTACTTCTCTTCCAAATACGGTGGACAAAACCTTCCTCCCAAAAAGTGTCTTCCCTTGAAATACTTTACCAGGTGTTTTGGAGCCATCAGAGAGATTAGATTATCTGGTGCAAAATCCTTTCCTGGGCCCTCGGATGGTGGGCCGTGTTCTATGTCCCATGATGATGGGACATCGATTGAGGTTTTTGGGAGTGGAGAAGATTTCATGGCAGTTATTACTGCATCGAAGGGTGGGCGGATTGTAGTGCCTGTAAAAGAGAAGCCTGTGTGTGTGTTTTATCTATGAGTTTGGGTTCTGAATGAAGAGGGTTTATTTAAAGGGAAGAAGTACCAAAGATTGCATCGACGATATGGTCAGTTTCCTTTAATGCGGTTTCATAATCTTCCGTGAACGGGATTCCTAGTTTTTGCATTTGGGTCGAGAGACGCTGGTTTTAAGCATGTCAGTATCTAAGTATGTATTGCTATTTCACGCACTCTCTCGAGGACTTCAAAGTCATCTCCGAGGATAGATACACGGAGCCATGCGTGTCAGCCTACCTCGAAGATCTCATTCTTCCCTTTCTTTGGGAAGTATATGGTGGGCTTATAGCCGTAGTACCATACTAATTCGGGCAAGCTAGTCAGTATAATCCCTTTTGTATGAACGTTATGTAATTATAGTACCTACAATGGCGAGCCGCGACTAATCCATCCCCCCCTATAAAAATCAAAATAGTAAGTACGGTATTTGATCCTCATCTATTGAGTCGTCTTGTAAATCCGTACCATTGTTTCCACTATACGTAAATTCCAGAGATTAATTAACATCATCCTTATCGAAATTTTCAGGGGGAAAGAGAAAGGATTCTATACATACGGGCCACAAAGAACCAATATACGTTCACCATTGCTAGGAGGGTGCACTTTATAAACTGCTCGTTTTAATTCGTAAATGAACAATTAATTAGCTGCTACAGTATCAATTATCTGATTTCAAGGGTCAATTTTGCTCTCCATACTCGCATGAGCGGCCGACAACCTGTGTAAGATTATTTGGCTTAGCCTCTGAACCAAATCCACAAGATCATACAATATCACGAACTAAAGTGGTTAAATAGATACATACCCCGCCAACTCCATCAGCTGATCCAACGAATACCCTCCAGACCCCATAAGCTCCTTATCAAGCTCAATAGCTTCTTGAGCGCCAAGTGTCTTAATACCTAAAGACGCCATCTTGTTGCCCGATATCGAGGTCTGATTCGAAAATGCTAGTGCAAATGGGCTTTCACGACGGTTGGTCTGGAATACTATCGGTCGTTTGGAAACGGTGTTTAAGATGTTGGACAGTCTTCTCGATGCTGTTCTTTGCATTTGTTTTTTTTAAATATATTATTATTCTTTTGTCATTTGTTATCTTGGAGAGCCCAAAACTGTACGCATGCAGTTCAGCGCAGACGTCAGGCTAGCTACGTAATCGAATTGTAATAGGGCGAATATCGGGGGTTGGGCAACGCGGTTTTGTGGGGTTAAAATGCAACATTCTATAAAGTGGAGATGATCTTTGGTCGAACGGAGATATCTCAGATCTAGATCTAGATCAACTTATTGCGCCCCATGCAGTAAGGTATAACGTTAGGAGTCTTGGTACTAGCAACGACGGTGAAACTCTATTCTTCATCACCATATTTTGCGAGTGTATTCAGTAATAAGGTTGGTCAGTGAAATAAGTTTTGCGATTTTGAATCAAGTCGAAGATAATAAAATATCCATGAACGCCTGAGGAAGAAAGATAGAAGCTATTATGCAACGAAGAAAGCATTATGATACAGTAGAAGATAAAGAGAGAAGAAGAACATCCAAAAAGGAAATACGAAAGCAGAACACCCATTTTTTGGTTTCGAGATCTTGACGAAAGGGACAAAAAAAACTGAGCGGGGAAAAATATACAAAGAAGAGCATTATAGATTGAACGGGGTATTATTCCCAACCATTATCATCCACCAAGCAAAACAATATGCTACCGACTTCAAAGAGACAAGATGTAAATGCTGTTGTTTAGATAACGCTAAATGCTTGCTGTTATATGTATTAATCGAATTCGTCCATGTCTACTTCGGGTTCGGCATCCGGATCAGTCACCGGGTCTAACTCCGTACAATTTCTGTTTTTTTTGTAAAACATCTTGTATCTCTCGACTTCGGTGCGTGGTTCCCCAGTGTGAAACCAGGATCCTTTGATAACGACGGGGATCATGTCTATATCAATCGTAACGTTAATGCGGGACTACCCGGGAAGAACAGGGGTCAAAAACTTACGTCCAACGGGTATAGAAAACTGACGATGTCCAATAGCTGTTTAATGCCAAAAGTGCAAGTTGTCAGCTTATGCACTTCGATACGAATGCCGTAAAAATTAAAAATTAAAAAATTAAACTATTGGAGGAACAAACCTTCAAGTATGGCCTTTATAACACTCTCATGTGTCGCAACTGCTATAAACATTTCACTTCTTCTGAGGAATAGATTCTCAAGGAATATTTTAGCACGATGGAGAACGCTGCTATCCGTTTCGTCTCGATAACTCGTCCATAGCGGGTCAAATTCACTGAACTCCTCCTCGAACTCGAAGAGGGGGTATTTTTTCTTTAGGGTGGTGTAGGAGCGCCGACTGTTGTGCGTGTCGACGCCGAAGGATTCACGGAGGAATTCGACAAATACCGGGGATGGCGGTCGTGGATTGCGAAATGTGAGGTTAAAGGAATGGATGAGAGTATCTGCGGCACGGCTGGAGGGGCAATTAGCTTTAGCATAGAATGTGGGGACTACTCCAATATTCGAACATACCTGAGCGGGGAAGAGAGAAAAAGTTCGGGTACCGCCAGGTTTGTGTTACCAAGGTGTTTATTCCACGCTTTGTGAAGGTATTTAGCCCCCTCGATTCCGGTTGGAGTTAACTCTGCATCGATCTAAGGAACATGATATCAATATGCCGTATTCGATATCGAATCTTCAGCCGCACTGGCTCAAAACCTACCCATTGGGCCGTTCCATTCCCATCCTGCCGTGTCCAGAGACAATCCCACGATTCCTTTCCATAATACGATTCTGTCGATGTTTGTTAATCTTCTTGTTGGTATTCAATCTGAGCTATTGTACTGATCCGGACACCAACCTCCTCTATGATGCCAGCTCTCAGATGGCCGAAATAGATATAGAACCTTATATCCCAGTACACCTAACCTTTTCGTCAACTTCTCTCGATCTAGCCGTAGGATCTCAGCTCGGAAATGGTCCCATTGTGTCGCATTGGGTGGAAGCTTATTCGTAATATCGATCGAGTACTCTTGTTGTATCAATCCGAAATCCCTGGTTTGGAACTACACGAATAGACCATAGACCCACAAGTTAGCCTCCCAAAGTCCACACCACAAATCGTTTTGGCTTTCAAGAAAAAGCGTCGCCCAAATGGAAGGTCAGTACCGACGACGTTGAAAGTGTCCTCCTTTGTCTCCGACAGATCCTGTAAAAAGAACCCCTTCACATTTTCCAACCGTAGGTTTTTCCGTCGGCCGGGAGCCAAGAATCTTGTTGGCGGTCGGCCGGAGAATATTAGTGGTGATATTTCGTCCTTCTTCTCAGGGAAAAGCAAGGTCATAAGGTAAAAGAGGGTCACGGTTGCGGCGACGAAACTGCACAATTAACGGAAAAGAAAGTCGTACGACCGAGGTATACGCGTCAGCTTGGAACTACTCTTAGACATGGCACCGGATTCATGTTTGATGTGGAGCTGGAGCGTATGCACATATGTAGATTGGAGCAGGGCTTACAAGAGTAGTCGCTGTACCCTTCTTGACCCTAAGATATTGATCATTCCGGTAGCAGCCGATGGGACAGGATCATCATCGTTTCGTGGTATGCAAGTGTTTAGACAGCGGAGCTAGGAGAGCTTCATCTGGAGCAGAGCTTCCGAGATCGATATTCACAAACGCCCAGATTCCGGGGGATGCTGTGGAAGGAGTGAAGACAGGACGTGGTTTGCAGCGATCGATATATCAAAATGTGGGAAAGCAAGGGGTCAGTGGCTAGCGATGTGTTGCAGACAGATTCAATTGTTCACCACAGGCGGGCGCCTTCGATGTGTGAACGTTATATTGTATGATGTAATCCGAGTTCGACGGAAGGTATGCGAGGAGTCAGTAAGCAAGTAGTAGTGGGTATTTACAGCGGGACAAGAACCAGAAGCTATTCAGGAGAGAGGGAGAGAGAGGCTGGGCAGATATGCGTGTGTATATTATTATGCACGTAAATGTATATTAAATGATTCCGGCTTCAAATTCAGGAGTAGGTACTTAGTAAACCCAAGTAGCCCAGTGCGCATCTCTCAAATAACGAACATATGTAAAAACGCATCTGAAGACAGGAGGAGAACTTCTTTTTTCATTCTGGTTAATCTGTACTGTGTAGGACGGCTATGCTGGCTTTGGCTATGCACAAGGTCATGAACGGGGATGCTGTTGGCATTTTCCGGGGTAAAGCCGCGCCCACAGGACGGGCAGCTCGATTGCAGACTCGACTGCGAGGAATGGCAAAATTTAAGATTAATTGACCGAGCTTTGGAGAGAGGAAGGAGCGGGAGCTGGGAAGTTCGGGATCTTTTTCAATAGCTTCCCTTCCTCATCCATAGCACTGAGCAGCTAGGAGTTAATAACCATTAGATTAGTAGCTAAAAATAACATGTCACCAGCGTCTGGGGAGATTACGGTGCCAATTGAATCTCGAAGAGCCCAGCCCACGGTTATGTGGTCCAGTCCAGTCCGGTGGAGCTCGAATCCGGTCGTCTTTCAATCGGTCGAATCAAGCGTAACCAATGTACTGAGGAGTAGTATAGTATCAAGCATCAATATCAAGTATATCATGCACTATTATACCATATCGATAGCCAGATATTAAGGGAGACGACAGGAAACGGATCTTATCAGCGGTCGGGTTTCGGATTGATTGATTCGTCGCCCCACGACTTTGTACTGGTACTTGCACATGCACGGCATTGTCGATGCTTCCGAAAATCCACACCGGTTTTGTTCGAATTCTCGATCTCATCACCATAGCTTGAGACAATTGTCCGCAGCAGGTCAAGCTAGTTTGCAGGCAGAGCGGTTTGATGTTGGAAATCGAGGCGGACCTAGATCAATTCCAAGGTTTCAAACATCAGTACAGGAGATCTTCGTAGTATCCGGGGTTGACCGATGCTATCCAAGATTCCATTGCTTCAAAGGAGAACATCTTAAATTTGGGCTCTCGAAGTGGGTGAACAGCTGGCAGGTGGCCAAAGTTAGCTATAGCTCCAATGCCGTGGGAATAGCTTGCTCGATTGGTGGCCGGATGGAGCTTTATATCAACAGTTTGGAGTTTGGTTCGCATGCACAAAATTCACGATATCACTCGCAGCAAGCGCGTCGGGAAATGCTTCTCCGCCCGCGCATACATCTAGCATACAGCCATTGAACAATCGTATTTCATCATCCCGGCTGAAATGAGTGTTTAGTAAAACTCCCGGACTTTGTCAGCACCTTCTTGTTATGTTTCGCCTTTCCTAGCCATCGCAAAATGTGGCCTCTCCGCCTTCGCGCTGTCCGAAGCCTCGGATCAAGAGACAAGAGAAAACTTTTTTCTCTCTCGGTGACGTTCCCTGGATGGCCTTGGTGAGCACACCAACATCCTTGATGGGCGAGGTTTAATTTCCTCAATCGCTAGGTGGAGATAGCGAACCCCAAAAAATCAACAGGGGTATCTCAGCTGAGGACGGTCAGAGATCGAGAGCAAGCCCCTGAAGCCCAATTTCCCGCCATAGGGAACCGGCAGTGTGGAAAGGCCTTCGACGAAAATAAACGGATAGGCTCAATGGCAACCAATGGGGTTCCCCGGATGAGCAGATGGAGACCGATTTTTGACGGCGATAATGTGATAGATTGGCACAGTTAGAAGCCTTGTTGACGACATGGAAAAAGCTACAATTCCAATCTTTTGGACGGCACGTTTAGATTTGTTTTGATGGATGTAAACATTTGACAGCTTTGTGTGATATTGCATCATCTTCAAGTTTTTGAGGGTTGTATGCAATACATATGCAAAGGGTCCTCGAGGATCTATCGAGACGGCCCGATGGGATATTGGCTAGAACTTTGTGATCGTGATCGCATTCTTGATTAAATATCTCCGGACAAACTAGCCCACGCGTCACCTACGTGTTTTGCAGTGACAGGATTGTGAGACTTCTGTCAGGCATTTTGTGTTAGGTAGGATCCACCGACGCATGCATTTGCTCCGTAGAGCGGTCGTCTGCTGCAACCCCAGCTGTTGCAGTTGCAGGCGAGACAAAAACAGATACCACTGATACAAAAAGTAGTTTATTTGTTTACATCTAAACGGATAGAAAGCAGTCGATAGTCTCGTACTGCGGCCGTTATTTGCCATCGAGATAGCACAATGTGTGCATGTGTGCGTGTGCGTGCGTACAACTTGTAATTAAGTGTACTCGTACGGATAGAAAGGGCGCATTTTTTGATGAAGGGTCAGCAGCAGGAGCATGTAAGCTGTCGCAGTAGGAGGTCCGATATGGCACTCGGCTGGACCAATCGACAAAGTCTCTCGCCTCGAGAAACCACCACTCAAGAACCCAGTCAAGGAAGAAGCAAAGGGTCTTCTCTGAGTGGAGCAAATGCGAGCTAGTGGAGCCCAATCGAAAGTCCCTGCCAGAAGGAGCGATTCACCGTGACAACCAGCCCCAGCGAAGGAAGAGGCCCAGCCTGAAGCAAAAAATGGGAAATGGTGCTGGTGCCCACGGCGCTTTTGGATGGTGGTTGGCCGGAACCTGGGCAGGCTGGTTGCAGGTTTCTTCTTTCCAGCCATCTTTTAGTGCTGCTGTCCATGCCATGCATGAGCATGGTGCTAACATCCAGCGTAGTGTTTGTGTGTGTGTGTACTTTGTCTTGGTGGTTGTTCGTTGAATTCGAGGTGGTTGATGGGAGTAAATAGACGGTCCACCAGCCTCCTACATTTCAGCATTTAAACCCAGTCCGCCCGCCGTCAACTGCATTTTCTTTCTCTTCCCTTTTCATTCACACAACCATCACGAACTCAATTGACCACCCGCTTTTTAACGACCCTATCCAAGACTGAATAAGAGAAGTAGACGCTTAGAAGTCACTTCTTTTTTCACGACTCCTCTTTGTAGATCTTTCCATCACGAAGGATCCTTCATACGGGGTTTCAGTCTTCGAATTCCCAGTCTTTTCTACTTCTTTCGACTAGTACACGGTAAACACGTGTACTTTTTGGAAGATTTAGAAATAACAGGACTTCGAGTCTAAAATCCGCAAGGGCCGCCCTGGAAATCAGTCAATCTGGACTTTGACGCGAGAGTACCCATTCCCCCCAGTCTCTTTCCTTCGGCTTATAAGACGAAGGACGCAAAAGACAAGGACGAGAAGAAAGTAGACGATAAGGATATCAAACTCAGGAAGAGAGACAAGTTCTTTGCCGGCGTTGCTACTGTTGCTGCTCTCGGAAAAGGCTCATCCTCCTCCTCCAGTTCCTCCAGCTCTTCATCCTCCTCTTCATCCTCCTCGGATTCCAGCTCTAGCTCCGGCTCCTCATCTTCCTGCACAGACGAATCTTCTTCAGCTGCTGGAGAAGAAACCGCCTCGGAAGTTACTTCTGAAAACACTTACTCCCACGCACCTTCCCATCACGGTCGTCGTGCTTTCGCCGCTGGTGCTGCCGCAGGTTTAGCCGCTGGTCACGCCGCTCATCACCGTCAAGCTCACTCCGCCCACACCACTGCCCAGTCTACCGCTGGTTCTTTGCCAATTCGCGCTCACCCAAGTGAGAAGCAATTCCATACCGTCAACCACCACTCGGACGACTTCCACGTGAAGAACGTTCACATCAAGGTTCCTGAGGTCGAGACCGAAGTCGAGACCGAATCCTCTTCCTACGACTCCAAGTCCACCACTACTTCGGAGGACTTCTCTAGCTACAAGAACGCTCCTCGCGTCTACGTCTCTAACCCAACTTACGTTGAGCAAGTAGACGTTACTTTCCCTCAACAACAAGTTACCGTTCAGGCTCCTTGCAAGTCCGGTAAAGCCCCAGAAGACTGCGAGTGTCCACCACCCGTCGTCATCGTCAAGAAGGAAAAGAAAGAAAAGAAAGAGCCCAAGGAAAAGAAGCCAACCAAGAAACCCTCCCCCAAATCCTCCAAGATGTCTGAACACTCCACCCGTCACCACCACCACGCTGAGTACTTCGGCCGCAAGGTCGATGAATTCTTCCACCCAGTTGAGACTGCCAAGGCCAACATTGCTAAGTCTTACTACGCCAAGTCCAAGAAGGCTTACTCCCTCCCTGACGTTGACATCACTGTCTCCAAGAAGGTCGTTGCCCCCAAGCCAAAGGCTGCTGTCGCTTCCGGCACTGTCAGCACTGACTTCACCATCCCATGCCACCACATCCGTGTCGGTGACTTGGTCATCCTCCAGAAGCGCCCATGCCAGATCATCCGCATCACCACCTCCTCTGCCACTGGCCAGCACCGATACCTCGGTGTTGACCTCTTCAGCCACAAGTTGGTTGAGGAGAACTGTGTTGTCACTCACCCATCCCCATCCGTTGTCCTCCACAACATGGTGACCCCATCCTTCAAGCAATACAAGGTCATCAACGCTGGTGAGGATAGCACCTTGGTCACTGTCACCGACAGCGGTGAGATCAAGTCTGGAATCGCCGTTGTTGCCCAAGGTGGTCTCTCCAAGAAGATCAATGAGGCCTACGTCGCTTCCCCAGGTGCCGTCCGTGTCCTTGTCATCAGCGATGGCGACAAGGAGCTCATTGTTGACTTCAAGAAGGCCCACGGTGACTTCAAGCTTTAAATGCACCGTTTCTCTTTGCATTTAGTTTGGGGGTGTCGTCTGGTTTTAAAAACTTTAACTCATGTCGTCTTGTTTCAATTACGGTGTAATATTTAATGTCCTTTTTCATGTTGGTAGTCAAGAATTAAACTTGGATGCACGTGTGAACTCTTATCTTTCAAACGTAAATATACTGTCGTAGAGATTGTGACTTTTATAATGAATGACATTTCATTGGCTTGATATTCTAGACTTAATCTGTTGCATCTTGCTTGACCCGACGTTAAGATGTGTTGACACGTCGTTAAGGTTGCACAAAGGTTTGGGATGATCGTAGACGCTTTGAGACAAACTGAAGAAATGGTCGCCCTTCTTGTCACGCGCACACGACAACTGGGCGAACTCTCCTGTTACCGCGATACGTAGAGATGAAGTACCCTTCGATTCACGATATCGATTCACACGGTCCGAGATTTTGGTGTCGCCTGTTTTAATATCATTTCCCTGCCGCAATACCGAAATACGAAAATACTCTCGCACATAACATTCTGACTTTGAGAATCAACGACATCTTGATATTTGATTGATCGTATTCTTGTTCCTAAATTTATTTACTCGCCCGTCTTGTGATTTAATCCCATCCTTCGCCTGTAGAACTCACTAACCCTACGCCTGTGCATCTATACATTGCCCTAGCCCTGCTTTCATCATCATCCTCTCCCATCTCTAGCACAGTCTCCCACTTCACATCCGCAACCTCACTACCTACCCACCTTACCGTCTGCGTGTGCAAGCTACCTTCTCCTAGAGCTCCGCCATCAACCAAACTCTGACCCTCCGCGAGAACTTGGTAAATAACCAGTTGATCTTGTAAATAATGGTCTACACATCCACCATGCTCTATCTCCTCCTGAACCCACCCCCACACTTTTCTCGTCATATCGTGCGCAACTTGGTGTACGTCCCTTTTCTTCCGATCCCAAATCCAGTCCCTTGCGATTCTATATCCATTTCTTGTCTTTGCTACTATTAACAGATAAAACCGGGTACCGTGTCCTGAATCCTCATCTTTCACGATATTCATATCAACGCCCTGGGCTCGGTCTTCGAACCAGATGTTTAAGGTTTCTCGAAAACTTCTCCTTGCATCTTCGGGTACAATGAAAGTTACATCATATCCAACTATTTCCCCAGCTTCTTGCATTGTAAATCCGGGTATTGTAGTTCCGGCGGGTATGGATGGGATGACTACCTCGATTTCACCAGGTATCGTGGGACCCGTTCCCCACCCCCTTTTTATCTCTCTAACTGTAATCTCAGGATACCCGAGGTTCTTTAAAGTAGGTACGAACACTTGACTGAAATAATCTAGCGTTGGTGCCTTCGAAACATGTGTTCCTCCCATGACGGTTAAGTGTAGAGGCGTTGGGTCTTCGCCACTTTTAGGTCCATTGTAGAGGATATATGGTAGTACCGCTTGAAGCAATAGCATTATACTACCAACACCGCCTATTTCAATCGTAGCTGTGCGTTTTGGAGATGGATTTCCGGGAACATCACGCTCGGTCCAGTATCTATAGGATACCTGTGAGGCCTTGCGTTTACGAGGGAGGAAGGAGACTTGGGTGGATTCGTTTCTTAGGTGGCCGGTGTTGGAACAAGACCACTTCGCTCTATATAATTTCTATGGTGTTACTTTTCGGTTTACATATAAATGCCAGTTTTTCGAAGGTGCTTACAATGTAGTTAGACAAGCGATATGTTGGGCTCGTAGGCCACCTTTCTTTCCTTTTTTGCCTTCGCGGTTTCCACGGACATCGTGGATTTCGATAGGTTGTTCGAGAAGGGAGGAAAGGCCTGCTGCTGTGCGGAGAAGTTGACCGCCACTGAAGAGTATTTTTGTCAGTTCTTGTCCTACAAATCCACACAGTAACATAGAAGTTGAGTTATATACCCCTAAAACAACTTAAGTCAGCTACCTGGACTCCAAGAGGATAACAATTTGGTATCTATCATTGGGGTACAATACCTCTAATGTCCTCCCGTCCAAACTGACGGGATCTCTTGCTGGCGCAAAATTTGTTGTGGTTTGTGGCATTTTGAACAACCTTGAAATTCAGTGTTGAATGAGGTTGGAATACGTATCTTGGAATAGAGAAGAGGCTGGAGAGCTGCAGCGGAAGGTTTAGGTAACGGTACGGTGTAAAGGTTATTTTCTGGAATTCGGGGTAGGAGAAACATGGGAAGTTATGCCTCAATTTATAATAGTAACATTGGAAAAGAGATCTCGCGCCGTGCGGCAGCTGTTTAAGGTGGCTAACTCGGTACCAGCATTGGCATTGCATTGGAGCTCCGTTTGAGTCACTCAGACGACCTGCAGGGCTGAAACTGGCCCAGGCACATGGTTTAGAGTCATCACTATTAATCATTTACATTCAGCAATCGAGATATCTTCGGTTCTAATTAAATGCCCTAATATATCAAAATATCCTGGGTCCTGGGTATCAAGTGCCTAGGTAGTATCGTCTATTCGACTTTACCCTTCGCAAAGGTTGCCGCTACGATCAAGGGGAACACTATAGTAGCCTCGGCGTAAACCTTCACCGCTTCACCTCCAATCTTAATCTTTCCCCAACTAACCGCCTCATCCGGTCGAGCACCGGCATCACTGCCATCGAACTCGTTTGCCGTATTCACAAATACAGCGTAGTCGGCTCCATTCCTCATCAAGTTCGCATTTGCAATATGATGCTTCACTACTCCTCCTCCCAATACTATGATACCTGTGCACGCTGCATTCATTGCCAATGTATTTATCCGTCTGATGTCTTCGACTATATCTATCCGTAGCATTTGTGGTGAAGCTTTGAAAGTGTGGAAGAAAAGCATATCGCCGAGCGAGCCGTCTGTCAACGCAGGGCAGAAAACCGGGATATCGTTTTTGTATGCCCAATAGTACACACTGTCTTCATGGTTGATTTCTTTTCCAAGCCTGTGAATCACCTTCGAGGGTGTCCAATGGATTCTTTCGTCTACTGGCAGAGAACTTGAAGCTTCCTGCTCTTCAAGCATTTTGTCTAGGATTGGTACTACCCAATCCTCGAATTTGCAGTAGTTATCGTTAGGAACCACGAGGTTTCCAATCCTGTTCATTCCCGATTTACGTAAAGTAGCACCGTCCAAGTGGAAGGCTCCCATGTATGTCGGCGCTAGGCATTTTATGAAGTCTTCCTCAACGCCACCGGCCGTAGTAACGATCGCAGAGACATGACGATGTTGGACAAGGTAGCGGATTGTTTCACGGAGGCCAGAGGAGATGAGGTTGGAAGTGTAGCCAAGGAAGATTGTGGGGCGCTTGGAGGGGTCGGCGGGGTCTTTCCACGATCTCTAGCAAGACAAATCGTTAATCGATGTTCAAGAGAAATAGCGAAAGGAAAAAATGGGGGGAAATATACCATTTTGTCTACAACTTCAATAGCTTTCCCTAAATTACTAGCCTGAAAGCCCATGTTACTCATGTTACGGACTATATCGTCGATGGTTATCGGACGGCCGGTGTATTCGTTGAAATCGATGCCCTTGACTTGGACGGACCCTTCTGGCATCGGAGCTGACTGTACTAGGACAGCATCAACGGCCTTAGCTGGACCGGCTGTACCTTTTTCTTCCATATTGACTTTATATATTTGATGGTATTAGATATAAGTTTAGGTATGTGGGTGAATCGGAATAGATGGTATATGATATCTTGAGGGACGGATCTACTTGATAATGAAGAGGTCGACTATCGATATGGAAGAGCAATAAAAATCAGCTGCGACTCGGAAGCTGTGCATAGCGGTGTTGGTAGCGACTGACTGGGTAAAGCAGTTCGAATATAATTATTGAAGCCAGTAGAGTATGTATCGACGTCTGTCATGAAACGGAAGAAGTGTTTAGATCGAGAGAGAGAGGAAAAAGAAGATTTTGAGTCAAAGTCATCTACTCCAACGTTGTCATGTGTTGAGCAGATGCTCGTGTTGTTTAGACCCTTTCGTCGCGTCTTCCTGGGTTTCGAGGCCAGCGTCTTCCCAACTGGTTGGTGGCGACGAGCAAGAACGCCGCTAATTAAGTAACTACCTACCTCATTATGAAGATATCAGCAGCATTAGTTTCAGTTTGGACTGCAAGAGCCCGAGATACGACGAACCAATATCAGCACTATGTCGGCCAAAGGACTGGCTCCCATCATAAGCCTGCTCTCCTCTGATGATGAAGTGGAGCTCCCAGGTATGCCCCTACCCAGTATAATTACTCTGGCATACACTAATTTTTTTATTTCTAGCTCCTCGAAAACAAGACTCCAATTCGATATTAAAGGAAAACGTCGAACCAAGGAGAAGCTCCTCAAAGGAGCTGTCCAAAAGTAAAGCTTCAAAGTCGGCATCGATTACGTCTAAGAATGTTGCACCAGTTACTAAAAAGCTCAACCCATCGAAACCCTCTTCATCTTCATCATTATCATTATCCTCCAATGTTCAGAAGCCGGTGAAGAAAGCTGCAGACCCGATTACTATCAGTTCCTCGCCTTCAGCTTCACCACCCCTACTGCCCCAGTATGCTACCTACACATCGTATCCCAGTATATTCGGAGGGTTACCGTCAGATCCAATACTTTCCCAGTCGTCGCCAGTTACACGAACCTCCAAACCGATAGACAACCCCCAAGAACCCATTGTCAAATCAAAATCAAAGACTGTGTTCGAGGAGCTACTCGGAAGCAGTAGTGACGATGGCATCAGCGACGGTGACCGAGTGTCACCCAAGCGGATCCCTGGGGTTGATACAAAGGGAAAAGGAAACCCCACCAGTCCTGTGCTTAGCAAGGACGCTCTGGAACGACTTCGAAACCTATACTCTGGGAACGAAACGGGTACGAAAAGGCGGAAGGTCGATAGGGTAGATCTTCAGATATCATCTTCCCTATCGCCTGAACCACTACCTGTATCTACTGGCCCAGGTCGAAAGCCCAAGCTGACGGACGCTGAAAAGGCCGCTCGAACAGCAGAAAGAGATGCTGCTCGTACTGCTAAGGCTGCCGAAAGGGAGGCACAGAAGGAGCAGAAGAAAGTTGAACGAGAAGCAAAGATTCTCCAGCGCAGTGAGAGTCAGGCAATGTCTTCAGCCAATAAACTCAGGGGCTCACATGTCCAGACAACGGGTGAGATGATCGTCAATATATCATCCGATTTCTATACATCGCCTGCAGGAATACAACTGCGGGCTATTCTTACAGAGATAAAGGTCGAATCTCATACACCATTCGACTCACCAGTTCCAAACGTTATCAAATGGCGAAGGGTAGTAACTGCGGAATGGAACCCGGATGAAGACATCTTTGTCCCAGTCCCGCGAAAGATTCAAAACGAAAATCATGTTTTGACTGTGATCCAAGCCAACGATTTTGTCGCTCTTACAAATGCCCCCGAAGAACTTGATATATTCATCATGAAAATAAAAACGGCATATCCCACTTGCAAACTGATTGTTTTGATTGAGGGCCTTACGAAACTTATCAACAAAAGTAAGGGTAATCAATCTCGAGCCTATGCTGCACAAGTTAGGAATCGCATGCGAGAAGACGGTGGAAGGGAAACCGTAAGGGTAGATAAAGCGGCACAGGCTGTAGATGAGGATAATGTTGAGGATGCGCTGCTAAAGCTACAAGTTGTGCATGGGTGTTTACTGTGTCATACACAGGATGGGACATATACCGCCGAATCCATTGGGTATTATACTCAACATATATCGCAGATTCCATACAAGTATATCTCCCTTCTTCCCTGGCTATTTCAAAGTGTTTGCTAATATGCTTGGATGTAGACATGCAAAGTCCGTTCTCAACAACTCTGCAAGTTTCTGCATGGATGTCGGACAAGTTCCGTCCGGGAAGAATGTAGAGGATACATACAATAAGATGTTGCAGACTGTGCACATGAGTACTGCGGGTGTAGCATCAGCGATTCAGAGCGAGTACCCTAGTGTTCAGAAGCTTTATAGAGCGTTCATGGATAACGGGGAGGACGTGCTCAAGGATATTCGGGTTGCGAGAACAGGAAGCGGGAAGGCTTTGGGTCCGGCGATGTCGAGAAAGATCGCAAGGGTTCTAACGGGAACAAATGAATGGGAATTGGAATCTTGATCTGTTTTATTTTGGGGCGGTGTTTTACGGATATCAGCGGTAGTTTGATAGTTTTGTGTCTCGAATGTACATACCCATCTGCATTGGGCTCGGCGGCGTTGTATACTATGGTACTATCATTTGCTTATTTCGCCGGATATTTTCTCAGTGAAGAGGTCTATGAAAATTTTATATCACATCTGTTAACATGTTCGAAATCATACAGCTCGGCTTTTAGGTGGTGCGGTAAAATACAATCAAAAATGTATATAAGATGGAAAGCCAGGAGAAATGATATATACAAGCTTCGCTTTCTAGATTTATAAACTTGCAAATTCTCGCTCAATCAGTATAAAGTCCAAACGGACAACGGAACCACTGTATTCATAATCTCCCAATGCAGTACAGCACTCTGCCTCTGCCACTCTCTTAACTTCTCCACCGTTCCTACCGACACAACCTCCAACCCCCCCTCCTTTCCAGCCTTTTGGATATCCAACAGATCAACTTCGTGCTGTGGCATCATCCTCTGTTCTCTAATCCAGGTTCCCAAGAAGTCCCATGGCTCTGGTTGATGGAAATATGGTGCCGCAATCTCGCTGAGATCTATATCTCCTCTGTGTCCTGGGTTTCTTGGATCTGGACGAGGCTTATGGAAAGGCGTGCAGAAGATTACCATGTTTGTGAAATCACCCTTTTCGGCCTCTTCCTCCTTCGGAGACTCAAATTCGCGGAAGGCACGGCAAGTGCCGAAGACCTTGAGAATTGTTAAAATTACGGATTGAGCAGATTGGAGTTTGACATCGCCGGCGTAGTTCTGATGACAAATTTGTTAGATTTCAGATGTTGTTTGGGGGTTTGGGGATAGGGAAAACTTACGATAGCGATGACTCCGTTAGGCTTGAGGAACGTCTTCAAACCTTCCAAGAACTCCCATGTAAACAGATCCGCTGGTACTGCACCACCAGTGAAAACGTCATGGAGGATGTAGTCGTATTTTTTGACTTCTTCGCCTTTCAAGGTGGCTTTGAGGTATTCATTACTTATATAACTAACTGCATCACCAATATGAGCTGTATGATTTGGTGGCAATCCGAAGTGTTCTTTTGCGAACTGGTAGACGCCTGGGTCGATTTCGACGATATGGGTCTTTATACCATGTTGGATCAGGCCCGATGCGGAAGTTCCTATTCCGAGACCAACAATCAAGGCATTGGCGTCCTTTCTTTCCCGTGCTGGGGGGTCGATAAGACGAACTGCTTCGAGCATGACAAAGACGGCGTAAATTGGTTCCCTTAGATGTAGTGGGTTACTAGCATATCTTTGAAGGTTTGGGTGGGATGTGAGCCAGATTCCACCGAGGATGCTGTGGTCACATCTCAGGAATCTGTAATGTTGCTCAGTGTTTTCAATAACAGATAGGTATCCTGTATTCGACTCCATTCTTGCGACAACAGTGTGGTTCAATGGCGCAAGATGTTCCCTCAACTTCTGCACACCTCTCTCACCCATGACACAACGAGGATCAAGATAGAACACCGGGAAGAAGGAGGGGATAGCAGCGGCTAAGAACATGGACCTGTGCAGTGAAGCTGCGAGTACAGCGACCGTAGCTTCCATTCCGCATCGTGTCATTGGCCATCCCTTTCCGACATAAGGACCCAAGTAGCTGATTGCTGATCTTTCGGTGAAGTTGAAGAGAACCCACGACAACGCTAGCAATGTGATATCTGCGGCTGCGACTGATGCTACGGGAACGCCAACAGGTCTGATTATACCAGTTAAACTAAAGACGGTGAAGGCTATGAGAGGACCGATGGTTGCGGCCTCGGTGACAATTGGACCATTTGTGGCACCGAGGTCTCCGGCGCTCTGCCAGATTGCGCCCTGTATTAATGGAATATTTATGGCGACCAATGGAATTAAGAAGCGACTTAAGCGTAAAAGGATCCGCGATCTTGGGATCGTGTATTTCAAAGCGAGTGCGAATGTAGCAGCTGCCGCGAAAGCGGTGTTTTTTGTTTTCTCATGATTTAGACCAGAAGGAATTTCACCGAATACTGGGGAAAGTGAGAGTTGCGAAGCCCATGAAGCGAAGCCACAGATCACAATTGTGGCGAGAGCCGTGTAGATGTCGGATTTAGAAGGGAGGAGCTCGAGTGGTGAAGCCGGGGATCTGGCAGTTTGGGCATTTTTTGCGGCAGTGCGCAAGTCCTTTGATGTTGGAGAGGCGGAGTTGGAGGTCGACATGGCGGGGAAGCTGAACCTAGAAGCTGGATGTCTCAATGGGGTAGGTTCTCTCGTTTGGACCGCAAGAGGTCCCTTTATTTATTGAGTCGTCCTCTGGAATTTTGAATTCCGAGATGCCTTTTCGCGGGTAAAGTATCGATTCGAGTATCAATTGGTATCAAGGCAAGGGCCTTTTGATTGCAGTTATATTCGCGAGGCAGACGTGACTTGGGCCCTCATCGGCCACTTTGTCGTTTCGAAAGACACTTACTTTGGCTTCCACGCGACGCTTCGGATGTATCTTAAGAGGATGTTAGACGAGTTCATTCAAAGGTCGTGTTCACATCTCACATATGCGTTTGTGGTTATTCGAAAGCTACAGACTGCCATATTGGGATTCCAACATATGTGTCAAGTATGGGTTTTGTTTGACCCCAATCGATTCGGCCCGACGGTTGAATTGTACCGTGCCCTAGCTCAGGTTTCGAACCCCTCCGAGTCTCTTTTTTTTAACATGCCCTGCAGCTGGGATTCAACAAGACGCCATTTGCATCTTCGAATGTCATTCTTGTGTACACTGGACGTCAATGTCCGATTGGATTCCCGTTTTGTCGTTTTGTCGACGCCTTCGTTGGGCTAATCGATAAGACCATGACATGGTATATACCTTTTGTCTCTTGGCTTGAGAGGTGGCCCAAAAAGACCCACACGGTCGTTCTGTCATTTTGAGATGCAGATTTAATTCCGCACCGTCAATTTATGGATTAGCTTGGTGCCAAAATGTTAAACACTGCATCCTTGGAATTCGTGCCGCACTTTCGAGTCCCAACGGAGGGTTTCTTGAAGTGGAAAAGTGATATCAATAATTAAGAAGCATTAAGTGGTATCGAGGTCATTTGATAGTTTAGATGGTACACAGAGCCAAATGAAGCCAAATGAAGCCAAGTGATGTCAAGTGAGGTAAGGTGATGTGAGGTGATGTGAAGTTACTGAGCTGATGGTCCGGATATGAAGTATGTGCATATGCATATGTATAAAGTACGTACCTAAGTGACTTGCACTTGCGTACGATGATCGATGAATGTTGGATCGGGGCCGGAAGTGGCCAACGACAGTGACAGGGTCGGCGGGGCGATTGGGGAAATCTTTCCTGAAGGGGCAAAAAAGCATTTCCGTGGTAACGAGGCTTGTTCGAATCGTTTGTTTCGGTCTTGGCCTAAGAATAGCAGCGCTGTCGGTTCAGTTCATGTCATTGTATTGCGACGTTGTATTCGCTGAGTAGTTAATTACCACTTGCGCTCTCTCAACTCCTCAGGCTAGCTCCTCGCAAAAAAAGGAACAAGAACAGGAAGAACAAGAACAAGAAGAGAAGAAGGGGGGAAAGAACATCGGTAAACAAGCAAGGGGCGGTGAGAGACTTAAAGGTATCGTTCATACATCTACTTAAGTATTGACATTTGGTCAAACAGATTGGCGAAGTTGATGCATTGTAGCCTTCCTATTCATCCTTCTCGAAACCTCATCGAACACAAAACCAACAATTACCAAGACCTTGAAGGCGTTTGAAACTCGAGGCTCTGGAATCGCCTTCTCCCAGAAGAAGAAAAGACTAACTTTAGTTAAGCAGAATATCAATCACAGTGCGCCATCGTCTTGTCGCTTGAAGCTTGGTATTTGTGGAGGCTGAGTGTCTCCACCACGAGACCCGGACAGGAATAGGGCTGCACTGTCACCACACTCATTCAATTCAATTCCCTCTCTCTCCGCAATTTCGCACCAAAAGCGAATGTCACTTCTCATTATTCCTTGCTGCAATTTATATTGAACGGCTGAAACTAGCCCTGCCTGCAGGTACGTTTTTGGGCGAAGTGAGGAGCTTTAGATTCTCAAAGATTATCGCCATCCCTCTCCTCTTAATATAACCAACCTCGCTGCCTTTTTGCGTACATAGGCACTTACTTTGGATACTATGTACGCTTCTGCTCCCAGAATTCTATCGATCTTTGTTTGATTTGTGTTCTTCGATCGTTTGCTTATATATACACAGTCACTGAACCCGGAACGGGCGCTTGGGTTGGATGTTGGTTTTGCGTCTTTCTCTCTAACACAGGGCCCACCATCAGTCATTAAAGTGATTACACAAGGGGTCACTTACCCAGAGAAAGAAAAACTCAGGAGATCTTACGGAAGGCGCCGCAGAAGAAAGGGCGTCACAGAAAATCAGGACAGGCTTGGGGGGTCAAATTCGAACTCACCATTTATAAATTATATTTCGACATTTTCCCTTAACCATTCTCTTGGAATTCCAGATTTCTGGGCAAAATATCTTGACAGGTACTTTGGCTCCCATATGTCCCTTTCCGGGTTTGTCGTCATACAAGTAAATGTCGCTGCGGTTTGTTTGGTTACTGGGCGAACGAGCGACTGGTAAATCCGGCCGTATGCTGACTATTTTGGTTTCGAGGAATTAATTAGGAAACTCCAGATTCACCGTGCCGCTTGAACCGCACGTTTAATTTACCTACCATCGTTTTCCTATCCTTTTCGTTACTTTCGTTCATAGATATTGTGTGCACATTCATTTAGACTATCGAAAAAAGAGCTGTAGCGCTCGTTACACAATCGCTACTCCACGGCCATGTCTGGATACCCTCCTCAGCATGGCAACGAGCCATACACAAACCCTACGTTTTCACAGCAGCAGCAGCAGGGCATGAACTACGATTCTCCCCAAAGCCAGGGACCGCAATATGATGCGCCGTATCATGCCCCGCCGGAAACTTATGGCCGGACTCCATTACGGCACCAACAGAACTATGGGCAGGCTGGCTTTGAATCGCAACCACAAAGCAGAGCGCTGCCTGGACCGCCTGTTATCCAGGAGCAGCATGAGTCGGAATACCCACCACAGAATAGGAACGAAATTTCGCCCACCAGGAGTAGAGGAATGCCAGTGGATGATACGATTTCTCACGCGAGCTATGGAAGCCACCAACATCATCATCCTCAGAGTAGAGGGTTTATACCAGGCGATAATGGGCAGGGATATCACGACCAACCGCCTCAGATGAGGCAAATTCATCACAATCATTCTAGCCAGGATACACTACAACCTAGTCGAGTGCCGCCAGTCGCATATGGTAGTGAGAGGGCCCCAAGTGCGCCCCCATCCATGGCAGGTGAGCGACCACAGGGCGTTCAGTCGAGCAATAGCAATCGGGCATCATCAGTAAACCTAGGGTTTTATTCGGACAGTCCATATCAGAGGTACAGTACTCATTGGAATCCGGAGACATCCGGATTGTCGAGCGGGGATCTATCTTTGCAGGATATGCGAAGGAGTAGTCAGGATTCTGACGATGAAGAACTAAATAGGGGGAAACGCTCGGGACCATTGGCAGGTGGCATTGGTGGAGTCTTTGGAAAGAAGGTGGAAACCGGTTCAACGGCTAGTGGTGTAGGGGCAAACAGTGGGTTATTAGCGTCCGGAGTGCAAAATCGTAACAGCAGTGTACCTGCAGGTGATTCGGATTGGCTCCAAGACCAGAAGAAACAATCCAAGAAGACAAAGTGGATAGTAGGCATTGTTATTCTTATAATTGTCCTACTTGCAGCTGGTGGGACTGCCGCAGGTGTTATTCTCTCAAGACGAAATAACAACGGCGGCGGGGGAGGTTCAGCAACCTCATCCGTGGATCCAAAGGAAGATAATCCGGATGCTCCTCTAGTCAACAGTGGCACCGATTCTGTCAAGAACTTGCTAAACAACCCAAACCTACACAAGTCGTTTTATGGAATGGTAAGAATAGCCAAATACTTTCGTGAAAAGGGAGCCAACTAACCACAGACACAGGATTATACTCCTTTGAATGCCATCTACCCCGAATGTTTAACGTTGCCAGCTACTCAGAACAATATTACTAAGGACATTGCGGTCATTAGCCAGTTGACTACAAGGCTACGTATGTATGGCAACGACTGCAACCAGACCGAGATGGTTCTGGAGGCAATTAAGCTACTGGACGTCGATCTCAAAGTATGGCTCGGTGTCTACATTGATAACAATGCGACTACAAACGCACGCCAGTTGGAGCAGATGTACAACATTCTGGAAACATACGGACAAGACCCTTTCTTGGGCGTAGTTATCGGAAATGAAGCATTGTTCAGACAAGAGATCACTGAAATGGCTCTCGTCCAAATGCTGGGGCAGGTCAGACAGAACTTCACAACTTTGGGATATGATAAAATCAACATAACTACATCTGATCTCGGGTCAGCTTGGACATATAATCTTGCCGCAGCTGTTGATACGCTTATGGCTAATGTTCACCCGTAAGTTCACTAACACTAAATCTTCTAAGCCCCTTAGATACCATTCGCCTTGGTATGCGTAGCATAACTTCACATTAGCTAATCCACCTACAGATTCTTTGCTGGTACTACCGTCGGTGATGCACCCGGTTGGACTTGGTTGTTTACAGAAAATAACGATGTCGCGATCGCACGGCAAACCACCAACAATCCGAATGTAATTGTTTCTGAAGTCGGGTGGCCATCTGGAGGAGGAACCTACTTGGGCAGTGTCGCTGGTATCGACGAGCTGAACCAATTTGTTGAAGATTACGTCTGCGGAGCGAATGCGAACGGAACGGAATACTACTGGTATGTATCTCCCTTCGATGGGACGTCGTCTACGGTATGTATTGTTACTAACGCGGGCGTATCTATAGGTTCGTGCCGTTCGATGAGCCGTGGAAGGAGAAGTTCAACGTTCCTGGCAAGGTCAGTAGATCCAATCGCCTTGAGCGAACGCCCCTCTCGCCGCCTAGCTAACTTACATCGTGGTTATAGAGGTGGGAAACCCGTTGGGGCCTCATGGACGTCAACCGCAACATCAAGTCGGGCGTAACTATTCCCGACTGTCCATCAAAGTAAAGCGGATTTTTTGGTCTAGATCAAAGGTCAGTCGTGTCAGAGCGCTTTGATCCTACAGTAAGAAATTAGTCCCCTTTACCGCCTCCCTCCCCTTACTAGGGAGCACAATATCGACCAACCCATCCAGAAGAGAAATTTTGAACTGACACATCCCATAGACATAGAATTCCTATTTTGTTACTTTCGTACAATCAATCAACAACAACAAGATGCTGCATCATACGCGCATCAAGCTTTATTCTAGGCACCCAAGTTTTGTCCCTTCTAACGGGACTTGGAAACAAGCTGGGGAACAACCTTACCCGGGTACCCCCTTCTTCTTCTTCGGCTTTCGGGGATCCCATACTCATCTGGACGGGGTACCCGAAGGAATAGCGGAAAGAAAAAAACACCCAGTATCATTTTTCTTTCCTTTACACGGCATCTTCAAACACTTTAACGGCGTCTACTGGTAGGAAAACTGCATATGTTTTTTTCTCTTTCTTGTCACTGCCTTGGGTGCACCTACACCTGATTGCCATCAGTCATTTGATATTCCCGTTGTTTGCATTTTCATAACCGGCTGGAGCATCACAGGAAAAACCAAATACTTTTCACAACTCTCATATCATATGCATGGCAGAACAGTGGCTGTTTTTACCATCTGTTATTGCCTTTCTTTAATTATTTCCTTTTTTCCCTGCATTTCGGCTCTTTTCTTCTTTTCCCCTGATGTTACTACTGCTGTTCAACTTCTAGTTGTTGGATGTAACGATTTATTTGGCCTGGTTCCGGTGTCACATCCCTATACCACTATGCGATGTTTATGGGGAGGGGGGCAGGGTTATTACCACCTACTACGAACCGGCTAACTCTTACCGCTTTTCTCTTGTCTTTGTATTGGATTTCACATTTGTCTCGTGCCCAGCCCTTCCTGCCGAAATTTCCTTCTCGTGTATATTTTTCCCCTCTTTTTTTTTTTTTTTTTAAGATTATCTCAAACCTCACATAGCCGAGGAAAGATATTTCATGTAATTAGCGAAATAAAAGTAAGAAGGTCATATCGTTTTGGATATCATATGTACGTTATCGGTATGTAAAGACGGGCCGTTCAGAGATTAGGACAGGACTAGTCAAGTATGTTAGCTATACGAAATTATTAGCTAGCGCATAGCCTGACCTGGGAGGGGTTGGTCTTGGACTAGGATACGATCGATGGATTTCATCTTGTCTCTGAACTCGAGGACTCGAGACTCGACTATACTGATGCTTAGATCCCGTCTAAACCCCTTCCCTATCCAATATTTTCCAACGTTGGCTAACAATCACTAATGTATCACTAAGTTAACCTAATAAAACCTAATAAGTCATCGCGATCTCTAACAAGTTACAAGGCCCCCTTCCTTCCTGCTAGTTAGTAGCGAGTTAACATAACCCAAGTATGTACGTACTGCTGTAGGGGGTCCCCTCCCCTCCCTCCCCTCCCTTCCCTCCAACTACCCCTTCTATAAGCAAACAAATCGGACAAAACTATTCCTCCCGTATAATAACACCTGACCAACATCGGATATCTACAGGAACCGGCCACACCCATCCCATCCCATTCTTCTCCTTCAGCTAGGTATGTAGTTGGTTATCCATGCATGCAATTCCCAAAACGCGAACCCGAAAAGAGACGAACACAAAATATTTATCAAAAAACGGCATAATGATCCAATATTAATTAGCTAAAATAGATTAAAAACTAATATCATATTACAATACAAAAACTCGCTCAAAGGGATATAATAAGGCAAAAAATAAGCAATATAACACCAGAAATGCTTACGGGTTTCTTACTACGTACAACTTCTAACGAACTCCACACATATAACGATACCCGTATACCCTCCCCCCCTTACCCCGGAGGCAGCGTTCCATCCCCAGTAAGCAATTAATACCGAAAGGCCGAGCGAAGGCCTGTATGTGGAGTCAATATGACAAGCGGAGTAATGAAGAGGAGAAAGAAGAGGCTCTAGGCTGCAAGAAATTTAACATCCATCCGTCACTGTTAAAGTGCAATATGTGTGTGTGATCAAAGCTCAATGTATGGCGGCCGGCCGGTTGGCCCTTATACGGAATAGACAAGAACTAGACCTTTCATGTTCAACGGCTTGCGTAAATTTCATGCATGGAGGGAAAGGAAAAAAAAAGTTGATATAAAATATTTGTGCTTTTCCAAGACTTACTCCAAAAACAAGAACAAAAAGCCATATTCGTGTCGAGAGCTAGTTTTGAGAACTTTGGCAAAATATATGTCGGTGCCGTGCTATGATATGTAGGTTTTATGCAGGATATCGGAGAAGTTTTTTGGGGGTACACCCTCTTTACCTTACCTCCCTTTCCTTTTTTTTCTTTCTTTCTTTTCTTTTTGGCATGATAGATTTCTTTCCTCGGATCCGGAAAGCTTTCACATCTATATTCTAATGATCATAAGAACAAATCGTATCATTCTCGTTCGAATGGAACATTTAGAGAGCGAGAAGCGAGACGAGACGATGGCAGACCCAAGGGAAGAAGGGGAGTGCATGCGCAGCAAAATTACTGTACAGTTATCACATAGCCCAATCTACCATGCATATCCTTCTGTTTTGGCAATTTATTCAAAACTTGGCTCGTGCGCAGCTTGTCATGTCCGGTTCTTTGCTTGAAATAGGTTGGGCTTGTTTTTCTAGCTCTGTTGGGTGTGTGTTTTTTTATAGTTTATACGGACACGGCGGCGAATTCTTCCAATTTAGCCCCATCCCCGGCTACATTAGAAAATACCCACAACAAGACCTTAAGGTGATCCCTATAGTTGGATGTGAATTATTGGGACGAGACGATTTTGACAGGTTGTGAAGACATGGGGGTCTTCCTTTTTTTTTTTTTTTTTTTTTTTTTTTTGGCAGGTTATCAATCTTGTTGGTGTTGGACACGAATGAGATCAGAGTTTCCGGAGTATCTTGGATATCGGTGGGTTGACGCGGGGTTTAAGTTAAGTTAGTACTTACCTACTCACTTATGTAGTAGCTACTAAAGTAGTATCATATAGAGGGAAATGGCGATAGTTCCAACTAGTCCGCTGCAATGCAAGTGTTACTACCGCGTAGATGTCAGTTCTTGCTACAGCGGATGTGCTTCGGATGTACATCGACATCCGCTTATTTGCTCCGCATACTACATAATCACTTATATCGTCACAGTTAAACAAAGTAGACTAAATCTACTTCCTTAGATATTCGACTCGACTAGAACTAAACATCTCTTCCTCTCGAAAGCAAAAGAAACCAATAAATGAAATGCCTGTCGACTTTTGCCTTGCTGCACTGCAAGTAAACAGGTGGTTGCCCACCCACACCGACATCCTCGCCCGCGTCACACTAATGCCGAACTAACGAATCCCTACGCTAAGCAAGGAGTCTAAACTCATAACATCCTTTCATATGACATCGGGTGAGGCTTTTTTTTTCTTTCCCCCTCTGATTTCTTCTCGCACGGATTCTTTTTTATTTTTATTTTTTCTTCTTAGAACTGTCTAAAGTTTTCTTTTTTTGGTGAATTATTTCGTCTCGGGGAGCGGGATTCGTCTTCCTTCTTGCTCGAGTAGGAATGTTCGGCCGGGGCGATCGGTGCGTCGGGGATAGTAGGCCCACCTGGCAAGTTCAAACGGTAAGGAATGTGAAAAGGGCGTGCTATTGATTTTTGAACGTGTCCTTCATGTGAATGGTGGAAAATAACCAATGATAGAAAGCGGCGGCACGAACGAAAGAAAAATAGAATAAAGTTAATTGATCTAATTTTGCTAAAATATGTTAGGAGATCTCCAATTACATATGCTTTGACTCAAGAACAAAAAAAATAAAAATAAAATAAAAATAAAAAAGGGAGGAAGGGGAGGAAGTGGAGGCACGACGTAACTTTTCCATCATTTCTGCTCGGTTCGTCGGGTTACTAGCCACCATTTTACTTCTTGCTTGCGGGTACCTCAGAAATGATTGGATTTCGATTCGATATGTACGTACATATGTAAATGTGGGTTCAGTCGTTACATGCATGTCAAATGGTCAGTTTTTGTGAGCCACTTCTTGGAAGTTGAAGAAGATGTGGCAAAAGAATATCAAGCTTGCAAGTAGGGTATGTATGAGAAGCTGTAAGTGGGTCCTTGAGGAAGCTGTCCAACATCTACAAAGAAGTACATCTACATCAGCCATCGAATAGGTCCAAGAAATGGCCCTCCCTCTGTTATGCAGCATGCCATGCACGACGTTTAAAGGTGAAGGGAAAGGAAACCGACGTGGTTCTCCACATACTGCAGGATGCTCTTACGCACTCGACGAATTGTAACTCGCAGAACTCAACATAGTAGGCTTTTTTTTTGCTGCATTATTTAGGGAATTAGTCGACAAGGCCGACTCGGCGGAAGGAATAAGGAACCTTTTTTAACTTTTCTTTTTCCCCCCCAATATCCCCTCCGAGGTCAAGTATGTTGGTGGTGGTTGCGCAATCGCGACCCAAAGACAGAAAATAAAAACAGCGCTTGGCACCATTCGTCCGTGTCGAAGGGAAGACAATAGGCCATCACTCTCTGTGGAGACAGTGCCCAAAGTGCGCCAGAATGGTTAAATTTCAGGATGTGTGCTTGCTGTGTCGCTTTTGCATTCACACACACCATCGACTTGATTCTATGTAGAAGCAAAAGATGCTTTCTAGCTTGCGTCTTGGTGACAAGGATCCCTTGAACCATGCCTTGGACCGTTAAACGGCTTCCCGTGACTAGGGTTGGATCAAGCCATAAACTGTCTAAACACTGTCATCAGAAGATGCATGCCCCGGTAGAATTCCCCGTAACAAGAATCCCCGAGGCCCGGTAAACTCTCTCCCTCTCTCGTTTTTTTTTTTTTTTTTCCGTCGTTCGCTTATTGTGGCTTTAAAATTTGTTAGGGAGTCCCTAATTCAAGTTATAATGTTAGAGCAAAAGCCAGAGAGACTATTGTCGAGAG